AGATATCTCATAATGTACATATTTTCAAATCTAGTTTTTTTTTTAAAAAAAAAAATTAAAAATAGAATCCAAAACATTTCTGGGTTAGGTCTTTTGTAATGCTATTTATAAGATATAGTTATTGTTTGCTTTTGTTTGTATGAATTCTCCCATTAGAAAATACATAATGGGCTACCAGTATTAAAAACTGCATGAACTGCAACTCCCAACATCGTAGGTTGATTCCACCCCGACCCCCCAAATAAACCCACACCAGTATTTAAAGTAGAAACACTTCTTAATCTACTTCAAATCACTCAAAAATCTACTAGTAGGTCCAGGTCTACCCTTTTTCCATCCATTTTTTTTTTGGTTGAACCATTAGATATACTATTTATCGTTTATGCTAGAGAAAGGAGAGGAAGGAAGGAAAATAAGTAGATGCCAGTGCAGAATGGGAAGAAGCTGTATTGCCTTCCATAGGAGTTAACTGGGAATGAGAGGTTGCATAAACATAAAGTAAAAGGTGTATAATGTCCATAATTGGCTACTATAATAAGCTTGCTGCTTTGCTGCTCCCACTGCTTGTGAGTTAATATTAGAAGATATTGCTAAGGGGACTCAGGTTAACCAGAAAATGAACTGGGTTCTTAAGAGTAATATATGTGTAGTCAACATAGCACCCAAACAGCTACATCACATTTGGCTTTTGAGATGGATTCTATGATTCAAGAACAACGTGTGGAGCAATGAGTCTGTTAATTAAGAATTAAACATTGAAGACTGTCAGAAACTACAGGCCTAAACTTGTCAGAATTCATATTTATAATCTGACGTTTATGTCCTAGAATCATGTATCAGCCCACAGTATGTAGAGTGTATCTTTGTGTGTGTGTGTAACTTACTACTCAGTTACTTGAAAGTAAGGTGGCGGCCTGGTTCTCCCCCAGGGAAGAATAAAAGAAAATGTGTTCCGTATGTTTGGTTTAGCTGTCATTTTAATGAGAGCTTTTGGAAAAGCCGAATTTTATTGAATCAGAAAATGGCAACTATAATTAAATCTGTAGTTTTCTCATTTTTAGGATTTAATGCTCAATATTTTTAAGGCGGGGGGAGGAGAAGGATGATTCTGCGGAGACTGTTGCAACTAAGGTTATTGTAAAACAAGTACATTAAGAATTTGGGGGGGGGGGTAATAAACTCTATAGCAGACATGGGCAAACTTTTTTGACTTGGGGGCCGCATTGTGGACCTGGCTGGGAGGGCCAGGCCAGGAGGGAAGGGGACTGGGCATAAACTGGGTGGGGAGGGCCTGGGAGAGGGTGGGGCCAGGAGGAGGCCAGGAGATTGTCCTCCCAACATAAGGATGGGACTGCTCGCTCCATTCTTATACCGAGAATAAGATGGGACACGCGGCGACTGCACCAATCCTCTTTCCTCAATCTCTTGGCATGATCCTGGAGGTCAAGAGAGGCGGTGGCTGAGAGTGCTCCAGGGGGCTCTCAGCCACTGCGTGCCTTCTTCAAGCCATCCTCCTAGCATAAGGATGGACCACTCACACCGTCCTTATAGGAGCCCCCGGTGGCGCAGTGGGTTAAAGCCCCATGTTGGCAGGACTGAAGACCAACAGGTTGCAGGTTCAAATCCGGGGAGATGCAGATGAGCTCCCTCTATCAGCTCCAGCTCCTCATGCGGGGACATGAGAGAAGCCTCCCACAAGGATGATAAAACATAAAAAAATCATCCGGGCGTCCCCTGGGCAACGTCCTTGCGGACGGCCAATTCTCTCACAACAGGACACTCCTGACAGGACAAAAAAAACCAAACAAAAACCGTCCTTACGCCGGGAGGAGGACAAGACACACAACGGCTGAGAGCACTCCAGAGGGCTCTCAGCTGCTATATGCCTTCTTCCCCATCGTTTTGCCATTAGGACATGGCAGACCACTGTGTCCTTCTGCCAAGAAGACAGGAAAAATGAGGTAAGCACCAGGGGGTTGCATCTGGCCCCCGGGCCTTAGTTTGCCCATGCCGGCTCTATAGGAATTAAGGCATTCTAGAAGAAAACTCAGAAGATTGTTTTCTTTCATGATTATTTATTTTATTAGATTCTGGGTTGGTGAGCCACTCAGAATCCCTTAACGCAGGAGAGAGGGCAGGATATCAAACAAAATAAATAAATAATTTTAAATTGGCAATCAACATTAAGTAATAGGCAATTAAGTTCATCAGATAATTAGGATCCTTCTCCAAAATAATTCATTCTGTTTTACTAGTTGGGATGTGATGCTGTAGGCTATATTTCAGAGGAAGGAACTGGCAAAACCACCTCTTGCGTATTCCTTGCTGAGGAAAACCCTGCAAAACCCAAGTTGTTGTCATGTAACTTAAAGGCACTACCCACACACGTAGATCATTTCACATTTTTTCCCTTTATTTGTTTTCACTTCATTACAGCCCTGCTTTTGGCATTAAAAGGATCCATGAAGGCAGCTCTTAAATTATACAAATAACAGGAACATATTATTAAATGAAATAGGTAATGCCAGCCCAAAGACACGCTGAAAGATTGCAGTGGGATTAAAATTATATTTATCTGCAAGCATTGTCATGTGCTTAAAAAGTGTAAGCCAGACATTTAAAACAGGCAAGTTTGCTTTGTGGGTTTTCTTTGACCCGAGAATTACACAGTAAGGGTGCGACCATGCAAAAGCCCTTATTATTGTTAGTATCACTAGACTTATCTATTTGAAGGGAGGCACTGGTTGAGAGTGGGGACTGTCATGAGGGGCAAATTGTTACTTTGTTTAAATGGCAGATTAAATGTTTTTAAAAGCTTGCACTTGATTCCTGTTGTTCATTTATCCAATGAAGGATCTTGCCCTTGTTTTCAAATAATCTTAGAAATAAAGTCCTGGCTTCAATGCAACAGGGAACTGAATTTAACTTTTTACTCTCTCCTAGGGAATGGAATATGTTTTTGTTTATTCAGTCAAGATGTTTATTCAGGGCTATTGATTCCATTTCGTCTTTGGATAAAACCGAAAATTCAGAACATCATTTTGGCACTGGAGTAATTTAACATAGTTCTGTGTGTGCATGTAAAGTTATTAGATCTTGGCTAGTGAAAATAAAACCCAGGGACAGCTTCATTTGATGTGTTTTCCTCCTTGGAACACAAAACTTCAGTTAAAATTTAACCATGGACATTAAGAGACAGAGAGGCAAACAATAAGTAGTGGTGAGCACACTGCAATATGTTCCCATTTTGCTGTCAGCCAGGAGGCGTAATGTATTTGCTGATCTTTTGACTCCCACCAACAAAACAGAAGGAAAAATAACACCAGAAGAAACAGCACAGACTATTCCCTAGAACCTCTACGAATTGTGCCACTGCTACCACTAGTCATGATGTTGTATATTGGTGATGCTTTCCCTCCTTCATAATACAAATGTAGGGAGTTGTATAGGTTTATTTGTTTAATTTATATCCCTTCTTTCTCCTAACAAGTGTCTCAGGGTAGCTCACAAAACCTGAAACAAAGTTCAACTAAAAACCTTGTTTTTAAAAAAAAGAAAGAAAGAAAGAAAGAAAGAAAGAAGAAACAATACATTCTATTTTTAAAGCACATACTCCAATGTTTCTCAACCTGTTTCTGAGACTCCAAGTGGGGAGGGGAGAGCAGGCGTGCTCAGCACATGGCAGTGTGGTGCACATGTGCGGGCGAGGGAGAGCCTGCGAGGCTGAAGGGAGGTTTGCGCCAGCGAGTCCTTTCAAGGCTTGGGGTTCTGTGTGGGATGTTTGGCCCAATTCCATCATTGGTGGCGTTCAGAATGCTCTTTGATTATAGGTGAACTATAAATTCCAGCAACCGCAACTCCCAAATGTCAAGGTCTGTTTGCCCCAAACTCCACTAGTCTTCACATTTGGACATATTGAATATTCATGCCAAGTTTGGTCCAGATCTGTCATTGTTTGAGTCCACAGTGTTTTCTGGATGCAAGTGAACTACAACTCCAAAACTCAAGATCAGTGCCCACCAAACTCTTCCAGTATTTTCTGTGGTCATGGGATTTCTGTGTGCCAAGCTTGGTTCAATTCTATTGTTTGTGGAGTTCAGAATGCGCGTTGATTGTAGGTTAACTATAAATCCCAGAAACTACAACTCCCTAATGACAAAATCAATTTTTTGAGTGATTGTCACTTCTTGGGTTCGTAGGCATCTTGTGGCCAAATTTGGCAGCAATTCGTCCAGTGGTTTTTGAGTTATGTTAATCCCACAAACGAACATTACATTTATATAGAGAGAGAGAGAGAGTGAGAGAGAGAGCATCCCTACTTCGCAGATTTTAACATTTCATAACATCCATGATAAGGAAGGAAACACTCAACACCCTGGTCCTTGGCTGCTATGCCATTTAACTCTAAGCAGCTTTTCCCCTTGCATTGGAGTCCCTGCAGAGTTGAAGCTGCATTCGTGGCTCATGCTATAGACATAGTGGTGAAGCAGTCCTTCTATGAAGACGCTGTGGCGGTGTAATCACGGAAATTCCTTATGCTATCCTCGGAGTCATGATCTCTTCCAAGGAGGGATGTTAATATTTGACTATTTCATCCTTGCAAGTCAACTCAAATTATTTCTGCTGCAGAGAAAACAAATATTTCTGTGCACTTCTTGCCTGTTATTCATACATCCAAAGAGAAACAATTCTCTTAAGAAATAAGTGGGTTTTAAAAATTGAGAATGCCAAAGTTTGGGGCAAAAATGCTATTTCCAGATTGCCATGTCTGTTTTTTGTACAAGGTTGTAGTTTTTACAGAGAAATACCCTCCTCTTTTTCACAGTTGTCAATCCCTGTTCTAGAAAGAAGAGCAGAGGAGGCTTCACGTGTATGTCAGCACCCATTTTTGTGGTAGTAATGTATCCATATCAGTTTGTATGGGTTAAAGTTCTTCATGTGGTACATACCAGGAATTGGGTTTGTAACGTGTCCAGTAATTGCTCCCTTCTACTCTGCAGCATGGGCGGACTCCTCTCCATCTCGCGGCTTACAAGGGCCATCTCCATGTTGTCCAGATTTTGCTCAGAGCAGACTGTGATGTGGATCTTCAGGATGATGTGAGTAGATGCAACCCTGCTCCCTTTCTCCCAGCAGGGAAAGCCTTTTGCCACTTTAGTTCACAAATCACTACAAGAGGTTAGCTGGTTTCACTGCTGTTGTTTAGAAGAGATGTTTGCTAGTTTTAAAGCTTTATGGGCAACTATTTAAAGGAGCACCCAGCAAGGACAATGGCCTCACAATTAAGGGCTTTGAGAGTATTTTCCTGCACCTCTTTTCACATATCTGTAAGCAATAGTCATGCCTTTAAATAATAAGAACTTTTTCTTTTTCTTTTTTACAGTGCTAGAATTATATTAACCATTTTAAAACACACCCTGTCCCTTTCTCCAAGGATATCAGAGCTAAAGTTGTACCCAAACTTGAATGTGAAACTTGTATTTGGAGAGGGAGGATGAAATGCTTCCTCCTTTACCCGATTCATGTTTTGCTTTTTTCTTGGCTCTGGCCCTTGCTCCTAACCCACGCAGTTGGCAGCTCCACTGACTCCCTGCATGACATCATTCACACCATTCAGAAGTGTAAAACCCGTGGCAAGAATGTTTGCATTTATAATGCCAGGAACATTTCTGAGTGGAGCTGAAGTGCTTTGTGGCATGGGAATCAACTGTCAGTTTTTGTATTCCTTGTGGCTGGTCCTTTACCATTTATGCTTTTTTTTTTCATGCCAGGACTGACTTGAGAAACTGCAAGTCACTTTTAGTGTGAGAGAATTGGCCGTCAGCAAGGACGTTGCCCAGGGAGCACCCAGATGTTTTGATGTTTTACCATCCTTAAGTGAGGCTTCTCTCATGTCCCCACACAGGAACCTGGAGCTGACAGAGGGAGCTCTCCCCGGATTTGAACCGCTGACCTGTTGGTCAGCAGTTCTGCCGGCACAAGGGTTTAACCCATTGTGCCACCTGGGGCTCCTATACCATTCATACTGTTAACATATGATAATCATCCACTTCTAACAAATGAAAGAATATTTGAATGACAGCCTTACATTGTTTTTGCATTGTTTACTGAATTTTGATTTTGATGCTATCAGTACGTGAGCTCATGTAATATTTTTCTGAGCTCAAATCAAAGGTTTCCTAGCTGGGACTGTGGGGAGAAATCCCTCTTATTTCAATACAGTACATGCATGTGCATTTTAATAAATGTATTGTCTTTTCCAGCATCTTTCCTCTATGATATTATTCACTTTCTTAGATGAAATGCAATTTCTAAAAGTGTTCAGCTTCCTTTAAATAAGGTCTTTAAATTTACCTCTAATCAAAGCTATTAATATTACATGTATTGATTGTACATAACATTCTGTCTTTCTTCTCAACTGATAGCCCACCATATGTTTTCAACTTCAAATGCCCACAGTCTCCGTGGTGGGGCAGCAGAAGTTGAAAATATCTGGAGGGCCAAAAGTTGAGAACCACTGGTATATAGGACTGACTTTCCCCAAGATTATACTCCCAAGTATTTCCCAATACTATTCCCCTCTGGATTTTATACCAGAAGGAAAATAAGTATGCCACTTTGAAGACTTTCTTTTTAAAATATGTTTTTGTGTGTTTATTTTATTATTGTGTTTTTGGTGAGCTGTGAAAATTGATAGCTATTGTAAATATCATAATAAATTTGTCATCTATTACGTAATATAAATAAAGTCTAAAATGTTGTGGAGAATTTAAAATGCTGACTTCGTGTTCTGCAGATGTTGACCGTTAAGATATTGTAAAAGGCCTAATCATTAGTTGAAGAATGACCTCAAGTGGCCTTGAATGGGATTATTATGAATTTCAGCCTGTGGAGACCAGCTCTCTAGAGTATGAAACCCCAAGAAGTAACTCTTTCCTTCTCCCTGCTAATCCTGCAAGCCCTTATTGGAATCCTGATGCCATCTCTGATTGGTCAATGAGTGCTCACACAGCACATACCTCAGAAATAGTCAAGGGAACAGTGGCCCTGGTAAAAGAAGTCAAGGAAGAGAAAAATAAGAAAAAGCAGAGGAGAAAGGCTAGAAAGGATCCTAGAAGATTGCAAAGAGAGAAGGAGGTTAGAACTCTTAACTTCAGCTTCTCTCCAACATAGTTGCATGTAGCATTTTGGATTGGCCACCTGGCATGTCAGAGCTACTTGAAATGCGCATGGATGCATGTCTGGCACTATGATGATGTTTTGCCAATGAGTTACCCCACCTACTTTCCCATAAAAGTCCCACTAAAAGTTCTGTGATGGCTATTCTCAATCAACACTTCCTCTGAATTGTCTTCACAGTAAACATTGAAATGCTACTATCTTAATTTATCTGAGGAACTGTTTGTTTGATACAACTCAGTCTCAGTATTGAGTACATGTACCTCAGTCTAAATCAGACTTTTTATTACCTTTATAACTACACGTAAAATCTTTAATTCCTATTTCTGGGTGTTTGCAAGCCATTGTTTACCCCATGGGTGACCAACTGGTGCTCCTCCAGATATGACTGGATTACAGTTTCCTTAGCTATAGCCAATTTAGGCCCCTTCTACACTGCCATATAATCCAGATTATCAGAGCAGACAATCCACATGATCTGCTTTGAACTGAGTCAACACTGCCGTATAATCCAGTGCAAAGCAGATAATCTGGATTTTATATTGCAGTGTAGAAGGGGCCTTAATCAATTGTTGAGGGATGATCAAAGCTGCAGTCCAATAATATCAAGAGGGCCCTTTGTTGCTCATCCCTGGTTTACAAAAACAAAGAATGTGAAGGTCCCTTCCTTTTATCAGTGTTTTGTTGACTATATTGGTCATCAGTGTGTTCCTTTATGGAAATGTTAACTCTTTGCATACAGTCAGCCCTCCACATCCGCTGGAGTTAGGGGTAAAGGACTCCTATGAAGTTGAAAAATCATGAATATGATATTTTGCGACCTGAGAGACTACTTCTCTAGGAATCCCTAGTCCTCCAGCACGACTCCATGAAGCTGACCATGGAATCACACTAAAGGATCTAGATATTTCTAGAGAGATGATCTGTCAAGGAATCTCTAGGTTGTCTAGAATCACTCTGTGGTCAGTCTCCAAGGGACGTTGACCATAAAGTTGCACTGGAGGACCCAAAGATTCCTGGAGAAAACATTTTAATAAAATCTGGGAATAATCAAATCCGCAAAAGTCAAACCCACAAATGTGGAGGGCTGACTGTTTGTTTTGAGATTATAAAGTGAAGAGTCAAGAGCTCTTGATGTTGTGGGGAGGTGGTTGGGTGGGTTTACTTTCTCAGCAACATATGGTTGAGTCCATAAATGAATCAGAGGGTAAAGTGGCTTTGGGCAATGCATGCCTTGTTTTCAAAGATGATTTTTGGGTTGCCGTTTTTGTTTTGTCACTGCCATGTCTGCCAAAATTCATTACATGGCACTATTTTTAAGGTGTAGGGGAAGAAGCAGCACAGATGGTGATGATGATGAACTGCCGGAAGGATGGTGGCATGTGTGATCTGTATATTGCTCAACCCCCTTTTAAGGGCTGTTCACTCAGGATAACTGCTCACATAATCTAGTCTTCCCCACTGCCTTCTGGTTCTGATTGATCACAACTCCCATAATTCCTAGCAATCACTGAGGCATGGGGTGATAGAAGTTGTAAAGCAAGATGCCCAGAGATGCCCAGAGATGCCACCCTGGGGAAGGCTGGGAGAAACAGACTGGCATTTAGCCCCAGAGATTAATAAGGACATCAGTTAACCTATTATATGATCTCCATAGAAATCACTGGTCGCTATATTGCCAATGTAGTAGGATGGAATCACCTTTCTTGACTAGCTAGTGCTGAGAGCAGAAAAGTGTTATTAAAATTTTCTTAGAAAAGTTGTTGAGCAGCTGTTACTAATCTTGGGGCTCCTGAACAAATAATTCATATTTGAAAATCAGATAGATTACTTGGGTGGAAAATTCCTTGCTAGCCAGCACAGCCTTCTGCCTTGTGGTGGATCATAGGACCTCATCATACTTGCCTAAATCAGCATCCTAGGATAGTTCGATGCCATCCTCAGGACGGAGGCTCACGACAGACATCAGACAACATAGTGTGATTTCTGGCAGAGGATCCACCCCCAACTGTGGTAGAAGCGCCATTGAACACTTCTCCCAGAACACAGGAGGCTTCCTGTGTTAGTCTGGCTCCAATGGAGCCAGCACGTGACCTCTCTGCGAGAGTGACTCTTTTTCCATGTGTTGATTCCAGTGGGACACATTGCCTGGCCTTTCTGATGAGGGCCTTACTGGGCAGTGTGGACTAACTAGGCAACATCATATTTTTTTTAAAGAGAGGACAAAGGAAACAGTTATGCTGTCCCCAATTTTTCTCTCCTCATTTCTTCCCCATAGCACACGATATAGTCAAGGGTGAAGAAGGGAGAGCATGTTTTATCCCTTTCTTATGTTTTTGGACAATTTCATTGCCTACCTTTGTGCCTGGAGTCCCCAGTGATGCAGTGGGTTAAAGCACTGAGCTGCTGAATTTGTTGACCGAAAGGCTGCAGGTTCGAATCCGAGGAGTGGCATGAGCTCCCTGTGTCAGCCCCAGCCTCTGCCAATCTAGCAGTTTGAAAACATGCAAGTGTGAGTAGATCAATAGGTACCATTGCAGCGGGAAGGTAACTGCGCTCCATGCAGTCATGCTAGCCACATGACCTTGGAGGTGTCTATGGACAACGCCGGCTCTTCCGCTTAGAAATGGAGGTGAGCACCAACCCTTAGAGTCAGACACGACTAGACTTAATGTCAGGGGAAAACCTTTATCTTTACTACCTACCTTTGTATCCAAAGAGAAATATACCACTCCAGTCTCAACAGTTCCTGTTGACACTGTGTGTGTGTTTATGTGATACACACTCACCCTGATACCAAGACAAGCTGCTCTAGATGACTCTTTTATGGTGTTGCTTACTGGATGCAGGCCGGTTTTCAATTAGTTTCTGTTATTACATTGTTGGAAATGCAACTTTCTGCTTTGTGACTCGAGATTCCTTTTAATTGGAGGGGAGATGTTTCCCAGAGCAGATGTTGTCTTTCTCTGAAGCCAGCATGTTTAATAAGTCCTTTAATGGACTACACTAGTTTTTCTTGTTGCTGTCACTCTGATCTAATTAAAATAATTGTTTCAACAAAAATCTATCCAGTGGATGAGCAAGTGGGTCTTTTGTTAAGAAACAATAATCAGTCTAATCCATTCTATATGCAACAGCTGGCTTTTGAGTCCAGACTTGGAGAAAGCCTTGGGTTTTTAAATTGCCAGAAATCACGGGAGCTCCTAGTGAAAAATGTGATTTGTTGTTTACCACTTGATTGTCTTCAATTACAATATCACAGGATTTCCCTATGATAAGTAGTTCGATACATCACTGGTAACAGAAAGCTTTGTGTGCACACTGTATAATCCATGTGTGCTATTATATTTCTTGTTATGGCATTATGAGTTATACATCCCCTCCTAGCAGTTGTGGCCAGGATCTGTGAAACATTTTGGAGGCAAACACAAAAGTCTGTCTCTCACAACTACCAAGCAAGTTTTCAACTTCTGAATAACTTTTTGTACAAATAGAGCAAGAAACCAGTTTTTCCACTTAAATATAGATTTTATTGCTGGCAATAATTGATAGCTTTCTACTCTTTGCTGCATCTTCACAAAAAAACACGTTAGTCATGGATGCTTTTTGAAAAGAACTCCCGCTATATTCTATTATAATTTGAGTCCAGAGAACTGAGTTTATTGCAGAAACATTGCATCCTTCAATTCTGGATGCTTATTAAACGGACTTCTTAATAAAAAGACCAATGGCTATAGATTACATATAATTGTCGTGTCAGAAGCGACTTGAGAACATACTTCAAGTCACTTCTGGTGTGTGAGAATTGGCTGTCTACAGAGATGTTACCCAGGGGACACCCGGATGTGTTCCCATCCTGCTGGGAGATTTTTCTCATGCCCCTGAAAGCTAGAGCTTTTCCGCTTGACGGGAGCTCACCCCATCTTGCAGATTCGAACCGGCATCCTTCAGGTCAGCAACCCAATCTTCAGTTCAGCAGTCCAGCCGGCTCAAGGGTTTAACCCATAGCACCATCACAGCTCTTTTAGTACATATAATGTATGGGGAGGATCACAAGTTAACCTCTGCTTGAAATGATCAAGTGGCAAGCAAGTAAAGACTCTGAGACTGGACCCCTTTCTGCACTACAAAATGATAGCAGTGTGATTCCTCTTTAACTGCCATGGTTGCACCCTTTGAAATTGTAGACTAAGAGAGAGGTATTGTGAATTCTCTGCCAAAAAGTTATATTGCTTCATCAAATTGCAAAGCCTTGTTTTCCATTGCATGCTGCAGCTATCGCAGTGTGGATTTATAGTGGTATAATTCCATAGTGCGAGAGGGCCTCAAAACTTGAATATATTAATGTTTTGGATCAGCATTTTCAGGAGACCCCAGCTAGCATGATTATGTTGTTAATGAGATTCTAGGAGACGTAGGAAAAAAGTGAATTGACTATGAAGCATTTTTGTCAGTTGGAACAACAGGATTGGATCAGGGCTCTGACCCAGCATGGGGCAGCTTCCCTTCTCCATTCAATCTTTGTCCTTACCATATGCCTCTACTTCTGTTCCCGGTGAGCAGACCACTTTCCTTCATTTATCAGGGAAAGTACCTAATACCAAATGACAGAAAGTCAGGGAACAAAAAATAAAGCGTAGGATTTGAAATGTTGAAAATAAAGATAAGAGACATGAATATGGTCATGTTTTTTTAAAAAGTGACATATACCCCCAAGAGCATGAGAATTGCAAAAAGAAAGTGTCCGCTTAATGGCAGCTAGAATGTCAAACATATACGGGAAATTTTCCTCTTGGGGTTTGGTTGAAATTATTTGGAGCTGTGCTCCTCTTGCAAACCAACCATTGCTTCTTGCATCATAGTCAGCCCAGAGTTTTAAAAAATATACTTACTGTATTTCTTTGATTCTAACATGCCATCTCGTATTTGTGACACACACTAATTTCAGTACCACCTGCAGAAAAAAACATACTTGTGATTCTAAGACATATCTTATCTTTAGAGATGTTTATATGGGGAAATGTGTCTTAGGTAAGATAAAGGTTTCCCTTTACATTAAGTCTAGTTGTGTCTGACTCTGGGGGGTGGTGCTCATCTCCATTTCTAAGCCGATGAGCCAGCGTTGTCTGTAGACATCTCCAAGGTCATGTGGCCAGCATGACTGCATGGAGTGCCATTACCTTTCCGCAGAAGCAGTACCTATTGATCAACTCACATTTTCATGTTTTTGAACAGCTAGGTTGGCAGAAGCTGGGCCTAACAGTGGGAGCTCACCCCACTCCCCAGATTCAAACTGCTCACCTTTCGGTCAGCAAGTTCAGCAGCTCAGTGCTTTAACCCACTCTGCCACCAGGGGTCATAGAATTGAAGAAATAGAAAACTTTATTTTGGACTTGCTTGAGTTTCAGGATAGGAAACACTTAAATCAACAATAAATTAAAATGCAAAATATATCAAAATACAATCTTCACAAAAAAGCTATACTTTCCATTGCCATCCAAAATGCAGAAAAAGCCTCACCCCAGCTTTCAAATCTTTGCTGATTTCTTCATCAGGCAAAGATGATAAAAATCATACAGGAGAAGAAAAGTGAAGATATTAGAGTCACAGACTTATATGCTGCTTTCAGTTCAGATGGTATTGAGGGATTTCAGTGTAGCCAGAGGCAACCCGGTTTGCTTTCAGTTCAGATGGTATTGAGGGATTTCAGTGTAGCCAGAGGTTTCTAGGCCATGTGAGACCAAGGACAACGGGCAATGATAGACAGATAATAACTTTTCAGCTCCATTCACAACCGAAAAGCACTTTTTATAGAATTGTTGAATGTGATGCTGGGAACATTTCTTTTTCCCTTAAAATGTTAGTCCAAACAAAATGATCTCCCATTGCTTTCTTAAGAGACGTGTGAGTTTTCCCATTTGAGTCTTGTATCTTTACAGTGGGTTTACATCACAAATTGTCACAGAATTGTCACAAGAGCAGCGTTGCTCAACTCTGTATGGGGCAACTCAGCTTGCATTTCAGATTGCTTATTTAGGGCAGAAAGAAACAGCTTGAATGCACATTCATTGCCCAAAAAATGAATATAATAGGAAATGTCATATGTGTGTTGAAGCCACTTGCACATAGCTAATAGTTTAGGCAGTTATTTTCCCTTCAATAAGCAATACGTTTTGTCCACAGTAGGCGATAGACATGTTATATTGGGTATCATAAACACTGCTGGAAGAATATTTGCAAAACAATGGGAACTTCACAAAATCTAGCTGGCTGAAGCATCTTTGTTATTTGGATACATGAAGTTTATAGTCCTGGCCAAAGTTATCCTTGTGTTACGTATGACTTGTGCCCCTTTGAAATGACTAAGAACTTGTTATTGTTGTGTGCCTTCATGTCATTTCTGATTTATGCCAACATCCAGTAAAACTATCATAGGGTTTTCTTGGCAAGGTTTGTTTAGAAGGGGTTTGCCATTGTTTCCTCTGGGGCTGAGAAAGTGGGACTTGCCCAAAGTCACTCAGTGGGTTTCCATGGTAAAAGGGAGATTTGAAGCCAAGTCTCCTAGTCCAGTAATCAGGCCACTATAGCACACAGTCCACTACACATACTAAGAACTGCAAATGCATAATTGCTATGTAAAACTTTTTCTTTTGAGGCCAAGTATTTGATTGAATACTTGGTTGAATGTGCTTTGCTGACTAGACTAACCAGTCACTAAGAAATGCTGCAAACTTTGTTGAAGATACCTATTTATTTTCTGTGCAGTGTATTTTTCTTGGCTGAGTTTACTTTATCTGAAACGTGGTATAATTGCTGAGTAGCATGTTTGTTCTGTATGTATGTGTTTTTGTGGTAGGAAAGAAGGATAATGACTCTTTCAAGATTGTAAAACTAGAGTTTGCTCCACCTACAAGAGTTTGTGGATGTTACCTAAATTTTTTCCATCTAGTCATCTCTGGCCATGCTGCATGTGGAATTCTGACAATTGCATCCCAATAACATAATTTCCCTTGATACTTATAAGCTGGAAAACAGGAGAGAACAGAGGTTTATATAATGATTCAGGTACTTCAGTATCAATGGTGTACATTTTATGTGCCTGATTTTCACACACTATAAACAGTATTTTAGTTTTATGTGTTTTTTCTCAGTGGAAAGTGGTGTCCATGTAGAAACACATACTGTACATGTGAAGTGTCTGTAGGCTTTTAACAGTTATTCCAAAGTATCTCAGATTGTGACAATTGATTGAGATACCAGGAATGATGATGTGCCTTTGAATGTGCGACTCGTATGTATCACAATATCAATGTGGATGTTGTTGCTTATAAGAGAGCTGTATAAATCTGCAGAATATGTTTGCATGTGTGATGTTACACATTTAGAATGAAAAGTGTATTAGTAGTAAACGACTGTCTGTCTTTGCAGGGTGATCAAACAGCTTTGCATCGAGCTACAGTTGTAGGGAACACAGATGTAATATCCACTCTTATCCATGAAGGATGCTCTTTAGACAGACAAGACAAGGTAAAAAGGAAATGCATGACACCAGAAATAGTTTTAGTATTTTAACTATTTAGAAACTAGACATAGTCATAAACCATTGTCTAAGTTGTTTGGATAATTTATGGTGGAACTTTCTAGTTCTGACTACAATACTGAACACCCCAAACAACTCAAAACCTTGGAAAGTGTTGTCAAATTGGGAGATGCTGGTAATGTTTGTGTTAAGTGGTTTTTGTAGTCCAAATAATAATAATAATAATAATAATAATAATAATAACTTTATTTATATATTGTTCTGTCTCCCCGAGGGGACTCAGAGTGGTTCTCAGGTGACATCACAAAACATACAAGGTAAAAAACAACATAACCATAAGATTAACAAAGCAAAATATAAACATAAAAATTGTCGCCATAACACACATATTAAAAGAATCCTGCCTGTTCAAGGCAATTTAAAAAAATTTTAAAGTCCAAACTGTCATAAACTTTGACATATAGCCCAGCAGTGTCCTTTTCCAGTTCATTCCCTACCATGTTGTTTGAGAAAAAGCCCTGTATGGCAAACACGATGTTTCCTGTTCCTTGGCTTTGTTTTAAGTATTAGACTCCTCATATGAAGATAGTTGACTTAAGGGCTATTTTTCTTTTTCTCTGTATCTGCTTTTCAGGATGGGAATACAGCTCTCCATGAAGCCTCTTGGCATGGTTTCAGCCAGTCGGCCAAACTCCTTGTTAAAGCAGGAGCCAATGTTCTGGCCAGAAACAAGGTGAGATGCTTGCAGAAAGGAGCTTTCAAGTTTACTTATTCAAAAAGAAAAGAAATTACTTCGAAAGTTGAAATGTTTCCTCCAGTAGTTTTCATCAGTGACATTTCTCATCAAATGGCAATGTATCTCTTGGCAAATATATGTGTCATTTTATTTTAATTGAACTTGTGTAGAGTCTTCCCCTGTGAGGAATTTTCCATGTGGGAAAATGTCTGTTTTGACAGCTGACACACGCAAAAAAAGAGCTCAGTTATACTGAATGTTATTGCATGAATTATGGCCAAGTGACACTAAAAGGGGTTTTCCGCATTTTAGTTGTGATGGAAAGGATTTATATTAGAAGGTGTGAAAAAATGGCAATAGAAACCTAGCTAATTAAATGCAAGACAACCAATTCCTTTAAAATGGCAAACCCAGGGAATAATGCATGTTTTACATACGGTTTTCATACTTCAAATATTTGAACAAAATCTCTTCAAAAACTGTTGAGGGATTCATTATGTTTCCAGGTCTTTTCCAACTCTTTCTATGTTTATCTTATGTTACGGGGTGTGTGTTACAGGACTATATAGGATACACATTATGAGGTGCTTTCATTCTCAATAGGCGTATCAATGTGTGTGCAATATATGAATGATTGTTTGCACATAATACTTTATAGAATAGAAAACTCTTTCTCTCAAAGAGCTTATAGTAAGTTGACACAAGGAAAGTGACTGATGATAGAATAGTGGAGCCAGGATACCAATAATGAAAGAGATGAATTGAATAGTTTTGGTAGCTGGATAGAATTGGTGTACCAAATAGACATAAGGGAGATCAATGTAAGACAATTATAGACCAGAAAGAAGATGAGAGTGCCCTGGATGAGAGATGACTATGACAAGGACCAAAGGTTCTGCCAGGGGGAAAAATGTTTTAATATTGTTTCTCAACCTTCCTCATGCCATGACCCCTTAATACAGTTCCTCATGTTGTGGTGACCCCCAACCATACAATTATTTTTATTGCTACTTCATAACTGTGATTTTGCTACTGTTATGAATCGTAATGTAAATATCTGATATGCAAGATGTATTTTCATTCACTAGACCAAATTTTGCACAAATACCCGATATGCCCAAATTTGAATGCTGGCGGGGTTTGGGGGGGGGGGGGATTATTTTATCATTTGGAAATTGTAGTTCCTGGGATTTATAGTTAACCTATGACCAAAGAGCCTTCTGGACTCCACCAATGATGGAATTGAACCAAACTTGGAACACAGAACTCCCCTGACCAACAGAAAATACTGGAAGGGTTTGGTGGGCACTTGAATTTTGAAGTTGTAGTTCACCTACATCCAGAGAGCACTGTGGACTCAAACAATGATAGATCTGTACCAAACCTGTCACAAATACTCAATTTGCCCAAATGTAAACACTGGTGGGGTTCAGGAAAAATAGACCTTGACATTTTGGTGTTGTAATTGCTGGGATTTATAGTTCACCTACAATCTGAAAGCCACCAACAATAGAATTGGGCCAGACTTCCCACACATATCTTCCATGCCTTGGAGGGACTCGCTGGCGTGAGTCTCCCTCCAGCCTCACATGCTTTCCCCTCACTTGCACATGCACATTGTGCTGCCATGCGCCGAGCACGCCTCCTCTCTCCTCTCCACTTAGAGTCTCAGAAACAGCCCTCCCCTTGGCTGAGAGGCCAGCCAATCACAATGGAGGAGGGCTTTTGATGGGAGGATTCGCCATCTGTTTCCAAAAAGGAAGAGAAGGACAGGCAGAGAGATCTTTAGATGTTTTATGCTATATTTTGTTTTGTTAATCTTATGGTTATTTTTTTTTACTTTGTATGTTTTGTGATGTTACCTGGGAACCGCTCTGAGTCCCCTCGGAGAGATGAAGCGGTATACAAATAAAGATTATTATTATTATTCAGCCTTCTTTGCCAAAGAGGTCCTAAGAGTATCAGAAATATTGTCTTTGGTGACCCCTCTGAACACCCCCCGCGACCCCCCCAGAGGTCCCGACCCCCAGTTAAGAAACATTGTTATAAAGGGAAGAAGACATGTCTTGGCAACAGACTAAATGTGGAAACCAGAGAAAAGGAAGAAGTCAAAGATAAAATCAAGTCAATACATAATGTCGAAGTACATTGTTCGGGCATTGAATGTTTGCCTTTTATGTTTGGAATCTGCCCTGAGTCCTTCCGGGGAGGTAGGGTGGAATATAAATAAAGTTCTATTTTTATTATTATTACAAAATTTGTAAGAAAAATTAAAGGTTAAAATTTAAACATTCTGAGTATGAGATAACGGCAATGCATCCAAACAGAAATGTTGAAGAGGGATGTATTACGCACCAGGGAAGGAAGTGCAATATCAGACCTTTTCCTGTAAAACATAAATCGTACTTAATATTGAACATACAGCAGTGGGCAGATGAATCACAAAGTAAGCCCAAAGTATGCAAATGCCACTCTCCAGAAATAGAAGTATAAGCTCTTGTTTCTGAAATTAGACCAAAGTAACTTAAGGGAGATGTACTTCCATTTCATAATTCATGAGAACAGTGAGATGAAAAAACAGCAGGATGGCTCAAGTTCTGTCTGTTAAATTGCAGATCAGAAGTGTTGAGCCAGTCAGCTTGTCTGAATTTTTTTTTTTTTAAAAAGTACTTTTTTCAGGTTCACAGTTGGACCTCTTAAGGTTTTTGAGGCATGGGATTTCACTAAGTGCTTCCTATAGGAAAGATGTGATTTAAGAGTGTAGTTACCTTTAAGGAGACATTTCATTGACCACAGGGGAGGAGGCAGAGGGTAGAAGAAACAGAGGCTCATTGGTGTATGTTCTGTATCACCAACTACAAGCCTTGGGTTCTTCTTTTGTTAAAATTCTGGAAACTTTCTCAGAAATGATAGAGAATCAAGTGAGAGGAAATGCTATGTTCTCTATAATGAAATAAAAACAGATGCACCACTCATATTTTATTACATCAGACAAAAAGGCTGATCAAAATAAGAAACAAGATTGCAAAATTTACATGTGCCAAATTATATAGCTCTTTATGGTAATGTTATCCTTTAAATCTGCCATCCACTAACTCCACTTGGGCTTAGATCCAGTAAAAACGCCAGTGGAGCCCAAGTCTCTGCCAGTGTAAAAATATCATTCCCTGGATGCTGCTGCTTCTTCACCCCCAGTTCTTCCTTGGCAGCACAAGATCTGTTGGGATATTCACCAAACTACAACTCCCATTGTTCCATAGCATTGGCCCATGGCAGCTAAGGTGGTGTCAGGGTGCATTAATTCTACTGTGTAGATGCAGCCCAAGACCTTCCACCTCCTGCTGTTCAGATGAGGCAAGTCATGTTGTACATATACTGGTGTAACAGGGTGTTATGTTTGTGTATGTCACCTGTATAGCCAGTATGTTTCCCCTCCATTCCTCAGTCCAGAACATAACAGCTTTTCTTAGCTGTTATTGTTAAAGGTAAAAGTTTCCCTTGACATTAAGTCTAGTCATGTCCGACTCTGGGGGGTGGTGCTTATATCCATTTCTAAACCAAAGAGCTGGTGTTGTTCATAGACACCTCCAAGGTCATGTGGCTGGCATGACTGCATAGAATGCCATTACCTTCCCACTGAAGTGGTACCTGCAGATCTACTCACATTTGCATGTTTGCGAATGGCTAGGTTGAAAGAAGCTGGGAGCACACCCCGTCCCACAATTTGAACTACCAACCTTTTGGTCAGCAAGTTCAGCAGCTCAGCAGTTTAAACCGCTGCACCACCAGGTGGCTGATATTGTTACATTGTGAGAAATGAAAAATAATCATCTGCTTGTTCCAAAAATATCTTTGGGACAAGGACAAGACAAATTAGGTATCTGACATGCTGCAGGAAAAGCAACAACAGCCTTGCTTTCCCTTTGTCACTGACTATCTGTTAGGTTGCAGATTTCTTTCTCCGTGGAGGTCAGGTATATTCAAAAGCAGTGGAGAAGAAAAGTTAATTTGTTTGTTTGCTTTGTTCGTGTACTTTGTGTCCTTTCTAGAAATGACTGTGTTCTTCCCCTCTCTCTTTTCTAAGGCAGGTAACACGCCACTGCACTTGGCTTGCCAAAACAGTCATTCGGAAAGTGTTCGAGTCCTACTGCTTGGAGGTTCCCGGGTTGATATCAAAAACAATGTGAGTGTTACTAAATATAGATACAGACATATTTGGCCTTTATGTATGGATGAATTAAAAAGTACCATGTTGATAATTTGTTTTCAAAAATCACATAAAACGAAACAGAAAGAAAAAACAGAAATACTCTGAACAGAACAAATACCATTCTATTATTTTGAGGGTGGAGTTTCCACCCTCCAAACCATGGGTGCAAAACTGTCATTCACTCCCTTATTTCTACTTAATTGGTATTTAAACTTCTGCCTAATAAACATACAAAAAATACCAATATTTTAATAACAATAACAATAATACTTTATAACCCTCCCTGTCTCCCCAAAGGGACTCAGGGGAGTTTCCAAAGTATAACAAAAATGGCAAACATTCAGTGCCAAGAACAAACAAACAACAATCAAGACAAGACATATTTTAAACTCCAAAATACTATCTTTTCTTTTCTTATGAAGGTTAAAAAAAGATTCCCAGACTTTTAAGACATTATCAAAAGCTACAAAGAAGATAATTTGCCCGTTGCTGCCATTCCAAAAATCTTTTATATCCAATCTACACTGCCAAAATCAAATAAATTCACACTCTATAATATAAACCTTTAATCTGCTTATTCAACATTCCCAATTAAAACAACTCTGGTTTCAACATTACTCATTTAAAAAAATCTTGTATCAACAACTATATCTGCTTCCAATATTTCCTCGCTTTATCTAATGTTCACCACATATGGTACAAAGTTCCTTCTTGTGTTCCACATTTCCAAACTGTATTTTTAGATCCTTTACACTTCTTATGAACAATAAATAATATGTAATCCTTAACAATTTAAGGGGAAAAAGAACATGTAAAATACATTCTTACATTGTTAAGGATTATGAAGCATTAGTGATCCCCTTTTGCCCCAATTTAAAATTAAGTAAACAATTATTTTGCTTGTAACTGAAGGGACACTCCAATTGTCCCAGTTTGGCAATGACAGTCCATTTAATCCTTTGTTTGCCCCACTTTTTCAGCTGCTTTTAAAATGTCCCAGTTTCTCTCCCCTCTTAATATTCTTCCTTTTCATCCTTGTTTATAACAATTATTACTGTATAAGTTTAAAAGTGGAGAAATTTAGCTTGCAGTCAGTAAAATCAGTATTTCAGTAGAGTTTGGGAATCATTGTGTTATATTATGCTCGTTCCCAGCTACGTTTGTATAGGATTGCACCTCCCAATAGCCAAGATGTTTTTATGGTGATCTACATTTCCCCCTTATTTTTAGGCAGGAGATACCTGTTTGCATGTCGCAGCTCGTTACAATCACTTACCCATCATTAGGCTACTCCTCAGTGCTTTCTGTTCAATCCATGAAAAAAACCAGGTCAGTGCATGAACACCATCGTCGCCGTGCTGCATTTTCTATAAGGCTTTCTCGGCGGAAGATGTTTCTTGTCTTTGAAATAGATTCACTGGGCTCTGAAGCCCATGGAGAGCTTTTGGAATGTCTCCATTCCATATTGCCACATTGCTGTACTATAGATATCCTTTAGGTTATAAGAATGGCCTTAAAGAAATGCTTTGTCATGTCAGAACATGCTGTTGCATCCACATTTATTGTTTCTGCGCCCCCCCCCCTTCTTAAAATTCTTTCCAGAGTAAAAATTGCAACATTGATGTCAAGACCTAGAAGATAATGCAATTAAATAAGTTTTAATTATATAGCTTTAAAAATATAACTCGATAAGTTTTTTTTGCTGTGCATACTGAAAAGTTGTAAGCAACAATTGGCACATGAAAAAAGAAAATAAAAAATGAAGCACAAATCAAGGGCCTTTCAAAAGCCTTTTCCCTATCAGGAAATAAGAATGTATAAGTGACCAATCCCACCCAACTGTATAATATAAATATTAAATGCAAGTTTACTCTTTCATGGTTTCTGACTTACAGCAACCCTAAGATGAACTTATTATGGGTTTTTCTTGGCAAGATTTGTTCAGATTGTGCTTGCTATTACCTTCCTTTTAAGTTGGGAGAGTCTGACTTGTTCAGAGTCATCCCTAGTGAGTGAGGATTTAAACCAGTGGTTCCCAACCTTTTTTTGACCAGGGACCACTTTGATCAGAGACCACTTTGACCAGGCACCACTTTGACCCAGGGCCACTTTGATCAGGGAGCATTGTGACCAGGGATGACTTGATCACAGACCGCTTGACCAGGGACCACTTTGAGAAGGGTCCACTCTCCAACATTAGTACCAAACAGGTTACAAATAGTTTTTGGTCAACTTTAGATTCAGTTTGGTTATTTGGGGTGCTGATTCAGAAAATTGCATTGGATAGACCACATCAGCTCTAGTTTCTGATACAGAACATATGCCATCCAGTAGTTATTATTATTATTAAACTTTATTTGTACCCTGCTAGCATCTCCCGAAGGATTCGATGCGGCTTACACAGGCCGAGGCCTCAACACACAACACAACAATACAATCTAAGCAAATCAAACAATTAAAAACAGAATAAAGCAAAATAAACAACAGGCACAATACACTAAAACACAATAAAACTGGGCCGGGCCAGAGAATGGGTACAAAGATTAAAAGTGCTGATGTGACAGGAGGTTGCCATCTACTCACCCACAGAAAACCATATTTAATAAGCCTCGGCACTATAAGAGGGTTTTGCGTGACCAGTTGCTCTTGTTTCAACTGTATAGTAACAGTGAAGCTGCAGACCATATTTTAATTCTTGCTGAGCACTGGTTGTCCATGGACCACAGGTTGGGAATCACTGATTTAAACCCTGGTCGAAGTTCCTATAACATGCAAGTACATCTGTTCAGCTTGCCTTGATGTTATATATAACTAAAAATACCACAAATAACTCTGGAAGGAATACTTGTATTTTCATGACCACTGTAATAGTAGCAAATGCTACTATTACAGATTTTTCATTCTATTCCTTAGGCATGTTGTATAAGAACCATTTCTTTGAACAAACAGCCTTCTACAAAGTAGTATTGTTTTTCTTCAGTAGCCTGTCTTTCTGTTCGGTAGCCCTTTTTGAAGCTTGCGTTTTGACTAAAATGTTCACCAATGGGAATGACCGCATGTGAGTTATATTTTGTTTTTATAACTTTAAGGTTGGCGATACAGCACTCCATGTAGCTGCAGCACTAAACCATAAGAAGGTAGTCAAACTCTTGTTGGAGGCAGGAGCTGATGGGACAGTAGTTAACAATGTAAGTCCTCTTCCTTCTTGCTCTTTCAAGCTATTTGCTGTTCAGTTGTGGCTTTGCCAAAGTGGCTGGATGGGAAAGTTGCATATACACATAACAAGGTCATGTTGGTAAAATAACTTTTTTGTCAAATGCTTTCTAGAGTCTATACCAGGCATGGGCAAACTTCGGCCCTCCAGGTGTTTTGGACTTCAACTCCCACAATTCCTAACAGTCGGTAGGCTGTTAGGAATTGTGGGAGTTGAAGTCCAAAACACCTGGAGGGCTGAAGTTTGCCCATGCCTGGTCTATACTCAGATATGTTTATGGTTTTATTGACTGTGCTGATTTTTCATATTTATTGTTTCCATGTGTAATATCCCTTGTGCTTTATTGAAACTTGATTGGATTATGTTTTTCTTTAATAAATGTTATACAAATTTGTTCATATACCGGTGGGCATATATTTTAAGTCTTCTTTTGTCTTCTGAATGTCTTCTGAAGAGGACCACTTTTCTTCTGTTGTTACAGGCTGGTCAGACCCCACTTGAAGTTGCCCGTGAACACAACAACGCTGAAGTGGCCCTTCTGCTCACAAAGGCCCCGCAGGTATGCCCTGGGTATAACTCAATGATAGCTGGTACACTGTTTAGTAAAGTACTCTGGGGTCAGTATCTCTCACACAATCAAATCGGGGAGGTAGATGTTTCAGATTTTGTTTAAAGATGCATGTCTTACAATGGGGTTGAATCCAGACATAGTAAGAATACCATAATTACTTGAATCTAATGCACTTTTTTTTTACTAAATTAGTAAAGGGTAAAAGTTTCCCCTTGACAATAAGTCTAGTTGTATCCAAACTCTGGGGGGTGGGTGCTCATCTCCATTTCTAAGCCGAAGAGCCAGTGTTGTCCATAGACACCTCTAAGGTCATGTGGCCAACATGATTGCATTAAGCGCTGTTACCTTCCAGCCGGAGTGGTACCTATAGATCTACTCACATTTGCATGTTTTCGAACTTCTAGGTTGGCGGAAGCTGGGGCCAACAGCGGGTGCTCACCCCACTTCTTGGATTTGAACCTCTTACTTTTTGGTCAGCAACTTCATCAGCTCAGTGGTTTAACCTGCTGCAGCACCAGAGGCTCAACTGAATAAATTACATCACCAAAATTAGGGTGTGCATTAGATTCGGTAGTGCATTAACTCAGCAAGAGGATGACAGGTCCACCGAGGCAGGCAAGCTTGCGTCAGGGATGGAATTGCCAACAATGAAGGAGAAGCAACAGCTTGTCATTGGCTTTCACTTCAGTCCAATTATTTTTCTCCACTTCCCTAATTTAGCAGTAGATTTCAGTAAATCCTTCACTTGAAGCCAATATATCACAGCTGCTGGTCAAAGGACATTTAATAGAATGCGAAGTTTGCAAGCTTTGTGGGTGGTTCTTTGCTTTTTTTTAATGCAATACAACTGTTTGGTCCACTCCTGACACGATAAATAAATATGTTATTGGTGTGACAACCTATTCTAAATCTAAAAATGACAACCTAACCTACATATATTAAGCATGTAATTGAGTCTAGTTCTAATGCATAGAAGTTAGTGTAAAACATTTTTTTAAAATTATAAAAACTAGCTGCCATTTTTTGTTTCTATTGCACAGTTTTAGTACAGCTACTACACTCCTATTATTCTTGATTTGTTATGAATTTGCTCAGCATTTTAGGAAGCAACAAATATTTTTAAACTTCCCTTTGTATCATTTAATTAAGATGAGTGGCTCAACTTGGATGGGATCTAGACTCAATCATACTTTCTCCTAGAGCAGTGGTTCTCAACCTGTGGGTCCCCAGGTGTTTTGGCCTACAACTCCCAGAAATCCCAGCCAGTTTACCAGCTGTTAGGCTTTCTGGGAGTTGAAGGCCAAAACATTTGGGGGCCACAGGTTGAGAACCACTGATTTAGCCATTGAAATCCATAGGATGTAAGTTAGCTGATATCCCATTGATTTTGAAGGTTCTAATTGAAGTGTGGTCAAGGATGCATCTACATTGTACAGCTAATGCAGTTTGACACCACTTTAACTGCCATGGCTCAATGCTATGGAAACATGAGAGTTGTAGTTTTTCAAGGTCTTTAGAATTCTCTACCAAACAGTGTTGGGGCCTTGTCAAACTACAATTCCTGTGATTCCATAGCATTGAGCCCTGGCAATTGAAGTGGTATCAAACTGCATTAATTCTACAGTGTAGATATTCCATCCCTAAGGTACTAACTGGAAACACTGCTCCATCTGCAGGTCTCACGGTTCAATCGTGGGAGAAGCTTGAGGAAGAAGAGGGAGAGACTCAAAGAAGAGAGACGTGCTCAGTCTGTACCAAGAGATGAAGTGGTACAAAGCAAGGTAAAGTCAGCTTTGTATATTTAGAAGGCAAGGAATGTGGTCTGAGTGCTGCAAACACCCTTGGCTCCCGTGAAAGTGTTTGAAATGGATGTGTCCTGTGTCATTTACTCTTGAATGCCACAAGTGATGCCTTTTTAGATGCTCTTGATGGTTCCATATTTCAGATTCATGTAATCTCATGAGCAGGGCCAAGTGGAAGAAGCTGAAAGTAACCATCTGGGTCCATTTCATCTTTTCCTGTGAACTCTCTTATTTCGGAACAGGGCAGTGCCTCGGCTGCTGATGACACCAACAGCAGTGACCCACCCCCTCATGGGAGAAATAACTTGAAAGATGAAGCCCAGCTGCCTTTGTCCGAACTCCGAGGGAGGAAGAGCAAGAAAAAGAAACCAAGGGAAAAGGTACCATTGAATGAAATGTGATGGAGGGGACAGGTCTTTTCTCCTAGCTATGTCTCACTTCCCGTTCCATATGTTAGAACATGGGTTTAAATGAAGTGAAATATTGTTTGTAGTTTAAACTGTGTGGTGTAGCAATGCAATGTTAAGAGTTACATGCACAGTGCTGTGCTTTGATTTCTAGAGCGTAATTTTGGAGTGTTCCGGTGTGTGTTTACATTCCATTGAATTAGATTGACATGCGGTTTGAGCTTCCTGTGATGTACAGCTAGAAAATGGACGTGTTTTATTCTGCTCCTGGAAATAGTGTAAATTGGCAATAAAAGATAAGAGCTGCTCCGAGACTTTGGAGCTGACTGAAGTAGTATGCTTCATTATTTGCTTTTGTGCTTCCGAGCAGACAGTCAGAGGTCAATAAATCGACACCATAAAGCGTAGATTTTTCATCAGTGCCTCCTTTTTTGGGCCACTGTTTAATGTAAGTTGTTTATTTAGTTTTAACTATACCTAAAGTGTTGAAAGTATTTTGATCTGTAATGTGTTCTATTGTGGCCTAACTGTAATTAGATGGGGTGGGAATGAGCATTTTATCTCCAAAATCAGGCAAAAAGTTGTTGGTTTTGTTTTTTAAAAAATCAGGTTTCAGCACTCTCTGACCCCACATCCCCTGCTGACCAGCAGATGCCTTCTGGCCCACACCAGAACTTGCCAAAACGCAGGAGCAAGCACCGCTGCTCATCTCCACCGCCACCCCATGAATTCAGAGCATATCAGTTGTATACACTTTACCGTGGGAAGGATGGTAAAATCATGCAGGTAACCAAGTAGTCTCCTACTGGAGTAATATGAATATGTTGAAGAAATAAAACAGGAAGGATTTTCATAAAGCTAAGCATAATTCAGATTTAATTATTTGCATGCCTTTTTGGAAAGTGGTGTAATATACAATTGTATAGATGTGCCCTCATTGTTAAATGATTTGGATCTTTGAATTAATCTGGTTATAAGGATAGTGGAGGCAACATCTTAAATCCAGCTTAGTTCCAACTGGAAGTGATACACTTAATACATTTTTTGCATTGACAGTTGTATGCATATGTGTGTAACTTCTTAATAGAGAGATGAAGAAAGCAATGGGAATACAGTATGAGTTTCACCTGAGAAGTATTTAATCTCTCCATGTATAGATTAGAATTGTATTTTTATTCATTATCAGATAATATTTTTCTATGTGTGTAGTGCAGAATGAAAAGACTAATGGTTTTTGAAGGGTGAACCTAAGCTGTGGTACTGCTTTAAGCCAATTTTTACTGCAGCATATGTGTCAAGTTTTTTCTTTGTATTTTTGGCTGTAGTCTGGTTTCATAGAATCATAGAGGTGGTACGTGGTAGGCCATCCGGTAACCCCCTACCAAGAAGCAGGAAAATCACGTTCAAGGCGCCCCCGACATCTGGCCATCCCGCCTCTGTTTAAAAGCCTCCAAAGAAGGAGTCCCCATCACACTCTGGGGCAGAGAGTTCTACTGCTGAACCGCTCTCGCAGTGAGGAAATTCTTCCTAATGTTTAGGTGGAATCTCCTTCCCTGTAGTTTGAAGCCAATGTTCAGCGTCCTAGTCTCCAGGACAGCAGAAAACAAGCTTGCTCCCTTCTCCCTATGATTTCCCCTCACATATTTATACATGGCACTCATCATGTCTCCTCTTAGCCTTCTCTTCTGCAGAAAGTCTTCAGAAATGGCAATTATCTTGGGATGGTTAACATCAGAACATGGTGATTTTACAAAATCAGAAATGGACATCTGGACATTCCAAGGGTGTTTTGTTTGTTTTTGCACTTCAGATAGTGTTCTTAGAATATCCCAAGAGTAAAGAAATACCCCCTGGATTAATTGAAAATGTCCCATCCTGGATCTAGGCAGATCTGTTTAATTATCTGTTGCAACCTATGATTTTAAACATATACACTCGAATCCTGTTTATATGCTATAACTCTGGTTTATGTCAGCCATTGTCCCTTTTACATGCATGGTTAGGTAATATCCAGTGTGCAGGCAGTTGATTAATCTGTTTTAAAGGCCTGTCCAACGTGCTGCCATTTTTTTGTTCTCTTCTAGTATACTGGTGGTACATTATCTAGGTTGACATTGAATGGGATTTCAGCCAAAATGGGTGTATCTCTTCCTATAGATCCCAATCAGAGCTGCCAGAATTAATGTTAAGGTGGAAGGTTGTGTTATTGGGGTTCTTCATTTCTTCCAGGCACCAATAAATGGATGTCGCTGTGAACCGCTGATAAATAAAGTAGAGAACCAATTGGCAGCTGCTGTGGAAGAAATCAAAGCTGAGTTTGTATCAGTACAGGATAAGATGAATAGCAAACTTGGACAGATGGAAAACAAAACACAACACCAGGTAAGGAAGCAATTCCAGCATCAAGTATTTCTGGAGCATCATGAGAGTGATAAGTGGCTTCCTTCACAGGGAAGCTGCTTGACACTCTTTCCTTTTCAAGCTGTTCAGCATGGAGCAATTGCCACAAAGCACAGCTGCAGCACAGAAGCTGTTCTCTGCAGCTGCTTCATGTGGTGATGACCATGATTTGCAGGCCAACCTTGTTTAACCACTTTAACATTATAAATATAGAATGGTCAGATGTTGCAAAATAGAGCTTGGAAAGAAATGGAGAGGAGTGGCAATATAGAAGAGGAATTTCTTCTAAAGTCATTGTAAGTAAATTGGTAGATTATGCCTGGGATCCTTTTAGTAATTCAGTATCCTTTTTACTGGCATAGCACTTCCTTAGTTCTTAAACAGGGGGAACTCATACAAACATGTTGCAGATCAGCAATCCCAACAGATGGCCATCCAGCCCCCTTTTAAAAGCCTCCAAAGAAGGAGCCTCTACCTTCAACTGTTGGCCCTGTCTCCAAATGGGGTCTTTTCAGCTCAGTGTTGGGGTCCCAAAATAAATTTATGAACACCATCTAGTGGTTGTTTTAGACCTTTACATGAATCTGTTGTGCAGGGTTTACAGTGGACTCTACAGAGGATGCTTCAGCTGTACTTCATAAAAAGGAAAATTAGACTATTTAGCAAGCTTTGCAAATACTGATCTATTATCAGTATTTGATTTTTATATCTATTTTATATAGCCATATACCTAAAATGTCTTGGGCCAAAAGGGATAGCAAGTTAAAAGTTTAATAAATTCTGATCTGGACTATATTTGAGGACTATGCAGAAGTAGGTGCATTATATTTTCCATAGTCACTGAATACTGACCCATTTAGCCTTTTGCTGTTCAGTGTTGGGACTCTTAATAGCATTTAGAAGGACACAGGTTTTTCATATCTCTATAAAGCACTTCCCAGCAGCTAGCTATGATAATTAGAATATCCTTGTTTAAAAAAAAATGCTGAATTTTTTAAATGTTGGTTTGTAAATACTTTTTTTAGACCTTCCTTTTTGACTCTCATTTCTACTCTTAGCAAAGTCAAAATGATGAAAGGTGGGATTGAGGGAGGTTTTGTTAATTACTCAGATTTAATAAGTTAATTCATGCACTGGTGTGATTTCTGCTGAACCTTTCTTTTCCATCACAGCTCCGCGTTTTAGACAAATTAATGGCGGAGAGGCTGTCAGCAGAAAGAACAGAGTGCCTTCATCGCCTTCAGGAGCACACGGAGCTGGAAAAAGCTGAAGGGGAGAAACGCCAGGTAAAAAAGAAAATAAAGACATAGTTGATTATGTGAATAGATGAGGAAATTGAACATTTCTGTTAAAGTACAAAGAAAAGACAGGATGCTTATCTGAAAGCAAAAAAAGTTAATATGTTTTCTGGAGTGAAAAGTCTAGTTATAATGGGAAAAATATTGTGTTCTTTCACAGCTTCGCTGAATAATGGACAGTATGATATTTAAACACATTTCTTTTTATAGTTCTTAAAAGATTAATTGCCACCTGCTTGCTGCTGAATTCCCAAATGATTCCATATCCTCAAACATTCTGGTAAAAATAATTTACTCCTTTTTTCATTTGATTTTTGTGTCATCCTTTTTGACTGCATTTCAGGAAGATAACACCTGAACTCCCACAGAGCCAGCAGGAAAATATTTTTAGTTAAGCATGAAGCAAACCCTCTCTGAACAGATCTTGCCAAGAAAACCCCGTGAAAGGTTTGCCTTAGGTTCACCATATGTCGGAAACTACTTGAAGGCACATAGCAAGAAGAAGAAGTCAAAAAGGAGATAAATTGAAGGGATTCAATAGTTTTTCTCCAATCACGAACTCCGAAAACAGTTATGAACTTCAACTTTCCAGCAGGTCTCCATACAAAAGTTCAGCTTTGGAAGATGCCTTACACACAGCAATCGTTTATTTAAATTTTCATTTCTTTTATCCACAGTGGAAAAGGAAAAATACTACTTTACTTAGATTATTTCCAACCAAGAATCAATATTGTGAATTATATGATGGAGTGGTTACATTACTTAGAATTGATTGAGGAGGTCAAGGTTCTGATCTCAAATTTGTCGCAATGCTTATTCAATGATCTTATGTTCAGCGGCTAGAAAAATAATTTTTTAAAGTGATAATTTGCAGAATCATGCAGTTAGTGCTGTGAGATACAATCTAAAGAAGTAACTTTTTCAAGCTGCAATTGGGAAAGTTATTCATTTAGCTTAGAAGAAGGCTGGAGTACAGATGTGCTTAATAGCAATAACCCTCCTTGAAAACCACTGGCATTTTTATGGATTGAATACAGCAACATTTAATATTAAAACACTGTCATGTTTCTCTTTATTTCTAGTTGGTCCAGTGAATAGTAATGCCTCAATCCCAAGAATGCATTTATGTACCAATTATGTATGGAACCCTTTTTCACAAATCAGGAAGAAATTGCTATCTTCCACGCTAATATGAGTGCGAACTTTTATTTCAGTGGTATAATAACATTCATTTCTATTCCTTTGATTCATAAAGTAACTATGCCTTTTACTAAAGGTGTAATGTTAAGTGACCCTTTAAGGATATTATATCCATTAGATTCAGAACTTTACCACACAATAGATTTGTTGCACGAATGCACTGGCTATGTTCCATGTTTGATTTTTCCTAATCACATGGCTGTCCTTTCGTTGCAAAGCATTTCCAAGTTATTGGATCACGTCTTTTCATTGATGGGAAAATCCTGTTATTGGCTTCGATATCTCTGCTGTTCAACTTTTTTTTCCTGGTCTGACCATTTTATCCCTTTGTCATTAGAATATTCTGGAAGAATATGCAGTCCTTTCCTCCCTTTCCTTATCTTTTAGCAAAATAAAAACATGTCTTCGTGCTCCATTTTCCCAGTTTTATTTTATTTTAATGTATTAAAACTTTATCTTGTCATTATTGCACTGTCCTCTATTTGTGAGAAGCATTGAAATGGTACAATTGTGCAATTGAAGTGTATAAAAAAGAAAAACATGTATAGAAATACATTTTAAGATGTGTTTTTATTGAATGTATTTTTATGATGATGATGTATTTTAACTGTGTTGTGCCCCACCTTGAGTCGTAAGAAGTGGGTAATAATAACAATGGCTATTATTATTATTATTATTATTATTATTATTATTAATAGTCCCCCCCTTGGTAGTGCAGCAGGTTAAAGCGCTGAGCTGCTGAACTTGCTGACCAAAGGGTTGGCAGTTCAAATCCGGGGAGCGGGGTGAGCTCCTGCTGTTAGCCCCAACTTCTGCCAACCTAGCAGTTCAAAAATATTCAAATGTGAGTAGATCAGTAGGTACTGCCTTAGCAGAAAGGTAATGGCATTCCATGCAGTCATGCTGGCCACATGACCTAGGAGGTATCTGTGGACAACGTCGACTCTTTGGCATAGAAATAGAGATGAGCACCAATCCCCAGAGTCAGACACAATTAGACTTACTGTCAGGGGAAACCTTTACCGTTGTTGTTGTTGTTGTTGTTACTATTATAAACAGCAGGTATGTAGAGCAGACATAGGTAGGATGGTAGGGTGAAGTGAAACAGTATGAGACATTGATTGTTGAAACACAATCACTGAAGTTCCATATTGGGGAGAATGTGTTAACCTGATGGTTTCTGTAACCAGTATGTTATTGTTTACATATATGATTGCTGGGGGCCAGCACACTGATGTGACAAAGCCTTCGATGGCTGGGAGAGATGGGAATAATAATAATAATAATAATAATAATAATAATAATTATTATTATTATTATTATTATTATAATATATTTGTATTCTGCCCTATCTCCTCGAGGGGACGCAGGGCTGATTCCAGCATACACAAACATAAAGGTGAAAGTTCAATGCCTAGAAACAATGAAACACAGATAAAGGTAAAGGCTTCCTCTTCTGGCTCTGGGGGGGTGGTGCTCATCTCCATTTCCAAGCAAAGAACCTGCATTGTCCATAGACACTTCCTAGGTCATGTGGATGGCAAGACGGCATGGAGCTCCGTTTACCTTCCCACCAAGGTGGTACCTATTGATCTACTCACATTTGCATGTTTTTGAATTACTATACTCAGTAGTTCCCACTCCCAATATCAGGATGGCTGCATGGAGATGCTTGTAAGGAGCATTACTGCTCTAGGGCTAGGTTGGCAGGAGCTGCAGCTAATAGCGGGAGCTCACTCCGTCCCGTGGATTTGAACCGCCGACCTTCCGGTCAGCAAGTTCAGCAGCTCAGCGGTTTAACCTGTTTTGCTACTGTGGCCCCATGCTTAATATGCTTAAGGTCAGCAGCACAAATTAAGGAACTGGGAGCTAAAACTCCTCTGATTTGTTTTTTTGTTTTCCCCTAACAGTTGTCTTTGGTGGGCGAACTGAAAGCCTGGTGCCTGTTAAAACTTCAGAATCTAGAACTGAAGCTGTCTGGAGATTCCAGATCTTCAAGGCCCAAGTCAACTCTGTCCACCTGTGAATCACTCACTGAGACTTTGGATACCGAAAACCTTCCTAGTACAAAAGACTGCAAAGCTAGCCAACCTCACCTGCAGAGCGATGGGTCCCAGCAGCATTCCTGCCTTGCTCTCCAGAACCCTCTGCCTGAAGACCCTGGGAGGGGAAGGCCGCCAGCCACAGAGCAGAGCTACGGGAAGCAATATTTTGTTGCTCAACAACCCACCACCTCAGGTATTTTGTTTTTTTTCTGCTAGCAATTTCCAGAGAAATGGCTAGTATGTTTCTGTGGCAGCAGAACCAACACAAGAGGCTTGTGGAAGCAAAGGGCAAAACTGTCAACTTAATTCCAGCTGCATGTCTTTCTTTTTGTTGTTGAAGGCTTTCATGGCTGGAATCACTGGGTTGCTGTGAGTTTTCCTGGCTGTTTGGCCATGTTCCAGAAGCAGTCTCTCATGACATTTTTTTTCTTTTTGATTGTGGATGTCATAAATTCCCCTACCCTCATCATACACATTCTATTTGTGATGGTGTATTCTTTTGGTGTAGCACCTTTCCAGTGCCAACTTGTATGTGTGAAGTAGGCTTCTGCTATTTCCTCCCTATCTACTATTGATTTATACCTCATCTCTCTTCCCTAATTGGGATTAAAATGGCTTAAAATTTTAATTGAACAATGCAAATAAGATTAAAAAGTGAATATTAAAATGGCATTTTCACAATATTAAAAGAATTTAACTTGCACTATAAAAGATAAAAATCAATTAAAATTATAAAAATCATTTCAGTTGAAAACAATACAGTATTCTGGATCTGATTTTCTTCTTTTTCTTTTAAACATTCTGTTTTAAATGCCCATTCAGATAAAATTTATGTGTCTGCCAATGGAAGGAAAGCAAGGAGGGGACCATTTTGGACACTTTTTCAGTCTCTGCAGCCATCAAGAAAGCCCTATGATAGTAAAGGTTGGGTATCCCTTTTTAGAAATGTTTGGGACCAGAAATGTTTTGGATTTTAGATTTTTTTTTTTAGTATATAGGTACATACAGAGGTATCTTGGAGTTGGGGCCCATATATAAACACATAGCTTGATAACAATTTTATAAAATATTTATAATGATTTTATCCATGAAACCATGGGTGTATACAGAACCATCAGGAAGCAGATGTCTCTATCTTTTCCACCCATATGGACAATTTAGTAATGTTTTTGATGTTGAAATTCCGAATAAGGGATGCTCAACCTGTATCTATATGGAGCCCCTGGTGGTGAAATGGGTTAACCCCTTGTGCCGGCAGGACTGCTGACTGACATGTCAGTGGTTCAAATCCGGGGATAGTGGGTTGAACTCCCTCTGACAGCTCCAGCTACCCATGTGGGGACATGAGAGAAGCCTCCCACAAGGGTGGTAAAACATCTAACATCCAGGTGTCCCTGGGCAATGTCCTTGCAGACAACCAATTCTCTCAAACCAGAAGCGACTTGCAGTTTCTCAAGTCACTCCTGACACAAAAAAACAACAACCCTATACCTATGTTTTCATATCATTGCGTGTAAATGCCAATCATTGTGATTCAAACCTTCTTTATTACAGGAACTGAGCAACAGTTAGTTGGTGCTGCTCCACCTCCTTCTGGAGCTTCTCCACGAGTCGTCCGGCCGAAGGACAAAGCAGGATTAAGCAGGTTGCAACAAGAGCTGCCTCCGCCAGAATACTCAGGTTCCAAATTAAGGCACGTCAAGGTACAAACTGCTGCACACTCTGCTGACTTTGCCAAGGCAGAGTCACAGTCTGGCTGCTTGATAGACAGAGGGACCCAAACAAAGAAGGGGACCAGAAATGGCCAGTTGAAGCACAGAGCCCACCAACATGGAGGGACTCACCCTGGGCAGCCCTTGTCAGCCCAGCCTGCACCACCTTCTGCCTCAGGCGGCAATGAGCCCAGCCCAAAGCTTGCAGGCACCTCTCAGGCCCTTGAAATCACCCAGTACTTCTTTGAGGCAGTGTCCGGTCAGATGGAGAAGTGGTACGAGAGGAAGATCGAGGAAGCGCGGAGCCAAGCTAATCAGAAAGCCCAAGAAGATAAAGTTGCCCTCAAAGAACATATAAAAGATTTAGAAGAGGAACTGCATAAACTGAGGACTAAGTTGCAAAAAGACAAGTAGCCTTGGTTCTTGTTCCTGCAAAGACTCGGGGGGGGGGGGGGCTGCAATTTTTCACAAACAGCGATTAAGCTAATTGGGGAGGGGGTGGAATGGGGAGAGATGGGAGGAGTAAGCTGCATCATGTTTCTAGGGTCGGTGGCCTTCCAAGMTGGTGAAGACTGTATTTSGAATCTAGATCTGTTTTCTAAAATTAGCAYTTCTTTTCTTCTGGGTCGGCAATGAATGTGTAACCATCATGGTTATGTAGCTATGCAGTGACTTGTGGACATCCCACTTATTAGGCACCAGCCACTGTGATAAACAAGGTCTGTTCCCCTTTCGCTTGGGAATGTTTCCACTCCTTCACATAAAGCAATCTCTGTTGTGATAAGAAGTGAGATACCTGCTGCCACAATTCCCTCCTTGTTCCACAGATACCATGTGCAAATAGAAACCTCCATCTTCTGCTTCTGGATTGACAAGGGAACGGATCCCTGTCGATTGCAGCAGCGACTGCCTGGTAACTGGGGGTTGGGGGATTACATCAGGGAATATGTTCAGATTATGAATATGAAACAGTCACGAATGTGTAACTTTAGATTACGTATTCATAACTGCCCAAGAGAATTTTGGACATGTTTATTTTATCTTTCTATAGCGTGCCAGATGTGATAGCAGTTCTGTGTAGGATGTCCTTGCGTGCCCTACTTCTGCTCGTGATAGTTCCAAGGATCAGTAATATCCCTTTCCTCCCATCTAATGCCTGTGCCATTTTATAAATATTTTTGAAGTTTTATTTTATATATATTTTATCCTTTTTTAAAAAATTCCCTTGTTAAGTCACTTAAGCTCTGGAGTGCTCATGTATCCTCTTGGAAATTAAAAAGTGGCCAACCTTAGCTAGACTACCTCTGTCCAAGACTACACTGCCATTTGGTGAATCCTTTGTGCTTTTCTACCTTGATCCAGCTAGGGCTGTATGGGTGTGGAAACTGGCTTTTCTGCACATATCGTTGTCTGTAATGGGCTGGAGGCAAGGGAGTATGTGGTTCCCAACCTCAAGCCACCAGTTTGTGCAGCCTACATGTTGCTCTATCAAGACACAATCTTGTTCATTGGCTTTTCAACCAAAGGTTGGCAGGGGGCAGAGAAGTTGAATCTATCTCTACAATTGGCTTTAGGATTACAGTAAATAATCCTGGCATCCTGCATTGCAGTAATGGGTCTGCAACTACGATACAACTTCATGATCGTGGCACTATTACTCACTGAATCCTCCCTTAAACTACAGGAGCAATTCTGAGCAATGCAGGTCTGCAGCACTCAAATTGAGTGCTTCAAAAAGATGCAGTAGCCCCTTCTTGTCCTTGAACTGAACTTCTCCTCATTGTATTGTTGCTCGAAGGTGGGATCAAGCTATTTGCACCATCTTGATGTGCCCCACTCAGCCATGCCACAGATGATTGCTCAGAGCAGCTTATTAGAGTTTAAGGAGGGATTTGGGAAGTTGAATCCTTAGGTCATTTGCAGTTATTTTTACATAGCTGGAAATGCAATGTAAGATCTCGGCCCATGATTTTAAATGGTAACAGGTTGGATGATCTGTGGGCTGGGTCCAGTGCCTAAAGCACTCCTACATCAACCTCAGTATCCTTACCAAAATTTTGGCTAAGTCATCATTAACAGGTTTGCCTGTTTCACTGTAAAGGGAAAAATAAAATGTTTTGCAGTTGTATGAAACTGTTTCCCCCCTGCTTTAATTCCTTGTCTCTTTTGTTTGCTAATACATAAGCGTGTCTGTTTCTATCTGCACCTGAGCACATGTGTTTGATAACTGTAAAGCAGTACTCTCAAAATGGGGGAAATGTTCAATTCCAGAATCAACTATTAGGAAAATAGCAAAGTTGGCTACCTCTACCTGGAAAAAAAGTTTATCTTCAATATATTTTATCTCTATGGATGTAAGGTTTAGTAAACTCTCCTGGAATCTGCCTCAAGGTTGGCATGCATAATTTTCCCGTAACAAAATGCGATGCCTATCTCTTCAAAACATAACTGGCTTTCAGTCTTTTCTTTTTAAAGCTGCTTTGAGTCTCCTTGTGGAGAGAAAAAGCAGGGTATAAATGAACAGATGATGATGATGATGATGATTATAATAATAATTGCAAAGAACTGCAAAGGCTCTGGCACATGCCAGTAAAGGTGGTCCCAGTGGTGATTGGCACACTGGGTGCAATGCCTAAAGACTTTGGCCTGTACTTAAAAACAATTGGCAGTGACAAAATTACCATCCATCAGTGCAAAAGGGAGCCCCCGGTGGCGCAGTGGGTTAAAGCACTGTGCCAGCAGGACTGAAGACCGACAGGTCGCAGGTTCGAATCCGGGGAGAGGCGGATGAGCTCCCTCTATTAGCTCCAGCTCCTCATGCGGGGACATGAGAGAAGCTTCCCACAAGGATGATAAAACATCAAAACTCATCCAGGCGTCCCCTGGGCAACGTCCTTGCAGACGGTCAATTCTCTCACAACAGGAGCGGTTGCTCCTGACACGACAAAAAAAAAAAAGTTGCAAAAGGCCACTGTACCCTGATTTGTACGCATTATTCGCCGATACATCACACAGTCCTAGACACTTGGGAAGTGTCCAACATGTAATCAAATACAAAAGCCAGCACAGTGATCTTGTATGCTGTGTACTAATCTTGTTATGTATCAAATAATAATATATTTTGCTATAGTATTATTATGAGAGCTGGATTTGGCAAAATATTGGGGAGGAGTATTTTTTTAATAATTCCACTGATTTGCTTTGGATAAATTTAGAATGAAATTTGTACAGCATGGTTATTTCTTTTTCAAAATTTAATTCAGTCAATGTTAGACTCACAACTTTGAATCCTCCTGCTGTATGCATGCATGCAGAAATTAGATTGCACCTTGATGAGGTTATAGACTGTCTTCTACTCTGTAGAAATGCATATTGACATTTATTTAAACATGCCTCCCTAACTACCAGTATATTTTCACACAATTCAACTTGTTTGAGATAAAAATGCATTGAGGGATGTGAAAGTAGTAGTAGTAGTCCAGGAACCTTTCTGTACCTTTCATTCTAAAGTGCAAATACCTTGAATTTAGCTCAGAAAGATGTCACTTATACATGGAAAAGCATACAAAGGTCTTTATGTACAAAACCACGTTTTGTAATCCAAATTGTCTACATTTTTAAAACTTTTGGTCCTGTGGCCACTACCCCTTTTTAGTCTAAATGAATCTAAATCCTATAATCCAGAAATATATAAGCATATTAAATATGCATGGCTTGGAATTATTATAAGTCTGTAACTTGCATTCTGTAATTACACTCTCACATTCTTGTAACCTATATCCTATAATTACACTTCTGTAATATGTGGAACACAAAAGTGGAAAACTTCTCAAGTGCAATATGCTGGGCTGTGTCTTTCCAATTAGATCACTCATAAATAACAAGAGTACTGGGGGGTCTGAGATTGATAAGTCATTGGTTTTGGTGAGTGGACACTATATTCAGTAGTTCCCACTCCCAATATCAGGATGGCTGCATGGAGATGCTTGTAAGGAGCATTACTGCTCTAGGGCTAGGTATAAAGAAGATACATTAACACCCATGGGATGCCATGTTTAAAGATCTTCCTAATTTACCTTTGCTTAACATATTATAGAGCTCTATTCTGGGATGCTCTCCTAGACTAGCTGTGGCTAGCATCCGACTTATGATAGTGCAAAAAACAGTTTGTAAGATTTTTTTCATCATTACTTTTTTTACCAACCTTGAGCAATAATCCAAACTTCACTGCCTATCCCTCAATTTCACCTTTTAGCTGATTCATCCATGGTCATTTAGTAACTGTTACAATGGGGGCCTAAATGACCAGCCTTGCTTATTTGCAGAGTGCTATTGACAGTACACTCCGGTGTTCTAGGCTCTTTAGAGGAAGGAACTGGCAAAACCTTGGATAATTTATTGCCTAAGAAAACCCAATGAAATGCATGGTGGTCTCCATAAGCTGGCATGCAAATTGAAAGAATGCAACTATTGGAGAAGCAACTGATACCTCTATCCAGGGGCTTCTCCAGGACTGAGCATGCAGTGCAGTTGCACATGCACAATATCAGCCATTCAACAGTAGTATTCCTTTGGATGCAACAAAAGGATTTTACCTGACTACAGCCAATATGCCTATCACCAAAAGCAGAACTATAACATTCACTGGGAACTTCAGAGGAGGTAAAGGAACAGTGTAGTTCCACTTTTGCAAAACTTTATGATACATCTCCTGGGGCAAAATCTTAGCCTATGTTTGTAAACAACAAGAATTGCTTTCTCCACTGCAATGAGCAAAAAAAAAAAAAAGAAAAAGAAAGAAAAAAAAGAAGCCCTTGCAAAAATTGCTCTGCTTAAGAAGCACTACCCTGAATACAAACACTTGGCCAAAGTCTGCCTGATATGTACAAGCTGGAAAGGTTTTCCATTTTTTCCCAAGGATGTTGAAGATATGCAATATAAGATTTGCAACATTAACAGCTACTTAAAGGGCATAATATGGTTGGAGGAAAGTTCTGAGAGTGCCGTGGACCGCGAGAAGATCCAACCAGTCCATACTTCAGGAAATAAAGCCTGACTGCTCATTGGAGGGAAGGATATTAGCGGCCAAGATGAAGTACTTTGGCCACATAATGAGATGACAGGGAAGCTTGGAGAAGACAATGACGTTGGGGAAAATGGAAGGAAAAAGGAAGAGGGGCCGACCAAGTGCAAGATGGATGGTATCCTTGAAGTGACTGGCTTGACTCTGAAGGAGCTGGGGGTGGTGAAGGTCGACAGGGAGCTCTGGTGTGGGCTTTTCCATGAGATCATGAAGAGTCAGAAGCGACTGAACGAATGAACAACAACAACAAAAATGGCATAATACTGTAATAACTACTACAACAATAACACTTGAGTGAAAGTGTGTGTGACTTCAATATTACAGAAGTTCTTTTTTATCTACAATTCAGACATGCATTCTAAGTTCAGTAATAGTGGTTTATGGGACCATGAGTCTGGCACCTAACAACTAATTTGATCAGTATCTCAGTTGTTATATCAATTGAAAGCTGGTCACTAGCTACTCCACTGAAAATTCCCACCTGTACACATTTATTAAGGAATAATTCCCACAAATGTTCTCCCAAATAACCCTTTGTGGCCTTTCTTTGGCATGAGACCTATCCACAAGGCACTTGACCAATAATAATGACAGAAAAATAAATATTCTGTTTATTTATTTGTAGACAACCTCTTTTCTTCCACAGGTCTCATGACACAAATCTCAAAGCTATTGTATCTGTACTTTTCATGCTAAAAGTTGATTAGGATATCCTCTAGTGCCTCACGCTATGTGGGAATGTTTCCAAAGTACAGCTGCTCTAAACCAAAATAAATAGCAAGTAACTCTTCTAGATTAGTACTCTAGCTGATTTTTTCCATCACTTTAAAGGGAGGTTGGAAAACTGTTAGAAAGCTCACTGTAATATGTCAATGAAAAATACAATCAAAGTTAGTATCTCTTACATGTTTCTTGTATGAAAAATATTGGTATGGGTTCTACTTGAGTACCTGTGCCATGCAATATATATGCAGTAAATTGAGCTATATGAAACACTGATCAGTATAACAGTTCACAGACTGTTAATCCCAGATGTTCATAAAAAATCAACACAGAAACAAATACAAAAACTAGAAAATAAACATTTCTTTAATTTGACACAAAAAAGAATAACAATTTGAGTGCTTGGTTGCATCCTGCATTCACAGGAGCATTTCATGTTTGAATGGCAAACTCCTTTGTTGCTTTTCTGATCTTTCAAGTTCAAATGTAGACCTATCCCATGACTCTATGTCATGACAGCACCTCATGGCTCACAGGAGCCCAGCTTTCCCCTTTAATACAGTATTATCCTCCCTGCTTAACTCTCCACAGAAATCGCCCTGCGATTCTTCACAAGATCTCTCCAGAGCAATGTCTTCTGAGGAAAGTAGTCTGACAAGATACTTGTGATCCATCAGCAGAGTTAAGGCTAGGATTTTGACAGCTTTAGTGTTCGCTCAAGCTCTTGAAGCTGCAGGTTGCCCTGAGTGATCATCATCCTAATAGTGTCCTGTCAAACAGAAATGTTAAGCTTAGCTGGCATACGGAAGGCAATAGCATTCACATACATTTTCTGGCAGTCGTACAATGACAATTTTCTGTAGCATTTCAATTTACTGTGAATTAGTTACATGCAAATGCAACTCCTCCTAGAGTGAGCAATCAAAGGATCAGGGCATTTCAGACTCTCATTACAGTAATGCTGGGAAAGTCTCCTGATTCCCACCGTGCTTTAATGTGCTGCCTAGACCAAGAACTCAGGATTATCATGCCCTTCCAAAAGTGGGTTTGCAAATCCTGGTTCGCTCTTGGTTTAAAAGTCCTGTCATGTTTGGGATTAACATGCTAGGAATCCTGACTGAGATGACACAATATAAAATCATCAGTGACAAAGGAGGAGCAAACAGGTTATGTGGGTTCACAAAGGTTGAGTATCTTTATCTGGAATTGCAAAATCCAAAATACTCCAAAAATCCAAAATTGTCCCCATGGATGGTTGAGATAGTAATACCTTTGCTTTCTGATGCACACAAACTTGCTTTCCTGCACAAAAGTTCCAAACTATTGTGTATAAAATCACATTTTAGCTATGCCCATGTTTCATTTAGATTTGTGTCCCATCCCCATTAGGTACATATATGCAAATATAGGTATTCTAAAAAGTCCAAAATCCCAAATATCTCTTGTCCAAAACATTTTGGATAAGTGATAATGAACTTGCCTTCTAGCAATTTCTGGTGCATTGTCCCATGCAAACCATCCAGAGAGGACTCTTCCCATTTATTTTGACAGAATTTGCATGACCTACAATTTACACCTCCACTCAGCAGCCAACAAAAAGTCCTGACAGTAACTGCCTTTAACTTAGAATAACAAAAAGGTCCTTCCTATATTGTGCATTGGGGCTCCTGTGTGGAACTGTCAGCATGTTGTGGCTTCCATACTGAGCCCCTAACAAGTATATTGAGCCTCTAATAGTCTTCAGAAGCAAAACTACAATAGCAAGACCAACACAGTCTTATAAACAATTACTGTATTAGCAGTTGCAGTAATTTTCTAAGTTGTCAGTGAGAGATTTGACAATAGCTGAAAGGCTGACAAAGCAACTGCCTTTGATTCTACTAAAACACCAACACTTCTTCAGTGTAGTTTCTGCTTAAATGTCAAACATTACACATTAAAAGTTCACAACTTGATGGAGACTACTGAGAATTCAAACACTAATATCAAAGAAGAAGAATATTTATATATCTATATGGTGATTTCCTGTCTTGTCTTTGTAGTTTTCGATTCCTATATTCTTTATTCAATTTCTATTCAATGTAGATTTTAATAAATAAAAATGATTCTAAAAAAAGAATAAAATATGGCAGCGATGTCTGTTGTAGAACATAAACAGGCCCAAGAATCCCCATTATAAAATGATTTAACTGAAGACAGTCCCTGAGTTACAAACAACTCATAGTTACAAACAGGGATGAGACAACAGGAAGTGAGAGAAATTACAGTTGTGAAGCAGCAACGAAAATAATGTTATGGTTGGGGGTCACCAGAACATGAGGAACTGTATTAAGGGGTTGCAGCATTAGGAAAGTTGAGAAACACTGCCTTAGAGAGACAGTGTGGCTTATAAACAAAGTCTTATTATTATTATGATTATGATTATTATCAAAAGGTAAAAGATAAATTTGAAGTGCTTTGGCACATCATGAGAAGACAGAAAAGCTTGGAGAAGACAATGATGCTGGGGAAAATGGAAGGAAAAAGGAAGAGGGGCCAATCAAGGGCAAGATGGGATCCTTGAAGTGACTGGCTTGACTCTGAAGGAGCTGGGGGTGGTGACGGCCAACAGGGTGCTCTGGCGTGGACTGGTCCATGAGATCATGAAGAGTCGGAAATGACTGAACGAATAAACAACAAAAAAGATAAACATTTTTGGGTGTTAACCCTTCCCTATGCTATCCAAAGAGGGATGTGTGTGTGTGTGAGAGAGAATAAGTGTGTGTGAGAGGTATGGCTGGCTGAAGTTACACTTTAAAAATGTACCTGTCCTGACTTACATACAAATTCAACTTAAGAACAACCTTAAAGAACCTTTCTTGTCCATAACTTTGGGACTGCTTGTATATGCTTTTGCCAATGAGGTCCCTTCTGTAAAAATACCACTGGATGTTACTGAAGTAGTGTAAAAGACAGAAAAGCGGGTAGTTTGGCTCATCTGCCAAGTCTGCAAAACCACAGGAAGGCGACGACGTCTCACCTCCTCTGTCGCACCTTTATTCCTTTTGAATTCATCCCTGGCCCAGTCCCTCAGGTATTGGCGGTCGGCTTCATTCGGGACCTGTTGAATTGCCTGCAGGATTTTTCTGTACAGTTGAAGGACCTGCTGCCTCCTCAGGAACTACACGGTGTCAAGTGGGGAAGAGAAAGGGCTCAAGTCACAAAGAGAGCCACGCCAGGCCTGGACCAAGTTGGGCCTTCACTTCAGGTGATTTGGAGTTCAACTCCCACCATTCCTGACAGCCTTAAGCGGCTGAGGGGGAAAAGGAAGGGGCCTGAGGCTGTCAGGAATGGTGGGAGTTGAACTCCAAAACACTTGGGAGGGCCCAACTTGGCCCATGCATGAGCTAGCTCGGCCTACTAATTTGCATATGGTTTCTGATTGGCCAGCCTCTACATTCTAACATTCTTAATTGGCTGAGGGGGAAAAGGAAGGGGCCTGAGGCTGTTAGGAATGGTGGGAGTTGAACTCCAAAACACCTGGAGGGCTCAAGTTGGTCCATGCATGAGCTATCTCGACCTACTAATTTGCATATGGTTTCTGATTGGCCAGCCTCTACATTCTAACATTCTTCATTGGCTGAGGGGTAAAGCAAGGGGCCTGAGGCTGTTAGGAATGGTGGGACTTGAACTCCAAAACACCTGGAGGGCTCAAGTTGGTCCATGCATGAGCTATCTCGACCTACTAATTTGCATATGGTTTCTGATTGGCCAGCCTCTACATTCTAACATTCTTCATTGGCTGAGGGGGAAAGCAAGGGGCCTGAGGCTGTTAGGAATGGTGGGACTTGAACTCCAAAACACCTGGAGGGCTCAAGTTGGCCCAGGCCTAGTGTAGAGGCCCCTCAGAGGAAACGCCTCAAACTGAGGTGACAAAGCTAGGCCCGTACGCACAGTGGGATGACGGCAGCAAACACGCAGCCATTGGGCACTCCTGCTGCCACTCAACTCGCCTTTGGGCCCGCCCCCTTCGACCCGCTTCCCGCGGGTCGCCCTTTCCCGCCCTGTTCCCTTCTCCGTCCGCCTCTCTGCCTCTCCTTTACCTGCTTGAGGGTCAGCGCCGACGGGGGCAGGCGGGAGGACGCCATTTCGGGCTTCCTCTGTGGCCAAGAGGCCTCCTCAGCTCGGCTCAGGAGGAAAATGGCGCCCCCAGCAGAATCCAGGCGACCTGGCTCAATGTTAATAGGCACCCTGGGAGTTGTAGTTCTGCAAGATCTGCTTTGGCCTCCTCTGCCTTGTGTGGTCGAAGGCTTTCATTTTTCCGGGGTGTACGGCCATGTTCCAGAAGCATTCTCTCCTGATGTTTCGCCCACATCTATGGCAGGCAGCCTCAGAGGTTGTGAGGTCAGTTGGAAACTAGGCAAGTGAGGTTTATATATCTGTGGAATAATGTCCAGGGTGGGAGAAAGAACTCTTCTCTGCTAGAGGCAAGTGTGAATGTTTCAATTGGCCACCTTGATTAGCATTGAATGGCCTTGCAGCTTTTCATACCTCTGTTAATGGATTGGATTTTGTCAATGTAACTCCATTCAGCATTTCCCTTTTGCGCCCCCCCCCCTCTGTAATTTCCTTGTTCCAGGATCATATGTCTTTATTAAAACTATTTTTATTTATTATTTATTTATTTATTATTTGCACTTGTTAACCGCCACTCTCAGCCCGAGGGCGACTCGTGGCGGTGTACAGAACATAGAAAAAGACAACAGTTTACAATAAATCAAGACCAATACAACAACGAATTAAACTAAAAATCCGCATTCGTCTAGTTTGGAGTCATAATCAATCTCATAGTCATAGTACATTCCGGTGGTCATTCCAACAACGTAGCACTTAGTTGAAGGCCTTTTCGAAGAGCCAGGTTTTCAGGCCCTTGCGAAAGGCCCTGCTAGAGGCAAGTGTGAATGTTTCAATTGGCCACCTTGATTAGCATTGAATGGCCTTGCAGCTTTTCATACCTCTGTTAATGGATTGGATTTTGTCAATGTAACTCCATTCAGCATTTCCCTTTTGCGCCCCCCCCCCTCTGTAATTTCCTTGTTCCAGGATCATATGTCTTTATTAAAACTATTTTTCTTGTTCCTTTTCCATCCATCAGGGTTCCCAAAGGAATGTACAATTAAATAAGCCTTTCAGAACAGATTTTAAACTCCCAAGAGCTTATGTTTAATGCAGTTTTAAAGATGAATGGCCTTTAAACCAGTTTTAAAATGTAAAGGCCTTTCAGAACTGGATGCCTGCTGAAAGCTCAATGGAGAAAGGACTCAGATTATTTCATTTGGGAAGCTTAAATACCTTCCAAATCATGATCATGTTGGAGCCCATCTCATCTCATGTGCTGCTTACTAATCTAGTTTCCCAAAAGGATAAGATACATACAACGGGAATTTGAGGTCACAAAGTCAAACCCATGTAGTGTTTGTTTTACTGCCTGTGCCCCTATTCAGAAGATTTTCCCTCACTTCCTGTTACCGTAATAATTAAATTTTGAAAAATTTGCTTTGTGGAAACAAGGATTGGTGATATAGCTTCTGTGGAGACACATTTTCCCTATGAAAATAACTCTCCCAGGAGTGAATATTCCTTCCGAGGGGTAGATTTCTCTCCCTGTTGTCTCAACCCCGTTCTTAACTACAGTGTGTCGTTTGTAAGTCAGATGTCTAACTCAAGAACTTCCTGTACTTCTGTTAATACTGATTAAGATAGAATTTGCCTTTTTTGTTGCAACATCATGCTACTGATTACATGAATCTTTTAACTGATTCTATTTTAATAGAGGTTGTTTTATCCAATATATATACCTAGTTTATGTAATGCTATTATTGTTTTCATGTTGATGTATTTTAGGTATTATGTATTTTATGTATGGCATCTTTGTGTGCTATTTTGTAAGCCACCCTGAGTCTCTATGAGAGGTGGTGGTGGGGTACAAATAAAGTTTTATTATAATTATTACTGGATCATGTTCCGTTTATGATCAGCACTACATTGTGAGTCCTTCTCACAATGTAGTGCCACTTATCCCAGTTTCCTCCATCCTATAACTGTTCATTTGATTTTTGTGGAGATCTGCAATTGTCTCTGTTGAATGTAATGTCATTAATTTCCACCCAGTTTTCTTGTTCATCAAGATTTCTTTTTTCATACTGTTTCTATGTTCTAATGCATTTGCTCTCTTCTCAGTTTTGTATCATTTCCAAATATTATGTGATTTTCATCGATGTTTTAATGTTATGTTTTTACTGACTTGGTTTTAATTCTTCTGTTTATTTACCAATAAATATCTTTTTGTGGCATCGAATTGTTGCCTTTGTAAGGCCACCCTGAGTCTCCTTCGGGGTTGAGAAGGGCAGGACATAAGCGTGGTAAATAAATGAATATTATTTTAAAACATTCTTTGGGAAGCTTTCAGATGTTATACTGCTGTTTCCATCAACCTTCTCCATCGGTTATGCCGGATAAGGCTGGTGGGAATTGAAATACAACATCTGGAAGACCACAAGAGCTATATTACTGCATTACTCTTCAAATAATAAAACAACACTAACAAAGTACAGGCAGTTCCTGAGTTAACAGACATCCGACTTACAAACAACTCACAGTTAAGAACGGGGGTGAGACAACAGGAAGCGAGCAAAGTCTGCTCCTAGGAAAGGAAATTCACTCCTGAAAGAGTTATCATGTGGGAAAGGTGTCTCTACTGAAGCTTTTATCATTAATACTTGTTTCTACAAGAAACCAAAATTTTCAAAATCCAATTCTCACAGGGAGATAGTGAACAGGGATACAGACAACAAAACAAATGCCAAAGGGGTGTTCACCCTTCCCTATGCTATCCAAAACTAACACACACACATATATAGAGAGAGATTTGGCTGGAGTTACACTTTAAAAAAGTACCTGTTCCAGGTAAAGGTAAAGGTTTCCCCTGACAATAAGTCTAGTCGTGTCCAGCTCTGGGGGTTGGTGCTCATCTCCATTTCTAAGCCGAAGAGCCGGTGTTGTCCGTAGACACCTCCAAGGTCATGTGGCCAGCATGGCTGCATGGAGCGCCATTACCTTCCTGCAGAAGCGGTACCTATTGATCTACTCACATTTGCATGCTTTCGAACTGCTAGGTTGGCAGAAGCTGGGCCTAACAGCGGGAGCTCACTCTGCTCCCTGGATTAAAACTGCCAACCTTTCGGTCAGTAAGTTCAGCAGCTCAGTGGTTTAACCCACTGCGCTACGAGGTGCCCTGTTCCAACTTACATACAAATTCAATTTAAGAACAAACCTACATCACCTATCTCATTTGTAACTTGGGGGATGCCTGTACTTTAAAACAAGTAACAAACTGACCCACGCAAAGTCAACATTCTTAGTTGAATCACTGCAGTTATTTTCTGAAAGGGCATCCTACTCCCATAGAAAAAATAAATTTCAAAAATTGCCTAGGTTTATAAGGGAAATCACTGTTTCAGACTCATTCTTCAATCAGTTCTGACAAATAACAGACACACCACTACAAACAACAAAACATCTTTATTAATCACAAATGATGCATAGTTTTTGCAATGAAAAAAGGGTTAAGGAAGACCTGTGCATGGTTTTAAGAATAACAAAACGCTTCTCAACGTTTGCCTTGGACAGAGGGCAAACTTCACAGTGTAAAAGTGATAATGCAGACTCTTTTGTGTCATAAAAATAGCCTTCTGTAGCATTATCAGTCAAACAGTAACTATTCCGCAACATGATCAATTTCAAGTATTCAAGGAGATTTGTTTTTGGCTATGTTGAATTCAACCCGCACTCCCCAACCCAAACACTGGGGGGTTCATTTATACATGTGACCCAAGACAGACAAGGATTATTATGATGGTTAAACACGTATAGTTAAAACTTCTTCTCTCAGGAGGAAAACTAGGCTCTTGCTTCTATAGGGACAAAGTTTTAGGAGTTTTGCATGTCTTAATGACAGAGAAATGCCAAATTAACTCTGGAATAAATTATTCAACAATGAGTTAAAGGGACAACAAGGTGACTTTCCCACTGTTCCCAGTTAAAAACAAGGAACTTAAATGAACATCATTGGAAATAATCTTGAATTGCATAGTGTCCGGCACTGAGAAGGGTGAATGCACATTTGAAGTGTGTGGTTTCTGTCCCATTTGTACAACAACTCAAGTTCACTAGCAAGCTGGCAACCAGATATTAAACTGCCCTGGCAAATTACAGGTTGTCTGCTGCCGTCACCAACTCGAACCACTGCCGGAGGGCATCGCTCAGAGTCTCTGGGAGGGCGTTCACATCTCTGAGAATTATGTAGAAAGGAAAGGGAAATTCTTCCATGTATGACTTTATTTCGGGCAATTCCCCATGGCTTTTGAACACAGGTACTTTAATGTCCAGGATGGAGTCCTGTAGATTAAAACAAGAGGCTGATAAGAGCATGTACAGGTATACAAAACTAGCATATCTATGCTGCACATTTTCTTGATTATCAAGATGAAACCAAGAAAAGGTACAACTGTGTTACAACAGGTGAAAGTACAGTAGAGTCTTGCTTATCTGTCCTTCGCTTATCCAACATTCAGTCTTATCCGATGCTCTTATCCGACACCCCCCTTTTCCTCAGCATTTCCCCTTGAATTAAAGGAGGAAACGGGGAAATGAAGTAGGTCTGGAAGCGTCTTCCCTCCTTCCCTCTGTGATTTCCACATTCCTCTTCTGCATCCGGGTACTTCCTGTTGGGCCGCTCTAGCCCTGAGGCGTTGCCTTGCCTTAACCCTTTGAGTCCCTGTTGTTCGTATTCTAGGTGTCTAGCACCGCACTGGACGGGTAACAATAGGAGACTCCGTATTATCCAACATAAACAGAAGTTTATCCAATGTTTATGTCGGATAAGTGAGTCTCTACAAAAAGTCACAAAAAGTTGTGCGAGAGTGGTTGAAATCAAGTTGCTTCTCTCTGTCTCATTAGCCACCTCTCCCCTTCAAAACCTTTTGTTTCGTACTCACTTAGCACACACCGTCAATGATTTTGTTTCCAAGATTTGTAAAACAAACTTTAACATAAGGCAAATTCAACACTTCTGGCAACAAGAATAAAAAACTTTAAAATTAAAGCCATCTTTCAGCTGAGTGGTTCCTGTAAGATATCCAGACACTTCACTTTACTGCTCTAACTGGAAAAGAAATGCACTCTTCCTTGGAACTATTCACAATCAACATGCTTTTCTAAGTATGCTCCCATTGTTCTTTCACTCACCCTTGAATTAGGGTTGTCCAAAACGACAAAAATGATGAAGATGTTTGCATTTTGAACTGACTGAACAGCTGCTGTCACACGTTCCTTGCCTTCAAGGAAAAGGCCTCTTCCATCTGATACTATTAGGAGCAACTGAGCTGTTTCTATTAGGATAGATATATTTTTAATAGAATTAAAACACAACAGAGAAAAGCACACATATTCCAAACATTTATACTGTTTTTGTAACCCTGAAGGAGAACTGAAGTACTGTTTCCCAAAACAGAAACAAACATGAATATGTGTTGTTGGAGGATTTCATGGCCGGAATCACCGGGGTGCTGTGCTTTCCAGGCTGTATGACCATGTTCCAGAAGCATTTTCTCCTGACATTTCACCCACATCTATGGCAGGCATCCTCAGAGGTTGTGAGGTCTTCTGGAAACTAGGAAAATTGGGTTTATATATCTGTGAAATGTCTAGGGTGGGAGAAAGAACTCTTGTCTGTTGGCGGTAGGCGTGAATGTATCAGTTGGCCACCTTGATTAGCATTTAATTGCCTTCCCTGAATAAGGAAACAATGTCCTGCTCTGATTAATTCCCTGCAATTGTCCTCAGAAGCACTTTACTACCTGTTGGGTTGGTCTCCCTACATTATCTTTTAAAACCCTCCTGCTTAGATAGATCCTACCTCTGTTCACGCCCAGTGTTTATTTTAAATTTTTTAATGTATTACATATGGCCCGGCCATAAGGTTTTAAATTCTGTGTGTTATTGTTTATATGTGAGTTATATTAATTGTACTGTTTTATTTGCTTGCTGCTTTGTTTTTACTGATGTGTTGCTGGGCTTGGCCTCATGTAAGCCGCCCCGAGTCCCCTTGGGGAGATGGTGGCGGTGTATAAATATTATTATTATTATTATTATTATTATTATTATTATTATTATTATTATTACTACTACTACTACTACTATAGCAGTTTTGTAAAAAAGAGGAGACTCACCTGGATTGATATTTTGAGACAACTGCTGTGCCGAAGCAAACATATTTGTTGAAGTTTCTAAGAACTGTAAAAAGGCAAAAGAATAAAGTCATCTAGTATGAATGGGAAGAAAGGTGACACTGATACTTATGTCAAATCAAGTGAAATGATACAAAGTTGAGGAAAGTATCATTTTTTCCAAATTGTACATTATTTGTTTCCTTGCATTTTTCCATCTTTTAGAGTTAACATGACATTGGAACTATTTGGGAACTGCAGCGAGAGCTATTTAAAGGAAAACTGAATGGTACAATTCCTGAAAGAACTGGACATACCTGAGCTATCTTAGTTTTCTTTTGTTCAAATTTGCAGAGCTGCAGTATTCGGGCTCCCGACTGGTCACTGAATTGTTCATGGAATGGATGCAGAAGCTGAACTGTCTCTCCAAAACTGCAAGAAAATTTAATACATGCTTTAAAATGATGCACTGTGTAACTTTAAATTTCATTACAGGCACCTTCGTTTTGGCCTTAAAAGTGTGCTTACCTACATACAGCAATCTGCCCCACCTCTAGAAGCGTCAAAGCATTTCCAATCACTGCCAGGGATTCATAGGCAAGCTACAGAAAAGAAAGGGAAACAAGTTAGAACCCATTATATACCTAAAGCTTGGCGGGTAAAATGTGGCATCAAATCAATCATTAACAAACTGTATGAGTGAATAAATATTCCCCCAAAAAACAGTACAATAAATTATAGCAAATGCAGTTGACTGTTTCGGCTTCTATGACTATTTTCTCTCCCCAATGCCCATTTCTTGCAATTTCAGTGCAGTTGTGTGTTTCAAAATCCGATCCCCACTGTGAGCCCTTGACTTGAAACTAGTATTTGGAATAGATAAGATATTGACACAAATCAGTTAAACCAACCAAGATGAGAAGAAAAGCAGTAGCACGTGACTGAGAGTTTGGTTGATGCCAGAACCTTCCAGTTCCCACTTCCAATTTCCACTTTAGCCACTTCCAACATTTCAGATGCTTTTACCTGCTTAGAATGGTTGTCTGTCATACTGGATGAGTCATCAAGGGCCAAGCAGATCTGATACTGTCGTTTACTAGGTTTGGTCCTTCGTAGCCATATTTTATCCTTTCGGAATTGACTGGCGATATAGGGAATCACTTTGCGCATGTTCAACCTTTTTCCTGTTCTATAGTCACCTCTGGGAATTGAGAAGAACATGCATAATATTAGCAGCCTTAACACTTTGGAAGAAAAACAAGGCGAAAACCCTTTGAAAGAAAAAATCCTACCCCAAATGATATACGGACTGTAGTTTATATCCATAGATTCTGCATCCATCAAAAATATTCTTTTAAGTATCCAAAAAGCAAATCTTGATTTTGCCACTGTATACAAGGAACACTATTTTACTATATCACTGTATATAATGGTACTTCAGCATACATGAATTTGGGTATCTGGGGTGGGGACGTAGGGGAATCCTGAAGCCAAGAAATCTCCAGTTTTTTTTTTAACATTGGCTATTTCAGGGTTTTGTGCCTCAAATGAAAACAGACTGCTTGCAAATGTGATGACTTCACTTTTCCCCATGGCTCCCCATGGCCTTACTTCAGATGAAAACAAGCTAAATAGGGTGACCAGAAACAACATGACACCCCTTCTGATGCAGTGGCTTGCACTGGGGTCTGCCTCTATGAGGTAGGGTGAAAAAGGCCCCTGCCTCCCCTGTGTAGTTGCCCATACCTGTCAGAGATGCAACTTACTTCAGCTTGGCTGCCTGAGTTGGCTCTAGTATGAGCCGGAGCTGTTCACAGAGCTGTTGTGAAAGAGGTGCAGTGAGCAGGTGATACCGTTGCCACATCTCAGCTGCTGCGCTTTCCTAAGATGAGACAAACAACTATAATTAACAAAGGGAGTAAAGCTTGAGCAGAGTGAAAACTTATATTCTGGTGAACAAAGAAGACAAAAGTGGTGAAATTATTTGGTTAGGATTTTTTAGAGATGCAGTCCCTGTGAGTGTTCAGAAAATATATAATTTTTGTCTAGTTTCTTTAGGTGATTTTTTTTTCAGATCTCTAGCTACTAATATAATGGAGACCTATCTTTGGCTAAAGCAAGGAAAATAATTGGAGGAGAAGCCAGGGATCAAGTCTCATCATGTTAAAAGCTTTTTAGGTTACATGACTCCTTCCTGGCATAGGTGGCAATGGGAGGGTTCCTTCTGTGTAAATCAGGGGTGGGCAACTGTGGAAAGGGCAGAGGCCAGACTGGTGCTTTGATGTGATTTGAAAGTGTTGGTTTTCACTAATGTTTGACCATGAGGGGGTGGTGATGATAAACACTTAGGAGCACTGGGTGGCAGGTTTAAGTTTTACCCCCCCCCCCCCCCCCCCCCCCCCCAATAACAATTAAATAAAATTATGGCAGTCTGGGAGCTTGAGTGAGTCTTTAGAGAACACAAAATGGACCTGCAAGGACCACATACTGTTTGCAGGCTCCACTTTTCCCAACCTCACTATCAATAATGGCTTGGGACAGACATAAATCAAGGGATAGGATCACTTTTTGCACTTGGCTCAGACATTTTGGAACCAAGCTTACAGTTCTTTGAAAAGAATCAATTCCTGGTTCTTCATGAAGGCTGTGATAAAATGTTAAAATGCATATACCGTACTTGGTTAAACAATTTACCTACCTCGGCAATGTTCCCGGTTTGCCAGGCCTCCAGTTGCTTCTCTAATTCCTGTCTCAACTCTTCAGGATTCTTAACAATGTTCTTAAATACAACAAATTATAATTGGAAACAATATAGATAAATACTTAACAACAACATACACATCATATCTACTTATCCTATCTATCTATCTATCTATCTATCTATCTATCTATCTATCTATCTATCTATCTATCTAAATACCACAGTTCACAATGGCAGTGTTCTTAACTGCAATACAATATCCAGACTTCATGTGGATACATAAAACTACACATGGAAATGAAGGACTTCTGGCCCATAAATATCATAGTCATGCTGGAAGACCTAGAAAATGCCTACTTTGCATATTTTGTTTGAAAGAAATAGATGAAATCTATACGCATATGGAGGTTATACTTTATTCTGGAGAATAATGGAGAGTCTGTTCTTTCCTAAATAAATAATCTATATTTCTGCACATTGTATACTGCTGGGTGTTAGAATGCACACAGTTCCTTCCCTAATTAGGTGTCCAGAAACTGAATCCCATACATTAGGAATGATGTATTGTCCCGTCTCCTCTCCCAAATGAATTGATAATCCATGTGGACAGAGGCCTGTGCACCTTCGATGGATTTGAAAGACTGCTGAATCTGACCCTCTACAGCAGGAGTCCTCAAACTGAGGCCCGAGGGCCAGATTTGGCCCTCCAAGGTCATTTACCCGGCCCTAACTCAGGGTCAACCTAAGTCTGAAACGACTTGAAAGCACACAACAACAACAACAACAATCCTATCTCATAGCCAAAAGCAGGTCTACACTTCCCATTGAACTACTAATAAGCTTATATTTGTTAAAATTGTTCTTCATTTTAATTATTGTATTGTTTTAAAGTGGTTTTTTTGCACTACAAATAAGATATGTACAGTGTGTTTAGGAATTCATTCATGCTTTTTTTCAAATTATAATCCGGCCCTCCAACAGTTTGAGGGACTGTGACCTGGCCCTCTGCTTAAAAAGTTTGAGGACCCCTGCTCTACAAAACCAGTAGGAATCTTCAACCATGTGTCCTTAGCTGATACATTTTGAAGCTTTGATGTTGAATTATTTTATTACATTGTTTATATTAGATCCTATCTGGCAAACTTTCAGGGTGGAATACAAACGAAATCAAGTTTTAAACAAGTAACAAAGGATAATTTAATAATAAATATAATTAAAAACAGATTGAAACCTTTCACATCATTAGAACGAAAAAAAATTAATACATAAAATTCTATCCCAGTCTCTACCATCTACCTATGGAGATTTCCCAATGGGACCCAAGCATCTCAGCACTGATAGTAAGAAAGATTTGTCTCTACTCCATCAGAATCTTCTGGCTGGAATTCAGGATCAGACTTATCAATGGAGTCCCACATCCATAACAGATCCATATTCATGGTTGCTACCTATTCACAATTTTGGCACATGACCATAACTGGTTCCCAAATGTGTTTTACCAAGCAGCAGACAAATGGAGAAAAAAGAATATGACAAGGAAGTGTGACAAGGATCATGTTTCACAACCACTTTCACTGGTTGACAGAATAGGGAAGGAAACATCATCTTTCAGTACTTGCTGCCTAGTAAAGTAGATTTTTTGGGGATGGGGTGGACAGTAGACATTACTTGGTAACATAAATTAAACTACATAGAATGCTAGGTCCTGTTTCTTTCATAATGCAATTGGCTGCTTACCTGGATTGTGGAATCTCTCAAGAACTGATGAGCTGTATGTATTGTGGAATATTTGCTTCTCTCTGGTTTTATTTCTGGTGATGATGTCTCTTTTCCATGTCCCTCCTCCTCCTCCTCTGTATTGAGAGCCTGGCCATCCAACTCCATTTCCTCTGGTCCTACAATTGAATAGCAAACATCCTTAATATACATCCTTGTATGGGAAGGTATTGTATGGCTACATTTTATCTCTACTCCATCAGAATCTCCTGGCTGGAAATAAGGATCAGACTTATCAATTGAGTCACGCATCCATAACAGATCATTGTATGGCTACATTTTACAGCTACTCTACCTTTACATAAACAACTACCTCAAAATAAGTTAGTAAATAAAAACAATCCTAAGGAATAGCATTCTTTAGATAGGAAACTGGACAATTTACCTGTTTTAGAAGAACCAGACATTTTAACTTCTGGATTCAACTTCTCTGCATCTGCAGCTTTAAGATCCTCAATATTCTGAGCTTCTGTTTCCATAGCTGCATCGTCGGAAACTGGTTCTTCATTAACTTCATTAACAGGCATGATCGATTTTTGTTGTTCTTCACTAGCTACATCTGGGAGGGGCACAAACAAAACAAACCAAATACAAAAAATACATTAACAGGAATCCCATACAGAACACTCAACGACCAGCACACACACACACCTGAAGTCTTGTTTTGTAACTGCGCTTTCAGTGCATGCTCCTGAAATATTACAACAACTAGCACTTTGGAGGAATGAAAATGAGGCACTATTTTGTACTATTCTGTGTAAAGCTGAGTAAAGTTCTAGCTTTACTCTTCTCATACTGTGTAGACTGATGATGGAGCAACAATGAATTTTGCTGAAATCTTAGTTCAGCATCTTCACAAAGTGAAAGAATATGTGTGCTGTGATGAATTAAAAAGGTATAGAAATTACCAACTCAGGGTGCATCTACACTGTCAAATTAATGCAGTTTGACACCACTTTAACTACCATGGCTCAATAATATGAAACCATGGGAATTTCTTGGTGAGGTACCAGCACTGTTTAGCAGAGAAGGCTTAATACATTGTAAGACAACAATCTTCAAGATTCCTTAAAATTGATCCATGGACATTAAAGTGATATCAAATTCTACAGTGCATATACACTCTCATTGGGTTCCTACAGACAGCCAAACTATTCCAGATAAATTATCCTATCCTATCCCTCAGAGTGATCAGATGTTGCTGAATTGCAAGTCCCATCAGCCTAGCCAGCACCCACAATAGCCATTTTGTTATTTCAGTCTATGAGTATTGGCGCAAGACAGAATGCTCATATAAGGAACGGTAATGGTTTTGACAATAAATAAATATAAGAAAGGGGAAATATCAACATTTTAACATGATCACAAATTTATGTTTTTTTCCCTGGGAATAAATTGATCTATAGATTATGCAGAATGCTGCCAGGAAGGCTGATATTTTAAAATTCAGGTGATTTCAAACAAATCTATACTGAACATAAGAACCTTTAGACATCTAGGATCTACAGCATTCAGCATGGGTTGCAATGCTAGGGTTACATAGGAAAGGAAAAGTTGGGTCACTGACATTTTAGGAGCAAGAAAGTTATCTTTAGAACAACTTGAATGCTCCCTCAAGCGAGATCACCATTGCACCAGAAGCCTCTGGACAATAAAACCATTTGTGTGCACTACAGCTTGAGATCATTGTCTGCAGTTCAGATTGCAGATTATAACAAAAAAGGGAAACATTTTATAAAACCCTGACAACGCTTCGCTGTGGCTCAGTCTGATATGAAATGAATGAGACAGTAAATAAAAGTATTGTTGTGAACATAGATTCACCGAGAAAACACAACATTCAATTCAATGCCCTGCCTTGCGTTGCTGTGTCTATGTGGAATGAAAGGAAAGGAAAGAAAAAGAGATTTTTAATATAAATCACTTTTTATTGTAAAGCTAGTGGATTGACCACATTTTTGGTTTGTCCATTTTCTACATAAACACGAAGATCTGATGGTTTACTGACTCTGGAGCAAGCAACGTATAAGTGACCCTGAGAAAAGCAACTGTTTTCTAAATTCAAACCACACACTTGCAAAGATTTCCCTGCGCTTTATTGATAGTCATAGTGAACGCAAGGTGTATTGGAAATTTGTTGTTGTTAGTTGTTAGTCGGTTGTTAGTCGGTCGGTATGAGTGGTATACCAATAGCAGCCAATCACAGCTCAACTTTCATTTCTTGTACTGTTAAGATTAAATGACAGTTGCTCTGTGATGGTTTGGTTTTCCTTATTCTGCTGAGGTAAAAGGAAAGGTGTGCTATGATTGGTTGTTATTTCTTCTGCTGAGGTAAAATGAAAGCTGCTCTGTGATAGGTTGTTATTTCTTTTACTGCTGAGGTAAAAGGAAAGCTGTGCAGCGATTGGTTGCTTTGGACATCACAGATTCCACTTTGTCTATTCCAGGACTGCTTGTTTTACTCTAAACACATGTGTGTATTTGAATGCAATATTGTGTCAAAATTTCATTTTACTCTAGAAACACATGTGTATTGAAATGTCAAGTCAATCTACCAACTATTTTTCAATTTTTTGCAAGCACAAACATACGAAGGCTGAGATTTATATATAAAGATGGTTATTTTTTTAAAAAAAACCTCTAAATTTGTTTTACAGCTAAGTATTGTAGTTGATTTAAAACAGACACTAAGTTACTGATGAAGAGAAATCTGGCATCTCATCAGACCCAGAACATTTAAGAGTGTAATTCTGTGCATTTAATAGTAAGCTCAACTGAGTTCAATGGGACTGGCACTTGATTAAGTATGTACAGGACAAGTTTATAAATTACCTCTGAAATGAGAACAAACATAAATCCCCTTAAATAAAATTCACACAGATACAACAGATTTCTTGTCCAAATAACTGTCCTCCAACCCTGTAAGGATATTTCCATTGTTTATACTGCAATAAATAAAACATGCTCATTGTCATTAAGAATCAGTTGGCCTTCTGACACCATGAAATGAATGCTGCCATACCGTAGGTCTGTGCATCATAGGATTCACTGCCTTGCTTAATGTGCTCAAAAGCATCGGCTTGTCCCATATTTTGTTCTGGCTGTTCTGAAGTTGGTTCTGTTTTACCGCTAGACTCCACAGTTCTCAATCGTTTGTGAACATGTTGACTGTGATCTCCCGTTGAACGCTCATTGTCAGCTTTACCAGGTTTTCTCTTAAAACTCTGAAAAAAATAGGACATGTAGCCATGTGTAACTTATAAGGCTGAGCAAACCCAAAGTCATGTTCCAAAGCTGTTAACCTCTCAGTGTTGCTTAGAGAAGCGGCAATGAGTACAAAAGGTTCTACTAACAACGGAAAGCCACTTAAAAGATTGAAAAAACATTGTATTTACCACAACCAGAGGTGCACAAAGGGTACTCCAATTCCACCTCTTAAATATCAACTTCATCAATACAATTTCTTTATAAAACAGCCTTAAAGTAAGGAGTTAATTCAATCTCTTCTGGCCAGAACTGTATACTCTACCAAAGTCTCTCCCAGTTTTCAAATACTGCATTTTTCTGACATCTGAGGCCTGTATATATATCTATCTCCCAACTCATATGCTTAGAATACATCTGCAGGGCAATGTTCCCCAACCTCTCTACATTCAGTAAAGTGGTGCCACGACCTATTTGACTAGCATGTAAATGATTAGTAGGGAGTGGTTCTGATCTGTTTCTGCATCATTTTGGAATTTTTAAAAAATCACATGAAATCTGCATTTAAATATAGATCAGGTATCCCTTATCTGGAGTTGTTGATGTGGGCAGCTGAGATTGTGACACTTTTGCCTTCTACAAACTTTGTGTGATGCACAAAATTATTAAAAATACTATATGTAAAATTATATTCAGGCTATGTTTATTAGTGTATATGAAACATAAATTTTGTATTAAAAATCCAAAATATGGAACACTTCTGGTCTGAATAATTTCAAATACAGTATATATTTAAGATTATTATTATTATTACATTTATTTTACTCTATTATTATTATTATTACATTTACATTATTTTACTATATTATTATTACATGTATTATTTTACTCCATTACTATTATTAAAATTATTATTTTACTCTCTTTAATATTATTATTACATTTGTATTATTGGTTTTTATTTCATCTATTATTTTTCTCTCTTTATTATTGGAAGAATACGTAAGCACATTTACATTGAAGAAGGCTAGAATAATGGTTTAAGCAGAGCTGGACAATTTTATCTTGAATTACAGTTTTATGTAAATATTCAAAAACATTTAACCTACTGATGCCTCAATTAATGTAATTTTATTGGTATCTATTTTCATTTTAAATTTACTAGTAGTTGCTGCATTTCCCACCTTCGGCTTATACTTGAGTCAATACATTTTCGCAGTTTTTTGTGGTCAAATTAGGTGCCTTGGCTTATATTCAGGTCGGCTTGAATATATATGGTAGATATTCAACCTGTACACATTTTAAAAGGCACTCGTGTGATATGCATTCTGACTGCAACAGGATACTCGTTGAGCTGGGAACATAGTATCTCTGAAATGGACTATGTGACACATATTTAGAAAGCATGAAAGGTGATCCACAACTAAACTTCAAAGCGTATGTTAGTTCAAGAAATGCAGGCCTAATCAGGGTTCTTTTCACATTTATCCCACCAAGTTTTATAAACAGGAGTTACAAACCTGTGTATTATTTCTTTTTTGTTTCTGAGAAGCTAGCCGTGCCATTAATTCAGATTCATGCCCTTCTGACTGATTTGCATCAGCAGCCCCGGTTCCATGCTCCTGCAAAGGAAAAGGAAAGTCCCAAAAATAGTGACAAAAATCCTATATTTAAGGAAGGTCACTATGTTCTTCTGAAGTGATGTTAGATTGTATTTCTGAGAATAGACATTTGGGTCTTTTCTAATGCTGTGCAGAAAATGCTGTGCTTTTTGGTCTACATAGCAACTGAGACTCCTTGTAGACAGATTTTGAAGTTTCAATTATTGTAATTTGCAGCTAGCTTTCTAGCCTAATGTAAATTATTTCAATTTTTTCTCATCTTTTGACTATAATCTCCAGCAAAGGGAGATTAAACCAAAGAATGATCATTCCAAAAGCAACATTTTTACTGATTATTACTTAGATTTTTCTTATGCCAATAAATCCTTACTACAGAGAAACAGACTACATTGTGTTTACATGAGAACAGCCCCAAAGACAACCTTGAAGAAATGTTCAAAAATACTTTCATTCGACACAAGTTTTCCTGTCTCACCTCTTTCGCCTGGTCCTTCTCAGCTGCCATTCCTGCCAGTTCTACCGCAGTGTTGCTCTGCAGGTTCTCCTCTCCTGTCTGTCCTTGCGTTTCATGCTCCATTCTCTCAACGGCCTCAGGTAAAGGCTCCTCTTCATCTGGATTGTTGACATCCTCATTTTCCTGAAATCAGATTCAATTATGAGTGTCATGGAAGAGTATCCAGAAACAGTTTTGCGATGCAGAATATCTCCTTGTGCTTGAAAACAAATGCTATTATTTATTGCAATGTTAGCCTTACGCCATATTTATTTCCTCATATGCTGCCAAGGAAAAATATTGACCAAGTAAAAAAGTAAAACCTGAGGATTGAGGCCTTTGTCGGTAACTGGGATGCCCTTCTCATTGTCTGCTTCGTGAGACTCTTTCTGGTCTTCTGTAGAGGATTCCTCCTCTTCTTCATTGCCTGCATTTTCTTGTGTGTTTACTTCTTCTTTGATTTCTTCTTCCATTTTATCGTCTCCTTCACCTTTATCTTCAGAAGACTCCTTTTCAAGTTGCTCAGGGTCCTGACCTTCTTCACCCACATCTTCAAGATCCTTTTCCTTCATCTCTTTTTCATCTATGTCTGTAGGTTTCTCTTCAATCTCAAAAGGATTTTCCCCTAAAGAAAAAGACAAACTTTTTAGATTAAGTTTTTCGTGTTTGTGTGTGCAAGCACATGCATATTTAGAACAATTGCTCAGTTGCTAGAAATGAGGCAATACTTCAGATTCATAGTAAAAGCAAATTCAGTTGTGCATTTCAAAGCAATACTCCTTTTGGCACAGTAAACACTGTTAATATAATACAGAAATTAAATGCTCACATTATGTTCTTTCAAAGCTCAAATTTGTGCCTGCTAATAACCAGAGAATTCACCAATTGTCTAAATATGTTACATTTGTCATAAAAAGTAGAGGTTTCCCTGTGACATTAAGTCTAGTCGTATCTGACTTGGGGGTTGGTGGTGCTCATCTCCATTTCTAAGCTGAAGTGCTGGCATTGCCTGTAGACACCTCCAAGGTCATGTGGCCGGCATGATGGACTAGAGTGCCGGTACCTTCCTGCAGAAGCAGTACCTATTGCTCTACTCATATTTGCATGTTTTTGAGCTGCTAAGTTGGCAGAAGCTGGGCCTAACAGCAGGAGCTCACCTGCTCCCTGGATTCAAACCGCTGACCAGCAAGTTCAGCAGCTCAGTGGTTTAACCTGCTGTGCCACCAGGGGGCTACCATTTGTCATACTCAGATACAAATCTAAGTTGTATCAAGCAGCAAAGTCACAAGAAGTCTAAAACAAGAATATATTCAGTGACTTCCCATCTATTTCATACTGAACTTTGGAGCAGCTACACTGTCATGTCCAGGATATGAACAACTCAAGTACAGAGGGACAGGTTTAACTCCATAACTGCTCTGGTTGAGATGTCACCAGATTAAAAAAGTGCTTTTCACATAATGTCATAGGAAAGATTGTGAGTACTTGTTAATGTTATCAGTATTAATAATAATCTACTCATAATCTTGCTTAAGATTATTATTATTATGTCGTTATCATTCTGACCCACCAGGAAGTAGGACAAGAATTCAAAGGAACTTCCCAACAGTTATCATAGGAAACCTTTATTATGACTGTGCTAAAATAGCCAAGCTGTGAAAATATGGGAACTAATTTGAAGTCTAAATCATTTTTAAAAAGGCAGTAATCTTGATTCAAGCACTTCCAGCATACAAACATTCTGGACATAACAATGAATTCACAGGTGCCCAATAGTTATCACCATGAACACCAACTAGGGCTACTCTCTAATAGTAGTTGTCCTCATTTTCTCCAAACGATAGAGTCCATCATTCCATAAATCTGAATGGAGCCAGATTAAGTCTGTTCATTTGCATTCAGTCTCCAGCTACAGATAGACAGTGGACAACCACAAAAAAATAAATAATAACTGGAACATCTTTGTTATCTACCAGAAACACCACATTTTGTCAGCTGTACCTTCTCCAGAGAGACAACATGGAGTAATAGTTTGAGTGTTGGACTAAACTCTGGAGATTATGGTTCGATTCTTTGCTTGGTTGTAGAAACCCACTGAAAGACCTTGGGACCTCAATAAATTGGAAAGAACTTGGACAATGATGATGATAGTAACAACAACAACAACAACACACCTTCTTCATCCTTGTCCTCATCATCCTTTTCTCCATTTTCTAGATTCAGGTCAGGAGGAAGTTCTAGGGCTTCCGCTTCAGGCTGTTTCTCCTGTTTCCCATGATAGGGATCTATCTCATTCTCATCATATTCACGCTGGTAATTAAAAGAAAGACGTATCACAAGAGGAATCAAGTGGAAGGAAGTGCACAAAAACCTTTATCATGACTCTGGATGTTATGTTCTGATCAGCCCAAACAGAAAAGATCTGACTGCATTAAGGAAGTGTATTTCAGCTTGAAAAACTGAAAGTTGTTCTCAATGTACACAGTTAAAGCACGGATAGAGAAATCACAAACATGCCTTTGCTACGAACAACAAATCCTCTCATTTATTTTCAAGCCTCATCAAAGCTATATTTTGAGTGTTCATCTGAATGTGCTTATTCTTTATAGCATGTATTACATTTTACAAAGTATGAAATGAAACATGAATAACGGAAGTATTCTCGGTTATTAATTAAGCTGGGAACCACATAACATTAATTATGCCAGGCCAAATGCAAAAGAATTGGTATCTATTTAGAGAAATGTAAACACACAGATGGATGTATATTTCTGGACCTAAATTGCTTCTCAGTCACACAGGCATCTATTTCAGGATAACAAGATTTCAAAACACAATTTTGGGCTTCTTCAATCACTGCCTTTTGCTGGTTCCCATTACTTGTCCTGCTCACTACATAAATTATGGTAAGAGTTTTAGAAAATTCCCAAGTCCTCAATGGTTAGTTTCAAAGTAGGCATTGTATGGGAAACAAATCTGGATATTTCTGATGAAAGTGAACTGACCTGGGAAATAAAACAAGTTACTTTAGAGACCATGAGTGGGGAAACTTTGGTCTGCAGACTTTGATCTAGTCCCTGCAGCCTGTGCTTCTCCACTTAGAGAAGGGAATGAAATCTCTGTTCTTGGAAGTACTGGCCAGTTTTCCTCATCCTTCAAGTGAACAAAGTCCCCTTCAGGCCCCTATCTCTTCTCGTTTGTAAGCCGCCCTGAGTCCCCCCTCGGAGGTGAGAAGGGCGGGGTAGAAGTAATTTAAATAAATAAATAAATAAATAATGTGGGAAAGGGGCTGCAGTACAAAAGCCTAGTTCCATGTTGAAGCACCAGGTGGGCCACTTCATCTTGTGTTTTAGCTGACAATTCGATGACATCAGGATAAGAAGTCGCACACCCTCCCCCTGGGTTCAGCCCCTCTTCCACTACACCCCCAGCATATACCCAATGGTTGTTTTATGATCCTTGGGAACTATTAGTAATGTGGTCCCTTGGGCTCCCAACAGTTGCCTACCTTTTGTATACAGGAACTCTGAATAACATAAAGCCACTCTCCTCTACCCAACTATGAAATACAGCACAAGTTTAATTAGCAATACTAGAGGTCCAGGCTATGTGACCATAACTAATCTTATGCTAACCAGCATAGGATCTGTTGAAATAAACTAAAATGACATATGGGTCATGTTAGCATAGGATTGCTGGGAAATCTTTTTTATTACCTCATCTATTTGTTCATGGACCTTCTCTCTAGTTTCACAATCATCCATTTGCTTCTCTTTTTCTTCCTCTTTTGGTGGTTTTTTATCTTTTTTGTTGTCAACATCCACATTATCATCTTTGGCCACAAGTTCTGAATCACCCTAAATGGTAAAAAAATATATATATCTATGGAATCATTTTACTGTAAAATTAGGCCATTTTACATGTGGAAAATTAGGTAATTACTAAGATAAGCAACTTCATTCATTATGCTTCTGACACTAATGTTTATCTATAGCACTCCAGCACAGAAAAGAAAAAAAAAACAGGCAGCATGAGCAGGCACTGATAACAAGAGAAATGTGAGCCCTAATTATTTATTTAGAGTATTTATACATCCAGTCTTCAGCCACAAAGACTCTCAGAGCATCTCAGAAATTGTTGATTTGACAGTTATCAAACCTCTGGCTTACAAACTAAATGAGACACTGGGACACACAAGGAAAAGGGAATTGTGGTGTAGGATGAGATTAAGTCTAGCAAATACTGAGGTTTTTAATATGTCTCTGAGACCAAGGCAATAGAAGTTGGGAATAGCCTTTTCAATGCTTCTGGGCCCCAAAACACCAGGAAATAATAATAATAATAATAATAATAATGCTGGATATAGATGTTTGATCAAGCATGACACACCACGAAGATCTGAAGACGTTTTCCAAGTCTGTTTAGCTGAATGCTTGTATAAATACTGAGTACACTGAAAAGAGAGATCAGGGGAAGGGGCTGCATATATGCCTGGACAAATGATGGAAATATACTTTCTGTGCAAGCTCCCGAGCAGCAAAGCTACAACATACAATGGCGATATAAAAAAAAATTGTACCGAAATCTATATGGCTAAAATAGTGTCAATTTTATAGCTTGATTGTCTGTGATTGCCTCATACTACACAGCCACAGGGATTCACAGCTTTCAGACTACTGTTTGTGTTGTTGTCACTCAAACCGGATGTCCCTGGCTTTTGCAAGAGCAGTAGCTCTTGTTGCAATGGTGTAGTAACAGTAAGGCCGCAGACCATATTTTAGTTTTTGTGGACCACTGGTGGTCCATGGACCACAAGTTGGGAACCACTGGTTTACTGAAACAATGCTATCTTTCCATTTATATTAGGAAGAACATAAACACAATTGTCTAACTCCACTGACAAGTATAGTAACACTTCCTCCCAGAACATACATCTGGTATCATTGTTACCTCATCCATTCCAGGTCCAGTTTCTGTTATGTTGTCCTTATCACTTCCATCATCATCGTCGTTGTCATCATCATCTCCCCAAAGCCTTTCATCCAATTTGTCAGCTTCAGCATCCCCAAGATTTCCCATTTGCTTATCTAAGTCTTCATCGTCATCAGAGTTTTCATCATCTTCTGTGTAAGAGAACAGTGTCTAACGTAAGTTTTCGAAAGCACTGATTCACCTATAGAACTCCCCCAAATCACTGATATGATAAAAACAAGGACTGGAGATCACAAGGAGTATATATCTATATATCTTTCTATATCAGTGGTTCTCAACCTGTGGGTCCCCAGATGTTTTGGCCTTCAACTCCCAGAAATCCTAACAGCTGGTAAGTTGGCTGGGATTTCTGGGAGTTGTAGGTCAAAACAACCGGGGACCCACAGGTTGAAAACCACTGCTCTATGTATATCATTTGCTAAATGGGGAATACCAACAAATTATTTATATCTATAGATATAGTGGTGACAAATGATATGCCCTATATTTGCTGTACGGACATACTGAAGTATAAGATTGAATATTATACAGCCATCAAATAAATAGAAATTTGTTGCCAAATTTAATATTCTGCAACTGAATAGCGATTTTAACAAGGAGACACTCACAACAATGTTTTTACGGCTTTGTATGGTTTATATATATATATATATATGTTTATATTTTATGCTAAATGTTTTAACAGTATTTTATGATTGTTTTATTTGTTGAGGCATCAAATGTTGCCAACTGGGAACCCCCCTGAATCGCCTTCGGGCTGAGAAGGGTGGTATACAAATATGGTAAACAAACAAACAAACAAACAAATAAATATAATTTTCAGAAAGACAGAATTCTAGAGGGAAAAAAATTGCTGGCAGATTTCTCTTTCTTTTTTTGTATAATGTTTTTTATTGAGCACCTCCAATTTTTACAACACAAGACGAAGAGAAGGAAAGCAGGAAAGAGAAAAAAAGTTAAAGTAACAAAAAGGGGGTGGAGTTATTGTTATTGAGTTCAATTGTTACAAATTATCAAGTATTTTGCAAAAAGGGAGGGAGAAGGGACAATTATTAGTGGACAAGGTTATTATTAATACATCTATTTTTTCATATCAATTTTGTGAACATATCAATGTATATATGCATAAGTTTATTCTATAAAATTGTGATGAGATTAGTATCACAACAAGAAAGATGTCACTTCAAAGGGTGAAATAGTTTGCCCTGAGTCCCCTCGAGGAGATAAGGTGGAATATAAAATTATTATTATTATTATGTTATTATTACTATTATTATTATTATTATTATTATTATTATTATTATTATTATTATTATTATTATGAACTTAATGCTTCTCACCCATCCAAGCAGAGTAGTTTGTATGTGCATATTGGTTTTTATAAGGAAAAAAAAACATGAAACCTACACACCTGGACTTTCTTTCTCCCCATCGTATGTTTTCCCTTCAAAGTCCTCCGACATCTCAACTGCATTGTCTTCTCCTTCAAGATCTGGTTTAGATTCTGGGTCTTCCTCTGGCTTTTCTTGGTCTTTTTGGTATGTATCTTCCACCTAGAAGATTTAGTGAACAATTACTGTACAGAAATTTTACTTAAAAAACCAACCCAAGAAACCTAGGTCAACCTAAACATTGACCTAAAATTCTACCTGAAAGAAGTAACAACCCTCTCTGCTCTTTCTGTGTTCCTTTGTGAGGAAGCACCAAAGAGCTGCAGCTGCCATTTTCCTGCCCCAAAATTCAAAAAGACCAGAACTAGTATGCAGGAGAGAGAGTGGGGCTTTTTTTAAAAAAAGTATGTGTGTGTATGTATGGATTAACAGTGTACCTGAACTTTTATCAAAACAGGAGCCATTACACTCTCTGAGTAGAATGGTGAACGGCCTTTTTTGAATACTTAGGCAGGAAAATGGTGGTGGTCAGGGATGGCTTGTCTACTGCATCAGCTATATATCGGTGCTTTCCCCTCTCTGTGGAATGACCCTCAGGTTATCCACGGGTCATATCAGAATCCCTAATTCAGGCACCAAAACCCACCCCCGCCTTATATATGGTATTTTGTTTCCTCTTATCAGCCTTAAATAAAATATGTTAATACTAAATTAGGATATATCCTCCATTACATTAATTATTTTTCTAATCAAAAAGGCATAACTGGCCCACCTTGTCCTTGTTTAATTCTTTTAGCATTTTATACTTTATTTTTATTATGTTATATTGTCATTATTTTATTTTATTATTATTTTATTGCATTACTATGTTATTGTTAAGCATTTTTATTTGATGTTATTGTCTGTTTTGTACGTATTTTATTTTGCTTTATTGTAATTATTTGGGCTTGGCCTCATGTTAGCCACCCCAAGATGGTGGCGGGGTATAAATGAAGTTGATTATTATTATTATTATTATTATTATTGGATTTCATTTTTGGTATCCAGTGTGATATGTTTTCTTTTTGTTTAGTAACAAACTTGGTTGACAAGAGGAAAGCTACCCTGAAAACTACTGAACCATTGTAAGAAAATAAACCAATAACTTCCATTAACCTGCTACAGTATATTAATTAAGAGTATGTATGTGAAGCAAAGGCTGAATTCTGAGAATAGAACCATACATTCCATTTCCACATACCTGATCTTCGTGTTCTATCTTATCACTCACATCCTTTTTGCCTTCCCCTTCTCCAAGGCCTCCTCCTTCATAATCATGGAATTCTGTTCCTCCTTCTCCCGCAGCATCCTCTGTTAGCTCTTTTGGTAAGCAAAACCCCTAAAAAGCACATTAATGTGAAGAGAGGTTAGCACTCAAAACTAGGCTTCATGATACTTCTTGAATGCTTCTTCCAAGCGGAGCAGAGAAAGTGCTAATTTATTTACTTGTATACTTTCGAACATCGAACAGAATGATGGGCTTCTATGAGATTATTTCTATATATTGATTGACAAATGAGGTCATGTAACTGGAGGGCCATTTTGTTAAATTCCCCCCAAAATTGCATATCTTGCAAAAGGCATGTACGGATCAAAGTTGCTCTTATGGGCAGCACAGTTTATTTAGGCTCACCGATTCTCCATTTATTTTGCAGAGAAGCAGTCCTATACACATTGCACTACAGGTATGGTTTCAAGTAGTTTGAAACTTTTAAAAATGATTATCTGGATATCAAAGCTGGCAAAATGGAACATGTACAATTCAATTGAACAGGGAAAAAAAACTCAAAAGCATAATGATAACATTCTGAAGATCAAGTTTACTCCATGTTAGAAGACTATATACCAATAGCAAAAATGATACCTGTACTAGGCCCTAATTTTAAGATCAAATATATATATATATATATAATATATAAATACAAATCTTTAGGAGCAAAGATTAAAGTTCCCACCTAATCAATATAGATTACAACAACAATAATCTTACATAGGTGTCGATTCTGATTCCATTTTTTTCATACTTCAAAATGAGAAATATTTTTAGCACATATAACGAGAAGATAAGCTAATATTTCTTACCTTCTGGGCCAGTTCAGTAAATATACTCGTTAGAACAGAAAGCAACTTCCCAGTACTCCTGTGTGTGGCCAAGGAAACGGTGAGGTAGAAAAGGATGGTGCTGGAATACTTGTAAAGTATTGGCATTAGACGCACCATTAAGTGGCAGGACTGATTGAAGAGCTGTAGGCAGAAGAAATCAGGTATTTTTTGTGTGTGAAGGCACATCAAGTTGTAAACACCCACCATATCTCTATTTGAGGTACAGCTTTTTAACAAGTCATCAGAGAAATAATTCCAAATTATCCCTCTTTTTCACTTTGCTTCCATCAACCCAGTTGAATAAACCCAAATCGGAATCCAACCCATTATGTTCCAGATGGTTGTTATATTTTTTTTACCTTGCACTTGTACACAGTATAATCCTCGCCATAGGATTTCAGTCGCTCCAGGAGTTCTGAAATGACTGAAATTATTTTCTGTATGTGCAAAGAATTCACATCTGCACAGATGTCTTCATCCAGGAGCTTGGTTAAATGCCCCGTCTTGAGAGGGTTAACTGAGGTCTCTTCCTCTGAAGAAAAAATAATGACCAAACAATAGTTAAAGAAAAGATTGCCAAAGAGGTTTTAAAATTGGTTACTCAAGTAGTGACCATTCCATTGAATTTGAATTATGGATTAATAATATATTTTTAATTTCACATGACATCATTTTAAAGCTGTCTTGAATTCTGGGCTGGGAAAAGGGTGGGATATCAATGTAATAATTAAAAATAGCAATAATTTAGAATGAAAATCGACTAACTGACCCACTAAGAGTATCACAGAATACAAGTTTGTGCTCAATTCCACAAAAACATATATCTGACTGTTAAAAAAGAAAGTTCAACTCACCATTCTCAGCCACTGAGCTGCTATCCTCTTTTTCTTTTCTCCTCTCCACCAAATGTTGTATCGCACTCAGGACAACCTGGATCGCAAGTTCTACTTGTTTGGAGAAGAGATCTACAAAGCTATCATCTGATTTTTCTTCCCCTTTGGAATAAACAGAAATATTAATTGGAAACACACTTGATCTCTACATTGCCCAAATATGCTATCACAAAGTAGTCTCTGTGGCAGCTAAACAGCAAATGTAATTACAGAAACACCAACTTAAGATGGACAGCACCTCTAAGGTTAGAAGGCAGACAGAGACTGTTGCTGGCATCACAGCAAACCACATGGCTGAAAGATCTGAACTAAGAACAAAAGTAGGACTTGAACATGCTGTTTTGAATTGGATAAACCAGAGTTCCGCTGTGAGTGAAAGAAAGGGTCAAATGAGACAGCCAGGCTAGAGGATAACAAAGAAAACAAATCCATGTTTCTCTATGCAGTCAAAGCAGACACAATATCTTTCTTCATATTATTAATTGGCCTAATAAGAGCGCTGAGAAGTGGGTTTGAATCAGGCATGTCAAATGAGTTATCTTGAATTTTTTTCATGTCAGGAGCAACTTAAGAAACTGCAAGTTGCTTCTGGTGTGAGAGAACTGGCTGTCTGCAAGGATGTTGCCAAAATATCCCGAACACATGGGAGACCACACCAGTGTCGGGACCAATGGGTAGCACACAAGCTAGAGAAAAATGTCTAGAATCATCAATAAAATCATGATCTAATTCTACTGCATTTATTCATGCTTATAATTACCCAATGGTGATGAACAAACCTGAACAAACCACTGGATTATCAGTCAGAAGGAAGAAAAGATTGTCTTTACCCTCACAGTGTGAAATTGAACTGAACAGTTGTGTCCTCCAGATAGCAAAGTCATCCACACTTTTATTAATTTCCCCTTGAATGTATATGAGACTTTTGATGATTGCCATTTGTGAGATAGCTTGACTATCTTCGGGCAGAAGAAACAAGGACTCAATGTCTTGCAGTTGGGTTGAAACCTTCAACAAACAGTCCATCCCGGAAGAACACACCTCAAAGCTTTTCCTGCAAGACAAAAGTACCTGCAGTTCCTTTAAAAGGTCAATTTTTCATCTGAACATTTACTTCAAAAACATAAATGCAACACACAATTTTAAATATATCTGCAGGAAATATCAAAGATATGTTACAATGGTGCAGTGTACTAAACCACACATTATGGTATTTATTTTTCCACAAATGACCAAAGAAACTAGTTTTGTTGTACTCATTTCTGGTTCAGTTCTCTTTCATCCCCTTTCTCATGAGTGTTATGGATTCAAAATTGATTCAAGCTCAGGAACCAGCAACAAGCCATGGATTCGACTTGTAATTTGGAGACAGTGAAATAATGGTGTGTGTGTGTGTGCACAGGATATAGTAGTAGTAGTAGTAGTAATACTAATAATAATAATAATCAGACAGACTATAAGCAGAGGCACAATACTGGTGCTCAGATGATCCACTGGAACTTGTGCCACAAATACCATCTGCCTGTGACAAGAAACTGGTGGGATCACAAGCCAGAAGGTACAGAAAATGAAAATGTGAAACTACTCTGGGACTTCCGAATTCAGACTGACAAGAGTTTTGGAGCAAGACTCCTGACTTCACAATCGTGGGGGGAAAACGCACAAGGTATGGATGATCAATGTTGCAATCTTAGGTGACAGCAGAATCGATGGGAAGCAACTGGAAAAGCTTACACAATATGAGGATTTAAAGACAGAACTGCAAAGACTCTGGTACAAGCTAGTAAAGGTGGACCCAGTAGTGATTGGCACACTGGGTGAAGTACCTAAAATCTTGGCCTGCACTTAAAAACAATTGGTGCTGACAAAATTACGATCTGTCAGCTGCAAAAGCCACTCTACTCAGATCTACACGCATTATTCACTGATACATCACACAGTCCTAGACACTTGGGAAGTGTCCGACGTGTGATCGAATACAAAAGTCAGCATAGTGATCTTGTTTGCTGTGTATCAAATAATAATAGTAATAAGGATATTTGTAGGTTTTGACAACTAATTTGCTCTTTTTCCAAATTAAAATATATAGAGAAATTCTGGACTGTTAGATGGGATATAAATTCTTGTATTATGATAATGCCAGTGGCAAGAAAGCGGGAAATCAAAATCCATGTTTTATGTTTAATTGTTAAATATTAGTCTGTGTGTTGAGTAGTTGCTATGTTGTGTTTTGTCAAGTTATTAGTTCTTGTCTGTCAAGCTAGTGTCATATCAATAAAAGAAAGAAAGAAATCACACAAACGTGCTGGTATTTGGAACTAGGCCTGCATATGGCATTCTGTAAATAATGGCCCTTGCACGCCCTTTAAATCTGATTCAAATATTTTGCTGACATAGCCTTTCAGGTGTTTTGGACTACAAGTCCCAGAAAGCTCAGCTATCTTACTAGTTGTTAGAAATTATGCGAGTTGAAGTACAAAATACCTGGAGGGCCGAAGTTTGCCAATGCCTGTGATATCCTCTGGAATGCAGCAGATGCTGCTTCTACGTACCTCCTTCCAAATGCAAATGACCACAACTCTGTCCCCAATTAATTTCTACAACTACAACTAAGATGGGTGACTTGGTAATCTGGCACTGCAAAAGGCTGTTTAGTGTGGCTCTCTGCTGGGATCATGCGCTTCCTGAGCACCAAACACATACTTAATGGGTGCTAAATGCAAGATCTATTTAATCCTTTTGCTGCACAAAATGGACAACGGAAACCATTCTTTTAGATTTTTAAATTGGGTGCAATCTATAAATTGGGTAATGTGCACAATCTATAAATTGGGTAATGTTAAGGCAATATGTTTATCTTGGTGTCATAACATGAAACATACCAGGAATGGAAGAGAGTCTCGGAAGAGAGCTGTCTTATTCTCTCCACGTCTGATTTTACTGCCTTAACTTCAACAAGCATCTCTTTCACTTGGGAGATCAGCTGTTGATACAATGGACCATACTTCAGCATCTTGCATCCAACAGGCAGCTGATCCGTAGCTACTGGCGTGACGAACTGTAGCTCTGAGGCATTAAGTTCAGGTTGCAATTTTTGAACACTGGATGAATTTAGTTCGGTTTCCTCAGATTGCCTTTCTGTCCCGGGAGAATTCAAGAAGTGGCCTTTTGGGCAGCACTCTATAAACCAGGAGAATTGCTCCAGGACCATCACACACTGCATGGCCAGGTACTGCAACTGGTCTGTCCATTGCTGGATGCCATCTTGAGGAGGAAAAGCAACTTCATACTCATTCGTAACATTCAACCTGGCATGAATTTCCTCTACACAGCTCAGAAGGTTCCTGTTCGGGGGATTCAAACAGGATAACAATAATTAGAATACAATCGAAAGAGCAACTGTCTTTAGATTATGCAGCAAAACCAACAAAGAATATTGTGATATGGTAAGAATCAGCAAATTTGATCTGGCGAAAATATTCATGGACTGATGAAGTGGGCTGGGGTCCATGAAGATTTGTGCCAATTTACAACTTGTTGGTGTTTTAAGATGCCACAAGAGGGTTTGTCATTTTTAGAATGCAAATGTTATAGGTGAAGTAAATAAAGCTCAGATAAAGCAGCTGTTACTGCAATGTTTAAATACTGATGATTGATTGATTGCAGAAGATGGCTGGCACCTATACAGTGGCATATGCAAATCTAAGCTCACCTGACAGTTGCATATGTTCTTTTAGGTTACGATTCTCTTTCTCCCTGCAGTGACCAAAACCCTCCCCAGACTCACAGTTTTATTTTGAGAGTCCCCTGTCATTCTGTTGGGGACAGAGAAGCAACTGACTATGCCTGATAAAATAGCAAGTCTAGTCAAAGGTGTTGTGTGTTTCTATAAATAGATCTATAGTTTCTATAAAATCTCTTCAGAGCCTCGGATTGAAGTTCTACGATTCAAATTTTTATTTAAGTCAGAAAAAAACCTCCCCTCAATAGTCTGCAGGCAATTGTCTGCTTTATAGGATTTTGGAATAGTGACTACAGAAAATGAATGCTATTCCTTTGCCAGTGCTCTGAGAGTAAAAAACAAAAAGGGAAAACAGGGGTTGCTTTGATTTTACTTCATAGCAGTAAAAATGTCTAGATCAAGAAAACCACTGCTTTCATACACAGAAGTCAGTTTTTGCAGCTTTTCAACAAGCGGCTTGCCATGCTTAAGCAGTCTGCACACCACATCTCTTAGTAGTCTGAATGCTATCCTTTGTTTTTAAATCAAAAGAATGAACAGGAAAGTCAGGTACCTAAGGAAAATCCAGTGCTCCGTCAAGGCAGTCAGGGAGTTCCTCTGTTTGACAAGTATCTTCATGAGGTGTGAAGTAAATCCCTTACACCTCTCCACAGTGCCCAGTCCAATTTCCTGTTGAAACAAGAAAGGGGCCTGTACTCGTGGGTTTACCTCCTACTTGTATTACTGGAATGCATAGATCTTTACCTAATAATATCACAATAAATGCAGAAGACACTGGAAACAATAAGTATTATTATTATGTAAGTTTTACAATGATAACAAAGAAGAAGAAAAAGAAGAAACTGAAAAAGCTTACACGATAACAAGGATTTAAAGACCAAATTGCAAAGACTCTGGCACAAGCCAGTAAAGGTGGTCCCAGTGGTGATTGGCACACTGGGTGCAGTGCCTAAAGACCTTGGCCTGAACTTAAAAACAATAGGCTCTGACAAAATTACCATCTGCCAGCTGCAAAAGGCCACCCTGCTTGGATCTGCATTATTCGTCGATACATCACACAGTCCTGGACACTTAGGAAGTGTCCGGTGTGTGATCAAATACAAAAGCCGGCATAGTGATCTTGTTTGCTGTGTACCAATCTTATTGTGGATCAAATAATAATAATAATAATAATAGTAATAATAATAATAGTAGTAGTAGTAGTGGTAGTAACTTTATTTATAATCTGTCCTATCTCCCCAGGGGGACTCAGGGCAGATTCCAACATACAAAGGCAAATGTTTCTTTGACCCACTAAGAAAATGCAACAAATGCTATGTTCAGCAAAGGACAAGAGGGATCCTCTCACCTCTGCAGGAGTCTACCATATACCATGCAACTGTGGACAAGTCTACATAGGGACCACCAAATGCCCAAACACGAATCAAGGAACATGAAAGTCAATGCAGACTACTTCAACCAGAGAAGTCAGCCATAGCAGAGCACCTGATGAACCAAACTGGACATAGCATATTATTTGAGAACACAGAAATGCTGGACCACTCTAACAGCTACCATGTCAGGCAACACAGAGAAGCCATTGAAATCCACAAGCATGTGGACAATTTCGACAGAAAGGAAGAAACCATGAAAATGAACAAAATCTGACTACCAGTATTAAAAAGCTTCAAAATCGTAACAGCAAATAAAGAACCAAACTCAAACACAAGGGAACTCTACAAAAGAAACAATCAGGAACAGGCAATCAACTCTCAAAAAAGGATTCCCTCAGGCAGTAACAAGCCACACCTAAAAACTGTCAGGCCATCAAATGTTAATCAAGGTGGCCAACTGAAACATTCACACCTAGCTCCAACTGACAAGAGTTCTTTCTCCTACCCTGGACTTTCCACAGATATGTAAACTTGTTTTTCCTAGTTTCCAATGGACTTCACAACCTCAGGGGATGCAAACATACAATGCCAGCACAGAACAAACAAGGACTGACATAATAATCCCAGAAAAACCCCACATATGAAAACAACATCAGAACCTAACATCACTAAATTAAACAAAACGTAATCAAACAAAAATTATATAATGACGCAAAATCTGAACATAAAAAATCCACAATGATTTACAAAAGCCAACTAAAGTTCCCAAAGTTATGTGGGTCAATTGTGTGCAAATAGCCTTTGGCAGTAAACTGGGCAAAAAGCAATTATGTAAGCTGCATTGGCTAGTAGCTAGTCTACTCTAGTTAAGCTAGTAAATTTAGTATGTAGAAATATTTGGAAATAACTTTCATTAGAGACAGACTAGTAGACCTGTTAGATGATTACCTCCATCCATTTGTTTTATATCTACAACATGGCAAGTCGAAACAAGCCTGGGGACGGCTATACTTATTTTAAATAAACTTATCAGACTTCTCAGTGACTGATCCTGCCTTATTTGCTCAAAACTGTTAAAAGCATAAAGTTAAACCAAATCTTTAACGTTATTTGAAGCCACTCTTTTACCTTTGAAGGTGCTAATAACACTGTCTGAAGCCTACAGTGGCGTGCAAGAGCCTGATAGAAATATTTCTGGCATCCATCCCAGGAGGAAGATATCGCAGAGAGTAACCTGGAAAGTACAAGACTTGTTTTACGCTCTAGAACAAAAAAAGTGATCTCCTTCAAAAGTTTCAAGGTAGACAACACAGATGCAAAGCCTTAGAAATTCAGTTCAATTACGTTTGTAGGAAGCACCGACCAATTTTACATTACATTAGTAAGTTATGATCCTAATAATGGATGTACACATGTTAGAAGTGATGATTTAATGTAAGGACCAATTACTATTTCTGGTGTGTTGATTGCAGGGGAAGGGAGTCTGATGGTGGAAGAAAAGACTTAAACTTTCTTCCAGCTATTTCTTTAGAATATCCTCATCAAATGTACCCTTTTCAGTTTTTGAAAGTCAAACAACCCATTTCTTTTTAAACCCCTTTCTGTAGCCTGAAAAAGAGAAGATACATACGTTGAATCCAATTTCTGCGTGCTGCTGATCAAGGACAATGCACTATGCAAATCCAATGGCCGAAGGAAAAGCAGTTCCTGAGAAGTTTTAGAACGAGACCAAGCAAGGCCTTTGCGATATGACAATCCTAGGGAGACAGTTGAAACACATGCATTAGTCTCTTCTGGGATTTGAAAGTAAAGTCACCGGGTTCCCTCCACCCTGCGTTATTTTCAGCTAGTTTAAAGAGACACTAAGATATATAGAGATTTGTCCTCAACAAGGTTTGTCCTGTGAGAATATAAGAAGCTACAAAATTAATCACTCTTACAAACTACTACTACTAGAATAAATTCTTTAGCATTTCTTATGAATACTCGCTCCACCTTATGATAATAGCTACTTTCAGATGACTATCACTGAATGTATTTACTAAATTTTCAAATTTGACTCTAATGCAAGAACAAACCAATGTTTGGCATAACAATGAGAGCATCAGGCATCTATACTCTCCTTTTGCTTGGAGAAAATTACAGCTTGGGTGGGTTTCCAAATCAGAAATGTTCAAACCCAGGAAAAGAAGCAGGAGTCTAGGGCACACTGATGTAACAGGAAGGATCTATAGCTCATTAAATGAACACAAGCTTAGAAGATCTTATGTTCAGTCTCTGGCACCACTAAATAAAATGATCAGGTAACAAATGACAGGAAAGAATTTCACCTGGGATCCTGAGAGCTGCTTATAATCGGTGTAGCCAATATTGAACTATATACATGGATAAGTAACCTAATGTAGTAATAGACAGTTTCTTGTTGGCCTACCTAGTCAACTCTGAATCATGTGTTTTGAATTTGTATTCTATTTGAATTTTGTATCCTGTATTTGGTGTATGTTTTTATAATGATGTATTTTTATCTATGTATTCTTTTATATGTATTTTATTAATGTTCGTATGTTTTGACTCTGTTGTACCCTGCCTTGAGTCATTAGGAGACACTGGTAAACAATAATATATATTAAAAAGGTAAAGATTTCCCTTTGACCTTAATTCTAATATGTCCGACTCTGGGGGTGCTTATCTCCATTTCTAAGCCAGCGATGTCCGTAGACACCTCCAAGGTCATGTGGCCAGCATGATTGTATGGAGTGCCATTACTATCCTGCCCGAGTGGTACCTATTGATCTACTCACATTTGTATTTTTGAACTGCTAGGTTGGAAGAAACTTGAGCTAACAATGGAAGCTCACCCCACTCCCCGGATTCGAACCACTGACCTTCGGTCAGTAAGTTCAGCAGCTCAGCGATTTAACCCTCTGTGCCACTTGGGACTCCATAAAATGCATTATTATTATTATTATTATTATTATTATTATTATTATTATTATATCATGTGAGTGGACTTGCACATGTAAAACAAGATTTCCCTTTCCTCCCCTGTTTCCTGCAACCCCATCTGCTTTGGAGGGCCTTCCATTTCTGCAAAATAATTTTGTGGGGGCACACATGGGCAATCTGCTCTGCCACTGCTCTTTGTTCTTTTGGTAAAGAGATCTAACTGGATATATTTCTACATTCAGGCAAGTCATGGCTTGGTATTACAGGAGAATGAAGCAAGAGAGGCCAGATTATTAACTTATTTTTTGCTGTGTACATAAAAACCTAAGATACTTTCTCATTTGTGTACAAGTCCACAGCAGCACCTGAAACACTACAAACTAATGCATGAATAAACCTAGCAGAGATTTCCTCATGTCTGCAGGAAGTCACTGCTAATAGTATCCACGGCTAGTTGTATAGCTGGTCCATGCCAACATTTTCCCCACATAGTCACAGGCTATCTGCAGTTTCAGATAACTGTGGTGTGACTAAGAATGTGTCTCCCTGGATACAGTGGTTTTACTATATAAAGAAGTCCACCCGAAAAACTCCTGAACAGTATTGGGGGGGGGGGGGGGCAATAAGAACAGAATACTACTGTTTATCTGAGTCCCCTTGGGAAGATAGAGCGGTATATAAATAAAGTTTTGTTGTTGTTATATTATTCAAATTTAAAAATTTGGCTTAATTTCCCTTTACCTGTAGTTGCAAGATGTTTAAAGAGCTCTGTTAAGGCCCTTTGTTTCTGTACAAGGAAATGTTTGGCCTCAGATTTCTGTTTTTCCTTTTCTCCAGCTGGATTTACAGCCAGATTCTGCAATTCATGGGCAGAGGAAATTATGTCACCTATAAAAGGAAGAGAGGAATAAAAATAATCTACATAGTAACATTTACACTCTCATTCTTACTCCACAGCCTTAACGACAAAGCATTTGGAAAGGTGAAGATCTAAATATATAAAATTATATGTTTGTATTTCTACAGTGCTTACCAGTAAAATTGTCAAGATTCTCCACAAGATCCAAAAATGAATTGTTCTTCACCAGACCTGTACATATTTTCTGCATCCGCTTTGTGAGCTTGGGCAAGCGGCCCTGAAGGGATTCTGGTTGAAACACCTCTTCTTCAAATTCTTCCAAAAGGACAGCCTGATATAATGTCAAAAACAGACAAGCCACTATGACTACGGACAGACCAAGCCATCAGACTATTATTCTCATTTTTGAAAAACTAAAGTTCAAATATAGAAATGAGAGGTGGACACCAAGACCAGTTTTGTCAACTTTCCTGCTATGCCTTGTTGGCTGCCATTAAAGAAAGAAGCCTGGATGCCACTCAACAAATGGCCTCATGAGAAGCCCAACTTGTACTCCGTCGTGTGCGTCCATATAACTGAGCAAATTAACCTATCTATTTCTAAAAGCCCGATGATTCAAAATAGAACAGATGTATTATTTATGAAACAGAACAGCACTTTCATCCCATGCTTTTGTTCCTTAGCTATAACTTGCACTATCCTTTTTCCTTCTTCTTGTTTACAGTTGACCATGTCTTTACAACAGTCGACACTATTATTGGGCGACGTTTTGAGTTAAAATTGTTGTTTTCTATATTGTGGGTTTATCATGTATCGTGCTGTGTGTTTATTTTATGTGTTGTTTTAGGCACTTTGTGCCACGTCTATCTACTTCACATGATCCTACACTACAAGAAAAAAACCCTGAGATAGGCAACAAATTCAACACTAAGTTTGTAAATAGCCAGCATTCCATCTCAAAACCATTAAAAATCACATTACCTCAGTGGCATCTGTTCTAGCCATCAGGTTTTTTCTTAATACGTTGTTTAGATTCTGGATTTTAGTTTCTTGGTTGTCTGTTGTCTCTTGTTTCAGCAAGGAAACAAGTTGCTCTTCTTTGGCTGTTTCCACCAAAGCGGATTGACAGGGTTCACTGAGAGCAGCTTCAAATTTCTTCATGAATTTAAAAAGTGTCCTAGTCCCCATGAAAGTAGGCACAACAACAAAAAGCTATGAGTAAGTGGATATGGATGTACAGCACACTCATTGCATGTCAGAAAGAACACATGGTACACAAACTCTGTAACAATATGATAATCTCAGTGAAAATAGAGAAAATAGTTGTCTGAAACAGTTTAAACATTGTGCACAACCCAATTTAAATGTATACATATTATGACATATTAATAGTAAATATAGGTTGCTTACCTGTAAACGTATTTCTTTGAGTGTCAGTCTGTGAAATTCGCACATGTTGGGTTTTCCTGCACGTGCGCAGTAATTTCGGAACATTCTAGCTTAAAGAATTTTGGATGAAGCCCCACCCATCCTTCCAAGAGTATATAAGCCTGTAGGCGGGGCTTCGCTTCAGTTCCTTGCTGCCAGCCAGCAGCCAGGAGAGGGGCATGACATCAGAGGGGAGGATGGGAGGGGATGTGCGAATTTCACAGACTGACACTTGAAGAAATACGTTTACTGGTAAGCAACCTATATTTCTTCTTTGTGTAGTCTGTGAAATGCGCACATGTTGGGTGACTAGAAAGCTACCAACCTGGAGGTGGGTCATGCCACACATGAGGACCGCTCTGCCGAAGGCCGCATCTCTCTTGGCAAGGATGTCGAGCTTGTAGTGGGTTGCAAATGTAAAAGGTGTCGTCCACATTGCTGCTTTGCAGATGTCTTGAACACCCCGGAGGAAGGCTTGAGAGGTTGAGAGAGATCTCGTGGAGTGAGCATGGAGGGTAGATGGTGGGTCTTTACCCACTAGTTGATAGGCTAGGCGAATTGTGGATATTATCCAGGATGATAGCCTTTGAGATTGGGGAGCTGAGAGCTTCCTTCCTATTTGAGGTACAAAGGAAGGCCAAAATGAAGACAAGACAAACCCGCATTTTGGACTTTAGGAGAGCTGATTTCCAAAAAATGGAAACACTGAGCAGCATTCCGTGGACACAGATACTAAAAGACAAGGGAGTTACGGATGGATGGGAGTTTCTCAAGAGTAAAATACTCAAGGCGCAGTTGCAAACCGTGCCAACAAAAAGAAAAATAGGACAAGTGCAAAGAAGCCAGAATGGATGTCCAAAGAACTTCTGACTGTGCTGAGACACAAAAGAGACATGCACAAGAACTGGAAAAAGGGAGAAATCACCAAAGAAGAATTCAAACAAATAGCCAACACCTGTAGGGAAAAGGTCCGCAAGGCTAAAGCACAAAACGAGCTCAGGCTTGCTAGGGACATTAAAAACAATAAAAAGGGATTCTTTTCTTATGTCAGTAGAAAAAGGAAAAACAAGGAGACGATAGGGCCTCTTCGAGGAGAAGATGGGGCAATGCTGACAGGGGTTAGGGAAAAGTTAAAAATGAGCCAACAATGTGATGTGGTGGCAAAAAAAGCCAATGGGATTTTGGCCTGCATCAATAGGAGCATAGTGTCTAGATCTAGGGAAGTCATGCTACCCCTCTATTCTGCTTTGGTTAGACCACATCTGGAATATTGTGTCCAATTCTGGGCACCACAATTCAAGAGAGATATTGACAAGCTGGAATGTGTCCAGAGGGGAGCGACTAAAATGATAAAAGGTCTGGAGAACAAGCCCTATGAGGAGCGGCTTAAGGAGCTGGGCATGTTTAGCCTGAAGAAGAGAAGGCTGAGAGGGGATATGATAGCCATGTATAAATATGTGAGAGGAAGCCACAGGGAGGAGGGAGCAAGCTTGTTTTCTGCTTCCCTGGAGACTAGGACGCGGAACAATGGCTTCAAACTACAAGAGAGGAGATTCCATCTGAACATGAGGAAGAACTTCCTGACTGTGAGAGCCGTTCAGCAGTGGAACTCTCTGCCCCGGAGTGTGGTGGAGTCTCCTTCTTTGGAAGCTTTTAAACAGAGGCTGGATGGCCATCTGTCAGGGGTGATTTGAATGCAATATTCCTGCTTCTTGGCAGGGGGTTGGACTGGATGGCCCATGAGGTCTCTTCCAACTCTTTGATTCTATGATTCTATATTTGAGGAAAAGTCTCTGAGACTTTCTGTAGGAGGCAGTCCTAGATATATAAAAGGAAAGGGCTCCCTTGACATCTAGAGAGTGGAGTGCAAGTTCCAGGGGTGTGGAGGGTTTGGGAAAGAAGGTAGGTAAGGTGATGTCTTGGTACATATGAAAGTTGGGGTCAACTTTGGGTAAAAAGGTGACATCAGTATGGAGGACAACCTTGTCCTCATGGAATCTAATGAAGGGGGGATCCGCACAGAGTGCAGGGAGCTTGCTGGCCCTTCTTGCAGAAGTGACAGCCACCAGAAATGCCGTTTTTCACGAGAGGTGGGAAATGTCATAGGAGGACATGGGTTCAAAAGGGGGCTTGGAGAGCCTGGATGGGACAAGTTCAAGGCTCCATGCTGTGGGGGGGGGGAGTGAGACTTGTGGGTGAATATTCTTATAACCCTTGATGAACAGTTGTATCAGAGGGTCTTGGAAAAGAGATTGTAGGCCAGATTTTCTCCTATACCATGAGAGTGCCGCGAGGTACCACTTGATGGAGGATAAGGAGAAGTTTAGTGAGGAAAGGTGGACGAGAAAGTCCAAAATCATGAAGATCGAGGCTGAGAGGGGATCACAGCCCAGGAATTGAGTGAAATTTTTAAATCTAGACCACTTGTAGGTATAGGATTTTTTGTAGAGGTTTTCTGGGCTGCTAGGATTATTAATCATGCAGTGTCAAAAAGGCGGGTTATGGCCTGATCCTCCATACCGTCAGGCGAAGTGTCAGAAGATCTGGGTGGTGGATCAGGCCGTTTTGTAGAGTGCGGAGGTCTGGACTGGACTGAAGACAGAGAAAGGTTTTCCCCGCTGCTCGGAGGGGAGGGGCGAACCACGGTTGCCTGGGCCACCATAGGGCTATCGGGATGCAATTGGCCTTGTCTGGAGAGTAGAGGAAGAGGGGGAAAGATGTATAGGAGACTGGGAGTCCACTGAAAAAGGAAGGCAGTGGGTGTTTTATGGGGACGCGAACATGTCCACTTGTGGACGGCCCCAGTGGTGGACTGGAAATTTGAATTCTCTGGGGTGTTGGCACCACTCATAGCTGGTGATTGACGTTCTGCTAAGAGAGTCCACTAGCGTGTTGTCTTTGCCAGGGAGATGGATTGCAATCAGGAAGATGTTCCTCTGTATGCACCATTCCCAGATTTCGGTTGAGACAGAGAGGAGGATCAGGGAGTGAGTTCCTCCCTGTTTGTTGAGATAGAACTTCACCGACGTGTTGTCTGTGACTATTTGAACTGTGAGGTTGGAGACTAGGTCAGAAAAGGCTCGAAGAGCTTTCCCTACTGCCAACAGTTTGGGTGTATCGATATGGTGTTGTTGCTCCGAGTGAGACCAGCGGCCACTGATCGTCAGATCCTGGAGGTGTGCACCCCAGCCCAGGGAGGAGTCATCTGTCGTCAGTGACAGAGATGGGCGAGGGGGTGTGAATGGGAGACCTGAACACACATTGGACCTCTTTGTCCACCATAAGAGGGAATGAAGAACTGGGGGGAGGGTGATCATGGTTTGAGAGTCGTGAAGGGGATTGAATACCCTGAGAAACCAGGATTGAAGAGGGCGGAGGTGGAGTCAGATGAAGGGAGTCATGTTTGTGGTGGAGGCCATGTGGCCAAGTATGGACTGTATAGCCCAAGCAGAGGATCGGCCAAGTGAACGGAGGTTGTTGATGGTTTGATGGATGTTGAAGAAATGGTTGTCTAGTAGGTATGCTCGTCTATTAGAGCACCTATGAAGTGGATGCGTTGGGTCGGTATCAGATGGGATTTGTCGTGATTTACAACAAGCCCGGGTTCCTGTAGGAGAGACAAAGTGTAAGAAATATCAGAGAGGAGCTGAGAGCGGGAGTCTGAGCAGAGAAGCCAGTCATCAATATATGGAAAAATAGTGACACCATGTTCGCAGAGATGGGCTGCAACGACAGCCATACATTTGGTGAAGACCCTAGGTGCTGTGGAAAGACCAAAGGGTAAGACGTTAAAGAAGAAAACGTGGTTATCTAGTGCAAAGCACAGATACCTGTGGTGGCTTTCTCTGATCGAAATGTGGAAATAGGCATCTCGAAGATCTACCATGGCGAGCCATCCTCCACCTTTGATAAAGGGGAAGATGGTAGTTAGTGTGATAAATTTGTTGATGCATACAGAGGTTCAAGATGGAGCATTGACCTCCGTCCCTCTTATCTACTAGGAAGTAGCAGGGGAAAAGCAAGTGTGTGCCTGGTGAGGTATGGAGGAGATAGTTCCTTTTTGCAGGAAAGTGGATTTGCAAGTTGAGCATTTTTTAAAAGATAAAGTCACCATGCGTCTAGCCTGTCCGTAGTCGTTCCGTGGTCAAGGTTGGAGAGGAGCGAAGAATCGTTAGGCAGTCCAAGGTCAATAAAAGGTAAGTGATCAGGAAAGAGAAGTCCGAGATGCTGCTGCTGTCACGCGGAAAGAAAAACCAAGGCGAAGCCTCACCTACAGGCTTATATACTCTTGGGAGGATGGGCGGGGCTTCCTCCAAAATTCTTTAAGCTAGAATGTTCCAAAATCACTGCGCATGTGCAGGAAAACCCAACATCTGCACATTTCACAGACTACACGAAGAAGAAATTCTGTGACATCCAGTAGAGAGAAGGTGGGCAAAATGTGGTCTACAGACCATGTGAAGATCCCAGGGCTACTGGGATCTTCCTCAGGGACTACTGGGGTGGAAAAAAAAGTCACGCTGCTCTTCGATTTATTTTGCCTCCTAATGTTCTTTAGTGCACATGGGGACATTTTTACCATACACAGTAATAATATAAATAATAATTAAAATTTATTTATACTTGGCTACCATCTCCCAAAAAGGACTCAGGGCGGCTTAGATATGAGCATACAAATGCAGTAACCACATAAAATACAGGTAAAATCACATCAACATATTAGACCAGGAGTCCTCAAACTAAGGGCCAAGGGCTGGATACAGCCCCCCAAGGTCATTTAACTGGCCCTCACTCAGGGTCTACCTAAATCTGAAACGAGTTGAAAGCACACAACAACAACAACAACAACAACCCTATCTCATCAGCCAAAAGCAGGCCCACACTTCCCATTGAAATACTAAGTTCGTATTTGTTAAAATTGTTATTCATTTTAATTATTTTATTGTTTAAGTGTTTTTTGCACTACAAATAAGATATATGCAGTGTGCATAGGAATTCATTCATGTTTTTTTTTTTCCAACTTATAATCCGGCCCTCCAACAGTTTGAGGCATTATGACCTGGCCCTCTGTTTCAAAAGTTTGAGGATCCCTGTATTAGACAATGACAATATCAGTTCACATTAAAAAAGCATATTACAAAAATTAAAAACCGCTCTCAATTAAAATCAATAAAATATATTACATATTACAGTACAGGCCAGGAAAGGTCTAGAAGCGAACCTGAAGTAACTCCTGGTCTTTTCATAATTTGAAAAATACGTCTCCTAGGCCTAAAATGGTTACTGGGTTCTAAAATATGGAAGAAATGCCCCAAAGCCTCTAGAGAGAATTGTATGGGGATACAAGCGATACAGTAGATGTTAAGTGTGCACAGTAGGCACATAATAAAACAGTAGGCATTGTTAGATACCGTCGGAATCTTAATAATTCGGAATAACGTTAGAAAAATTACCTTTTTGATGTGATTTTGAAGTTTTTAAGAAAACTGGAAGTCCCTTTGCCCTTCCGAAGCTTTTTCTGCCATTTTTGTTACGACTCATGAAGTGAGTCGGAAATTATTCAGCTTTTCCCTGCTTCTGGTCCCTGGTCTCGGCTCAAGCCAGAGAAGGCAGTTTTAAATCAGAGAATGAAGGAATTTCCTCTGCTTGGTTTTCCCTGCTTCTGGTCCCTGGTCTCAGCTCAAGCCAGAGGAGCCAGTTTTAATGCCAGAGAAGCCAGTTTTAAACCAGAAAAGAAAGGAATTTCCTAGTCTCGGCTCAAGCCAGAGAAACCAGTTTTAAAGCTAGAGAAGCCAGTTTAAAACCAGAGAAGGAAGGAATTTCCTCCGCTTGCTTTTCCCCGCTCCTGGAGTAAAACAACTACTTTCAAAGTAAAGATCACCCAATGAAACAGGAAATAACACTTTCAAACCATTAACGAAAGGGTTCAGAAGTCTCGGAAGTTTAGAAAAGTTTTGAACGTTTTTTCTGTGAAAATCGGTATTGACTTTAGAATCAAACCACCAGAGCCCCCTACATCCAAAACGAGCTTTGAACCATTTTTTAATCAACCAAGCCTGTAAAATAGTTGCTAAAATAAACTTTGTAAGGTCATATATTGGCAAATTAATCTTATCTAAAATTAAAAAGGGCTAAGATCCTATTCAAAATTGGTAGAGAGTAAACCTTTGCCACTGTATTTCTATGGATGGTAAGGGTAGCAGCCATAGTGCAGGTGTTGTTGACTGTATCATTCAGTGCAGTCTATCAATAGCCATTTCAGTCATGAGGCATGACTGTCTCTATGCACAAACACCCCAGCCTTTAAGATGGCCGCCTACACTGCAAGCAAATGGGGACCAGCTTGTTTAGCTCCTTAAACAAGAATATAACCAGTGAAGTCCCAACAGGCTTCCAGGCAAAATCATTTGATATCACCCAGGTGTACTATTTACTCCTTCACTGCCTTTCCTTGACAATTCTAACAGTGGGCTTTATGGAAGAAAGCAACAAAAGGAAATTGTAGACCAGCCTTCAGAAAAACATACGTCTTAGGGAATGGATTGGGATCCACAGCAGCTCATTTTACAATCAACCCGATAGTCTTGAGGAGACCACAGACTCTTTGTTGTTCAAAATAACAGTTTAACGTTTTGCCCTCTGTTTCCTACCTAACCCCAAATTTCCAAGTTGGCCACTGATTCATTAACTAACCTGTGTGTTTTCTCCACAGACTGTTTTACGGCCCAAAAACTGACATCGTTCCACTTACAGATTTTAACAAACCCCTGCAAAGTAAACAAACAGAGACTGTGAACTTCAATATTTATCTGAATGGTATTAGGAAATGAGAGGATACAAGTTTCTAGGTTTAGGCTTGAAACAGGTTTATCGAAAACAGAAAATAGGAGAGAGCCATTACATTAAAAAGTCTTATTCTTACCTTCAGTTCTTTTTCTATAGGACGGCGAACTTCAGCCAGCCTAGCTTGGACACGCTCTGAAAACTGATTATAGTAATTGTACAGATTCCACAATATATTGCACAGCATGTCTGAAAAATGAAAAAGCAAACTTCAGTGAAGTAAGTTTTTCAGGCAGTCAAATCCCTTAGAGATCATTCAGAAGTGATCTTGAGTTATAGTGACAATTTCTTCTTTACAAACCAGTTCATCACTAGTTTGATAAAAACTCGACCGCTTGGGTAATTTTTCAAGAGGCTGATAACCTAACACATGAAAATTAACTAAACCAATCTTCTATTTTTTTAAAGAAACATCTCCACTAGGAGATCTCTCCAAAATAAGTCTCCCTGGATTCTATTTCTTTCTACAACTCACTCTATCTCTGGCATTTGGCCATGAGATCTGAGGTTGATGGAACACGAAAGAAACCTCTCACAGGATGGTAAAAACATCAAACATGCGGGCGTCTCCTGGGCAACATCCTTGCAGACAACCAATTCTATCACACCGGAAGTGACTTGCAGTTTCTCAAATCGCTCCTGACACACACACACAAATTAGCATAACATATAATTCCATTTGTGAAACAGGCAGCTGAAGTTTGTCTGATGCATAATGTCTTAAATCATGGAAGCAGGATAAGATTTGTCTACTAGGAAATCCTAGGGAGCACAGAAACAGTGATGAATTTTGCATGAAGAAGAAAAGAGTGAACCTGCTGATCTACATGCAACCGGCATATATTCAATTTCCCAGAAGCAATGTATTGACCACCGAGACAGGAAGAATTTTAACCCATTTTAAATTTATGGAATTTGTTGTTGTTGTTCATTCGTTCAGTCGTCTCCGACTCTTCGTGACCTCATGGACCAGCCTATGCCAGAGCTCCCTGTCGGCCGTTACCACCCCCAGCTCCCTCAAGGTCAGTCCAGTCACTTCAAGGATGCCATCCATCCATCTTGCCCTTGGTCGGCCCCTCTTCCTTTTGCCTTCCACTTTCCCCAGCATAATTGTCTTCTCTAGGCTTTCCTGTCTCCTCATGATGTGGCCAAAGTACTTCAACTTTGTCTCTAGTATCCTTCCCTCCAGTGAGCAGTCGGGCTTATTTCCTGGAGGATGGACTGGTTGGATCTTCTCGCAGTCCAAGGCACTCTCAGAACTTTCCTCCAACACCACAGCTCAAAAGCATCGATCTTCCTTCGCTCAGCCTTCCCTAAGGTCCAGCTCTCACATCCGTAGGTTACTACAGGGAATACCATGGCTTTGACAAGGCGGATCTTTGTAGCCAGTCTGATGTCTCTACTCTTCACTATTTTATCGAGACTGGACATTGCTCTCCTCCCAAGAAGTAAGCGTCTTCTGATTTCCTGGCTACAGTCTGCATCTTTATGGAATACTTTATGGAATACTGCAAATTTATGGAATACTCTGTCTTTAGTAGACCGATGAGCACTGACTTATTTTTGGTGCTAAGTCAAAACACTGTTTTTAAACTAAGTCTTTAGAGCCTAACTTAATTTTCAAATCTACATAAACAATAAGTACTTTAAAGTTTTAAAATGGTTTTATAACATAATAACTTGCTCTATATGATTTTAACCTGTTTAAAGTATTCTATTGTTTCAAATTTGGAATTGCTAGAAATAGTGTATGCTTCTTCACTTTACGCTAGGATCACAACATAGAACTGGAAAGCACACCATCAAGGTGAAAGAATTAAATGAAATTAGGCTCCATGTGCTACTATGCAATGGTCAAAAACTTTTGATTCACTTTGGGCTTTTTTTAAGAATAAAAGGTTTTCACCATCTCATAGCATTATTTTTACCTTTATGCTGTCCTGAGATCCAATGATAAAGGACAAGATATAAATATTACATATCCACCTACCATTTCCTTCCACCTGTGGCATCAACAAGACTTGACAATGGAATTCCAAGAGCATCTGAAGTCGAACATGAAATTGCCCGAGTGAGGATCCTTCTATGAAAGCCTGCAGCGTCGTGACCACTGCTTCTAAATTCATGTCTATCAGTTTGATGGAAATGGAATTATAAGAAAGGGAGAGGGGAGAGACATAAGACAAGATGCCATTCTGACTTACTGACTTGCTTTGACTTACTATTTTTAAAGTGTGGTTACAATCAAATCGACCATCTCTCTCCCCCTAAATTATTATACAATGTAGATATAAAACGCAGACTTCTTGTAATCTACAGTTAAGGATTCAGAATCCAATTTGAAGAATATAAATGCACTCTCCCCTATAACTTCCTCTGTCTACGAAACTTTCCTCCATAGTCTCCCCTCCATCCTATTTCAATCAGTTCAAGAACTTTGGTTCAATAAAAAAGAGGGAAAGGCAGTAATATTGTTTATCTAAATCTATTTATCTAAACAATTCCTGACATCCAATAGGCTATTAGGAATAATGGGAATTGAAGTCCAAAACACCTGGAAGGCCAAAGTTTGCCCATGTCTGATTTAGATAAACAATATTTCCCCATGCCTGATCTAAATCCATAGGAGCCCCCAATGGCACAGTGGGTTAAACCCCTGTGCCAGCAGGACTAAAGACTGTTTGAATCTGTGGGGAGCGCGGATGATCTCCCTCTATCAGCTCCAGCTCCTCATGCGGGGACATGAGAGAAGCCTCCCACAAGGATGGTAAAACATCAAAACATCCAGGCATCCCCTGAGCAAAGTCCTTGCAGACGGTCAATTCTCTCACACAAGAAGCAACTTGCAGTTTCTCAAGCCGCTCCTGACAGGACAAAAAAAATCTAAATCCATAACTTCATCCATAGCTTCTCTATTCTTTTACTATAGGAAAGATCAAATTGTGCAGGAATCATACACACTCCAACACATACCTAAAAGTAGCCTAAGTCAAGAAGGGCTAAATAGGCTGTGGAATATAAAGTTGGGAATGGCTGTGTAGCTTGCACAATACATCCTTTGCTGTCTTATATCATATTAGAATTCTCTGCTTTTGGTACAACCTGGAACTCTGATTTAAAACGTAGGAACAAGCAAGGACCTCTGTATTGACACCAGCAAGTGAGGGAAGAAAGGAGTTCACGAAATGCGCTACACAAAAGTTGTCTTTATTAGGTTTGACCTGGGCAATGGAAAAAATTCACAGCTACATAAACATAAGAGCAGAAAAAGCAGTATTGGTTTGAAACTAATAGCAAACAAAAGAATATGCTGGTGTCAATACAAAGATCTCAAAACGTTAGCATAGGGAGGTGAACATTACACCTGACTACTTGGGTGTATACTATAACATTTTCAAACTTAACAAAAGACCCCAAAGGAATCTATACTAAGGAGTACATATGGTATTTTGGGAAACTCAGTAGACAGAACATTTCCTTAGTTGTGTGCACTTTTACTACAAGGGAGACTTATGCCTCCTCCTCCTTCTACAACACCATTCAAGTTACCTTCAGTTTTCTTCTCTGTTTGTTCCTGTCTGTATTTCTCAATCATCTGATAGACTGAAAACCAGTGTTTCGTTGATTTTTCTGAGTGATGTTTCATTGTGTTGTCCAGGCTAGCAGACCAACAACTGACAATTAAGAGAGTAAGGAGAAATGAATGAATCACATTTGTCTCAATGCTTTGGTTCATTCCCACAATAAGTCTTTTGTAAATACTCAGCCCAAATTGAGCCAACAATACAAACCTCAGTTCTAGTTTACGCCACTGGAAGATCAGCTGAGTGACCAAATCAAGGTGTTTCCTCAGAGACACTGAACGACTAGCGTTCTCCTCCCAGTCCTAAAAGGGAAAGGGACACCTTTTAAACAAGAGGACACATTGCAGAGCAACAAGGCAAGATGATGAAAAAACTTTTCATGCCAATTATCTATGCTTCAAATTGCCAATCTAACTGCTTTTGTTGCATATATAGTGGTAGAATCATTATCAGTAAATCTGCTTATTAAAACACAACTGAACCATCAAAGTTTATGGAGTTCGCAACAAATGCATGCACATATGAATGCATACACACAGAAGTGCATGTGCTACTGACCTGCGACTTAGCCAACAAAATCTCCAGGCCATTGAGGAACTTTGAGAGAGGGCTGGAGAGTGGAAAACTACAGATTCTGTCTATCACAACCAGGATCTGTGAAATGAAAATGAAAGATCATAATATGTTTGACTGTTGCTTTCCAAAGAACTATTCCCAAGAGGCGGTTTTTTGTTCATTTTTTAAATGCACAACCTAATGTTGTGCTTTTATGTAATTATTTTATATTCACAATGAATACACATTCTCTAATTTAGGGACCATATAGTGAGAATGAAAGTTCACATTCCCCACTTACTAGACAGCAGCGGCTGCAAACAATAAGGATCTGCTCCCTTGCTAATAACAAACAAAAAACTGATGTTTCTAGTCCTTCCCACATGAATGACCTCTGAAGTGAGGGGGAATTATGACAATCCTGCTCAAATAGCTGCTTTCTGAGTGACAGGAGATCAAACTGTCAATCACAGCAGCTGCTCCCTGGTACATGGGGATGAGTGGGTCTGGGTCAAGAGCAGTGGTTCCCAACTGGAGGTCCGTGGACCATCAGTGGTCCCCAAGAACGAAAATATGGTCTGTGGCCTCACCATTACAAGATCAGATAGGACTTTCCTGCCCCATTTTAAAAACCTGCAGAGTTCTGGGGCTTGTAGTTCAGTGAGCCCAGGACTTATCTTAATGAGAATGGGAAAACCCCTCCCTAAACTATGAGCCCCAGAATCCTCAGGCACAGATTCTAAATCCTATTTTTTGGGTAACTGCCTTTGGAGAATTTAGTCCCCATAATTCATTCCAGTAAATTAGGGGAGTTTTCCATGTGATTTGTTTACGTTTCCCTTTTGCAACTCTAATGATATTTGAGGACTAAAGACTAGGACCTCAGCATAACCCTCCTAGGATGCATCTATACTGCAGAATTAATGCTGATTGACACCAGTTTTAATTTCCATGGCTCAGTACTATGCAATCCTGGGAGTTGTAATTTGGTGAGGCACCAGCATTCTTTGGCAAATAAGACTAAAGACCTTGTAAACTACTGCCCCCATGAATCCATAGCACTGAACCATAGCAGTGAAAGTGGTGTCAGACTGTATTAATTCCAGTGCAGATTCACCCAAGGACTCTGGAATCACCTAAGATGCAACTACACTGGAAACATGTATGCTTTTTGATAACGCCGAGAAAACAGTTATTGAATGTATAGAATCCTGGGATTTGTAGTTTGGGGAGGCACCAGTCTTCTTTGGCAAAGAAGGCTAAACGTCTTGTAGAACTACAACTCCCGGGATTCCACACCATTGACAAGTGGTGTCAAGCTGCATCCATTCTATAGCATAGATTCACCCAAGGAAGAGACGCTCCTTGAAGGAAGGATTACCTATTTCTCTGGTTTTCCTTCCAGTTTCTGGAAGATTTGGTATCCTAACCCTTTGGTTTTTAAAGAAGCAGTTCTAAGAAGGCAGAAATTATAATGAATATATTTTCTGGCCAAATTTCAAAGAATGCACTTTTTGCAGCTGCGCATTTCATTCGCCAGTAAATATGTTTTTTTTTTCAGGATTTTGAAAATCAGTGTGCATTACATTCGATGGCGCACTAAATTCGAGTAAATACAGGGTAATAACTTCAGATTAGTAATATAATTAAAATTATACATGCATAACTGATTTTTCAGTCTATCAAGAATGGCTGGACTATCAAATGTAAGGAACTCACATTTGAACTCTGGATTTGTGAAAAGTACTGCCCATGTAATACAGGGACTATTTATGAAAGCAAACGTAGATTGAATAATGGTTATTCAACCAATATTGAACATCCATTTTTGATACAAAGAGGCAAGCTTATGGCCACGCCTTACCTGGACAAGAGCAGGGTGTTCAGGCCATTCTTTTAACAGTCCTTTTACTTCTTTTGTGAAGTTTTCAAGCACAGGTTGACACTGCCGTACTTGTTGAACATTAGGATCATGATAGAAGTCATATGGCCCTTCATTTTGTAGAGCCAGTTCTGAAGCACCTTCTTCAAAAAGTGTATTTTGGAGTACTGTGCTAGTTAGAAGTTGGCTGCCATGCAGGTTGTCATTCATTTCAGAACCTGAATTCAGGGTGAGGCGGAAAGGCAAAACAAAAAGGAACAGTAGGTAAAAAGCAAACAGAACCATGGGGGCAGGGACATCATCCCTTAGAACAGTGGATTAGAACCTTCCTAGTGCTGTGACCCCTTAATACAGTTCCTCATGTTGTGGTGACCCCCAACCACAAAATTATTTTCATTACTACTTCACAACTGTAATTTTGCTACTGTTATGAATCATAATATAAATATCTTATATGCAGGATGTATTTTCATTCACTGGACCAAATTTGGTACAAAGACCCGATATGCCCAAATTCAAATACTGGTGGGGTTGGGGGGGATTGATTTCATCATTTGGGAGTTGTAGTTGCTCGGATTTATAGTTCAACTACAATCAAAGAGTATTCTGAACTCCACCAATGATAGAATTGAACCAAACTTCCCACACAGAACCCCCATGACCAACAGAAAATACTGTTTTCTGATGGTCTTCAGCAACTTCTCTGACACCCCCTCATGACCCCTCCAGGGGTCCTGACCCCCAGGGTTAAGAAACAGTGCCTTAGAACATATGCATCTGCAGTGTGTCTCAAGCTACATGATGTGATGCAAGTCTTCCCCCAGTGTACCAGGGACCAGAGCCACTTTTGTGTCACAGTATTACTGTATTTACATAGCTTCCAGGACACTCAACACAGACCAACAATTAATGGTTTGCAAACCAGTAATGATCTGTGGATGGCCAGTATGAATAACATCATCTGGGCCGCACTCTCAGGTTTAACACATAATAGCAGAAGGCCCAAAAGAAACAGGTGTGTAGTGTAAAATCTTCTGCAATTCAATGGAGATTGAAATGTCCCTATGGTAGACAATAGGCTTGTGCATTTCAGTTGAACCTCGATCTGTTTCCGCTGGCCAGATACTTCTAGACCTCCGTATCTGTTTTTGCATGCCTCCCGAAAATGGGCATGCAGCCGGATGGCGTTTTTGGACCGCAGCCGAAAAATACGGTTAGATCCCACCCATTAGCGGCAATGGGGAGGGCTCCCTGGGCTCCCCTTCCTGTCAATTCAGGCAATTGCATTGTCTGTCCCTATATCCTTAAGACTTGGATCAAAAAGCATCAGAGTTCAGATATCACTCTTCTGCGATTCTTTCCCTTTCATCTGTAGAGGAGACCTGGATTTAATGCTGCCTTAAAGCAGTTTTTGCTCTAGAGGAGATAGGCGTCATAGGTGCTGCAGAGGCGTCATAGGTGCTGCAGAGACGTCATAGGTGCTGCAGAGACGTGAAAGCTGCTCTACATGCAGCTTTCAAAGGCATTTTAAGGAGGCTTCCCAGGGAAGGAAGAGCGATAACCTGGAACTATCCTACCCTGGGCTTCCTTTTAAAAGCCCTCTCTTTTCTCTTGATTGCACTGCAAGCCTTGCCTGGAGTAGTGCCTACCTTGTTTCCTTCTCACGCCTTTCTGCTTCCTTAAAGCTGTTTCAACTTTCTACTCTACAGGAGAGGTAACTAGGTGGTAGCAGTTTTCTGAGAATTAGGCTTCCCTTTTTGTTTTCTGGGATTACTGTTATTAATATTAATTATTATCTCTTAGAAGTATTTTCTGAAAGGAGAGGAGGGGAGGAGAGAAAGAAGCTAAAAGGGCGACTCTCCAAGACCCCAAACACATGCACGCACGCACGCACCCCACCCACCCGTCCCACATGTTCCCAACTCCCAGTCAGTCCCACTAAATTTTAAAAAATCAAAAAAATCAAGAAAAATAAAAAAAAATATTCAAGAGAGAGACCAAGAAGCCAAGCCAAGCTAAAAATACACTGAAGCCAGGATGCAACTGTGATGCCAAATAGGGGAGAAGGAGCCGTGATCGACTGTCATGTGGTCCTGTTACGGACGGGAAAACGTGATGGCTGGACCCTTGCCGTTATGGCCATCTGGTAGAGTAAAAAAAGCCAGTTTGGCTGAAGGAAAATGGTTAAAACGAATCTGTGCACAAGTCAAAATGTTCCCCTGTAGGAAGAAGGCACTGGACTACAGTGTACTTGAAAACAGAAGAACAAAGTCTTACCAATCAAAGGATAGTAGTGAGCCAAAAGTGATGCACCAGTCTGGTAACAGGAAAGAAATGCACTCAAATTATGCTTAGTCTGCTGGGTGGGCAGGTTTTGTCTATACCACAGAGATCGTGCAAACAGAAGGCAAAGTTGTTGATGAATCGTCATGACTGTTTTCACTGAGTGATGGGAAAGGAGAGGTTTTTCAGGAGATTCTTCATTTTCCAAACCATCTTCCATTTCCATTTTTCCCTCAAGGCTTGCCTCTGATGTAATATCTTCAAAGTCCTGAATCACATATATAAATATTAAAATGGTTAAATGTCACCTTACAGCATTGTGCTTTTAATTCAAAAACAAATCTTGTGCATTTTAAGGCTTATCTGTACATAAAACAGATCTGCCAATGACACCTGCTCAATTACTTTGTTGCATCTGTAGCTACATGGAGAGGAAGTTGTTTGTAGCCTTGGGTCATTACATTTACAATACTATACTAATGTACCTAACTTCTTCTTAGGAATCTTCCTTACACTGTGATTAATAGCAAACAGATGAATTCTCATAAAATGAAAGACTATAGAGAAGACACATGAGCTGCATTAGATGGAGGAACGATCACTGCAACAGAATTGCCTAAATCATTTATATACAGGGTGAGGCAGCATTACTTCCTTTTTTAAAATGTGTGCCATTCAGTCGGTTGAAGACGTAGCGGAGCGCTAGTGGTCTTGTTCGAGAGGCGGGAGTATAAAGTTTTGTCCTGACACAGTTCAGTTGCCATCGTGCGTTGGAACAGCGAGGAGCGTGCTTTTGCCATTGAGGCCTACTTTTCGAGTGGATTTGGAGTGGCCGGCTCGCTCTCCAGATTTGGCCCCTTTTTATTTTTTTTCTATGGGGTTTTTTGAAATCCTGTGTTTATGTGAACCGTCCAAGGACCCTGCAAGATTTGAAGACCAACATCCAGGAAGAAATAGCCAACATAACGCCTGCTATGCTGGCAAGAGTCATGACAAACGCCAGAAATCGGTTTACTCAGTGTATGGAGAATGGGGGACGTCACCTACCTAATTTGATCTTCAAAACTACGAAACTTTAGGTATGCGCATACATTATTAAAAAAATCTGATTCATACAATGGGTTTTATTAAGTTTTGAAAAAAGGAAGTTTTGCTGCCTCACCCTGTACTATCAGAGTGTTTACAAAAAAAGAGGTCTAACAGACATCTGCAAACATATTGACATTTTACTATTCAAAACAGCTCTATACATTTATTAAACAAAAGCATAACTAAATGCAAAGCCTCTAAATCTGCATAAGAGGCTGGATACATATGATTGTATTTGTTAGTCATGGGCCCGAAATTTGTCCCATTTGTTTGATTCGTGTTTCTATTTTGTTCCATCCATTCGTATGGCACAAAATAGAAAGGCCCCTCCTGGAATCGATACAAATGGCAGGCAAGAGCGGGTGCCAGCTCCAAGCTTGCTTTTCGGATCAATTGCTTAGGGCCTGGCAGGGCCTGGAGCCGAGCACTGAGTACTTTGGCTTTGAGAATATGCACCCAGGCAGCCGAGCGCAGAGTAAGGAGCCCGGATGCATAGGCCCAAAGCCTGCACTGATATGCTCAGGCACTTGGGACCTAGGGTAAAGTCCCCTCCCCCCAATAATGGGCCAAAAGAAAATGGATCTTTTGGCTCTGAAAACAAAAAAATCTAACCTCCCGATTTTGGGAGGCTCTGATGAAAACAGATCGGGGCCCCTTCTGAAAGCCGGGACATGAAACGGATCAAAGTAAGTCCCGAATGCACATGACTAGTATTTGTTGACTCTTTCATACAACTTCAAAGGTTATTTTACACACCAGTCAGTGGAAGGGATACATGGATCACTATGGCCAATATCAATCCATTAGCCCTAACTGCACTCCTCAAAGCAATGGAAACATGATATTAACAGGACTAAACATGTCACACATAAGTGCAGCAGAAGTCTTGCTGCATTTCAGTCTGATCTACTTCCCGGCAATCAAGCTATTTATATTTTCTTTTGGACCCATGTGTTCCCTGCACACAAACCTGCCAAAGCAGCTGAAAATTTAAAGTAATAGCTGCCTACCTTCTCATGAAGAGGGAACTTCCTCCTGAAATCTCTCTCTTCCTCCTCCTCTTCAGTGAGTCCACTTCCATGGCTTTTATTCCTGTACCTATAAAGGCTGTTCTTTTTTTCCTCCTCCTCTTGGGCCAGACGCTCTTGTTCATCCCATTCATTTACAATTACCTAAGAAGTAAAAGCCACTATGGGAACTGAGAAAGTCCAATAGGTTCATTCATACAAACCTCACATAAGTCACAGCTCATTTCTATTTTGCAAAGTCATTTTCTGTGATCCCTCCTATATGGAAATAACAGGTAAGTGCTATACATTGTATTCGTTAACCTTTGGGTCCCCAGGTGTTTTGGTCTACAACTCCCAGAAATCCCAGCCAGTTTACTAGCTGTTAGGATTTCTGGGAGTGAAAGGCCAAAACATCTGGGAACCCACAGGTTGAGAATCACTGATATAGACTGTTCTGAAGCCTTATTTCAATCACGGTTAGGACCAGACTATCTAGGGTTTTGGAGTTGAGGTTTTCTTCCAGTTCAGCTTGATTTGCATTTCCAGAATAAATTTATTTGTGTTTTTCCAAAACAGTTATGCACTGTAAACTTTCTTTGTATAAAGATACATTAGGAACATACGGTAAAGAACCATTCTTGACCTTCCTGGTAAGTTCCCAATGTATCAGTCTCTGCCAGCAGAGAAGAACTCATCTAGTAAATGGACCTATCCCAGTCTTTATCTGTATCAGGAAGGAAAAGAAGGCAAGGAAAAAATAATAGTAATATAGTTATAGTTAGTTGCACAGTTATAGGTACAACTGCTGGAAAGAAAGTTTGAACTCTCTATTTTCTGTTTTTATCTCTTCTTTGTTCTCGCTTTCTTTTATTCAAAGCCAGTCATAGTGATTCTCCATACAAAGATACATAGGTATAGATGAACTGGCACTTGAAGAGATTTTAAAAGTGGATTTTGAAAATGAAAATGGCTGTTGAATGGAGGTTGATTAGTAAAACAGTCACTCCTAAAGGTGCAGATGTGCCATTTGGAGGAAGCCTTTACTTTGACATTAAGACCATCCCTGCTTACTACATTTCCCCTCATTGAAGAAATGGCAGATGAATTGCAGGAAACTCAAGTGGACATGCCATCCTCATCTACTGGCTTTCCATGGCCAAGAGGGGAATTGAAATTTGGTCTCCAGAGTTGTTCTCCAATGCTCAAGCCACTACACCTTGCAAGTTCTCTTTAATTGCACTGTTAACTTTTTATTTGTATGAATAAAGGTAAAGATTTCCCCTTGACATTAAGTCTAGTAGTGCTCACTTCCATTTCTAAGTCGAAGAATTAGTGTTATCTGTAGATGCCTCCAAGGTCATGTGGCCAGCATGACTGCCTGGAGCACTACTTTATTTATTTACCCTATTTATACTTCACCTTTCTCTACTCCAAAGGGGACTCAAGGTGCCATTACCTTCCCCCCAAAGAGGTACCTATTCATCTACTCACATTTGCATATTTTTGAACTGCTAGGTTGACAGAAGTTGGGGCTAACAATGAGAGCTCTCCCTGTCCCACAGATTCGAACCGCCAAACTGGTCAGTAAGTTCTGCAGCTTAGCGGTTTGACCCGCTCCACCACTGTGGCCCCTTTTTATTTGTATAAATAATATTTAAACTATATCTGAGTTTTAAAAATGTAGGTGCCTCAGGTCCTGTGTAAGAAGAAAGATGGAATAATAAATCAATGAATTTTTAGTGTTAGGAAACTGTACCTGACACAAATGTCTGAAAAGTTGCAGAGATTGACGGTCTAGTTCTCCCTTGCACAGAACATGACAACGGAGGTAGAGCAAAGCATTCACCAGCAGCTGCTCCTGAGTAAGATGCACCATCTGCTCTCTGTCAGATCCTTCTTTGGAGTATTTAAGAGATAATGACTTAAGGCCTTTAAGGACGTCCAGAGAGTTCAGGGAGCACAAAGCTTCTGCCTGGGAAAGATAAGTAGGGAAGGTGCTCCCAACAGAAGGGAAGGAGAGTAGTGAAGCAACAAGGGTGTTGAGCTTCGTTGGGCTGACAAATTTTGTAAAGCTTGTCCTGTGGACTTCAGATGCCAGAAGTCTAATGCCATGCTGCATCTGCAAAATGGCAGCTTGTAGAGGAATAACCACATCGGGAAAAGCGGCATACTCCTCTGCCAAACGTTTCCTAAATTGATGTTGCGATTGCTGCCAAGCTGCCTCCTCATTCAGCATGTTTTGTAGGAGAGATTGGGATTTATCCGTGTGGAGGAATTGCAAAAGGCGAGTTGTGAGATCCTGGACTTTTGAAATCTGAGCAATGCTGCTGGCATACTGATGAACTTCCCGATACAAAAGCTCATACGAAGGAACTTGTGGTCTGAAGGCTTGCTTTCGGTGAAGGCTGGCGATTTCATCCTTCAGCGTCTGGATTCTTTGGCATAACAACCTAAGATGTAAATGTCATAGGTTAGGCTGTCAACAGTGGCTTAAAGGGTGCTACTGAAAACACCTTTAATGCAAACTTATGATCTATTCATAACTCTATGAACTCTAATTTCTGAAGACATGGATAGGTATGAAACAATTTTAAAACGTATTTTCAAACCCTCCGCAAACTGAACGAGAAGCAAAAGAGCCATTCATGGCAAGCTTGTTATCACAGAAACATTCCTCCTCTCATTCTTTCATTATTCAGATGGCATATTGCGAATGAGAACAGAGTAAGAATCTGGCTACCAAGTGTACATGCTCAAGGACAGGATTTGGGCTCATGGTCCAACAGGAAACACTGGTCTCATTTCTTCATATATGGAAATAAGAAGGAAAACATTACAGTTACCTAATGTGCGGGTGACAGTGGTTGCTGATAGTTTCATCTTCAAGATCCTTCCCTGTGTTCAACTGTGTTGACAGACTGTGTGTCTTCCATTCACATTCTAGATGGTGTAACTAAAGGCATGAGACAAAATAGGTAGGGGTTAATGTAAAGATCTGCCATTATCCCAATGGAGATAAGAACTGTTTTGGTGTACTCAGGTTCTATAAGTTATTCCTGTTCTGACAAGTCTTCAGCACATTAGTAAGGGTATATACTCATAATAGGGGAGGAGATCTCTAATGATACAAAAAGACCTCAAAAAAGTTATTTTTCCTACTGTAATTCTCAGAATACACCAGACAGTATAGCCACTGGCCTTGATAGCTGAAATCTTAAGAGCATCTTTCCCAAAATCTGCAGAAAGTGAATATATCACTGACTGCCAGAGGATGAGGGCAAAGAACAAAAGACAGCTGGTGCCAATATGCCGTGTGTTCTGGCCTCCCAAAGAAATCCCTCTTGCAAAAAGAATGGCAAATCTCAGCTAGGGCTCTAATAACTTAGAATAATAATAATAACAACAACAACAACAACAACAACTTTATTCTTGTACCCTGCCTCCATTTCCCCAAAGGGCCTTGTGGCAGCTTATATATGACACAAAGTGTCTAAAACAAAACATGAAATAAACACACAGTATAATACAATAAAGTAAAATTATAGCATATAAAACAACAATTTAAAACTCAGAACAATGCCCAATGACCTCTAGTAACAACTACCGTAAGACATGACCAAACTGCAAACAGGATGAGGAAATGGGATAATGCAAATTGTAGCTCAGGACAGGGCATGGGATGAAAGTGCCCTGTTCCTTAGCTATATCCTACTCCCAGAACTTTTGCTTATATTTTTATACAGACAAAAGGATTCCACGTTAATTACCAAAAATACAAGGCCATATTACATGAGTTTGAGTTGAAAATTTGTTTTTTATTTCTTTCCATATGGAATACTTCTAATGATGCTTTAGAACATATTTATTGAATTCAACTGTTGCTGCAATTTACCAACTTTGAAACATTAGCAGCATGTATAAATCCTATTGTTGTGGACAAGAAAATACAGAGAAGTGCCACGCACTCACCTCTTCTTCAGCATACTTGAGTTTGTATTCTCTTTTTGCTGCAGGATCAAAGTGAGTTTGTGGAACCCACAGATGGACCTGCAGAAGGCCCAGGTTTACCCAAAGACAGCCTCCCTGAACTGCTTCAGGCAAGTTCTGGGCTCCTCCTTCCTTCCCAAAGACTTGCTGTAAACAAGTCAGCCAAAGGCAGAGAAGCTGTTCAGGCAGCATGTCCCGAGTAGCTACATCCCTGAGTACTTTGCAAATGTACTGAAAAGCCACTGGATCTTTGTTAGAAAGCCTGTCACAGTTTTGGCAATATTCCTCTTGCAGTTCTGTTGAAAGTTGGTCTTTAAGAGCCAGAAGCAGTCGAAATAACATCCCACATTGGAGCTTGGAGTCTATTGACCTGAAAGGACAAAAAGCAAGGGACATTTCAATTTCAAGGGATCAGTAGCTTGATGGATCCCAGAGCCAGATGTAGCCATCCTAGGATTATCACGCTCCCAGTGGTGCAGCAGGAGCTGCTGAACTTACTGACCAAAATACTGGAGGTTCCGCTGTTCGAAAAGATGCAAATGTGAGTAGATCAATAGGTACTGCTCCAGCAGGAAGGTAACGGCCCTTCATGCAATCATACTGGCCACGTGACCTTTGAGGTGTCTATGGACAACGTTGGCTCTTCGGCTTAGAAATGGAGATGAGCACCACTCCCAAGGGAAACCTTTACCTTTTTTTAAATGTGTACATTGAGTCATGGCCACACCAAGAGGACAACACGACCCTGAAGAACCTGAGCATTAGGAACCCATTCTTAAACATACTACTTTAAAGTTAGCCATTAAGTTTGGTGATAAAGGCTTTTAAAAAATGGCTTTAGCAGACAGGTGTGTGAAAGCAGACCTTGTTTCATACCTATAGTCAGCTAGGGAAGAAAAGGCCAGGTTTGTCCAGAGAACTGTGCTGACTTCCTGCAGCTGCTGTGCTCTCTCCAGCCACTCGCCTAGGGTCACGTTGGAGGCGGAAAGAACAGGGAGGCCCCTCACATCCCACTGGCTCCACTTGCTGCTGCTAGTTAGGATTTCAGAGAGGCACTTGGAGAAAACTGCTCGACTCAAAATACCCACACCCTAAATTAACAAAGATCAAAATGTACATTTAAAGCATTTCCACACTTTATTATTTTTTTAAAAAAGTATGCCAATGATTTTAAGAAGCTGGGACATTTCAGAGAACATGTTATGAAATAGAACTCAGAGTGACCTGAAAATCACTGAAGTCAAGTCTAAACAGGGTACTATACGGTTTGCAAGCCCCTCTTTTGCAGCATTCAAAGCCCCTCGCTCCTGGCACAAAAATAGCTCACAATCCTTGCAAATTATGGCAGTTTTGTTCTCTGAACCCCCTCACCCCTCCATCCCCAAGCCAATTTGGACATTTCTGCTGAAAACTAAACTGGAAGTGACATCACATCAATCTCAACCATGGATGATGTACTGGTAGAGCTTCCATTGGGAGAGTGGCTGCAGGAGTGGGAAATGGCCCTCAACTCCTCTAGTTACCAACTCCTGGCTTATAAGATCCACATGGCACCGATACCTGTCCAAACACTAACATATGCCAGAGATAGACTCTGTGTTCTACTGGAAGGAGCCCCAAAGCACAGAAAGACATAGGAGCAGGTTTGTGTTGTGACTTCAATGTGGAGTGCCTTTGGCTAGCATTGCCAGCACTGTGACCATGTGGTCCCCATACAGCAATATTTTGCTACAAGGTCCAATTAGTATGTAGAAGTAGCTTGCGATGTTATAAAGATACTGTTCAGAGTGACTAGACCAGCAGTTCTCAAAGTGTGTTGAGCATACTGAGAGGCTCCACGGTTGCTTCCTCCTCCTCCAAGCTTTTTCTCTCCTTTCCTGCTCCTCTCCTGCTTCCAAAAGCCTTTTTTCCCTTGCTCCTGTCACTCCCAAAAGCCTTTTCCCCCTCGACTCCGTCACTCTTAAAAGCCCCTTTTCCTCGCCTCCCTCACTCTCAAAAGCCTTTTTTTCCTCACCTTCCTCACTCTCAAAAGCTTTTTTCCTCATCTCCCTCACTCTCAAAAGCCTTTTTTCCTAGCATCCCTCACTCTCAAAAGTGTTTTTTCCTCACCTTTCTCACTCTCAAAGTCCCCCTTTCCTCACTTCCCTTGCCACCAAAAGTCTTTTTACTCACCTTCCTCGACACTCAGATCCCCCCTCCCCACTTCCTTGCTTTCAAAACCCTATTTCTCTCCTACTGCTCAGGGGGTGCTTTGTTTGTGCTTTTCCTGCATGGCAGAAGGGGGTTGGACTGGTTGGCCCTGGGATCTTCCACTGAAATACTGTTAAGCTTAAGTTGGTCAAAAAATCTGCCCATGTTTGATACTCACACATATAAATATAATATTATATGTGTGTTTTTGTGTATATATATAATATAATATAATATAATATAATATAATATAATATAATATAATAACATTTCTTGGGGTCCTACCATAAACTTTTGCTGTAAAAAGGGCTCTACAGCTGAAAACGTTTGAGAACCTCTGGCCTTGACTAAAGTTTTAAAATACAGCATTTTCTACACAAACCTTAAGAGACTTGTCCATGAGAGATTTGGGCCTCTTTTTCTCTTCTGCCTTTGATAGTGGCTGCCAAGAGAGCCAACGTTCTGGATCCGAGGTTACAGTACTGTTCCAGAATGCTACTAAAGCCGTGCTCACCAGTTCTGACCACAAGAGAAAAATTTCTTCTGCAGAGACCTAAAATATGGGCAGTATGAAAAACATAAGAGCTCTCAGAATTTTTCATTGAAAAAACCATGGTATAATAAAATGTTCACTTTGTTTATGAAGGATTGTGATATTGGTCAAAAAGCTACCCAATGGGGAACAGTGAGCCTCCAGCTTTTGGCTTATGATTTGTATCAGTCTTAACCGGCATAACAAATGAGGATGATTTATGGGAAACACAGCTCAAAAACTGGAGAGCCACAGTTGCCCACTCTTTATCTAGAAAGGGGGGGGGGGGGTCAAAGAGAGAAGGGAAGGAAGGGATGGCATGAGAGCTGAGCAACACACAACTTGAAAATGAAACTTTTCCTAGTTGTTAAAAATTTACAAACATTTCTTCCACATCTCAATTGATTCTCCCAGATGCCTCTTAACAGATAAGAACAGACATAACCTCCACACAACCATAAGACTGCCATATGAGAAGACGTCTAGTCAAAGAAAATGGAAGAAAGAGCCATTCCTTCATTTGCTATGAATGTTTTTTTAGTCATCTTAAATTTTAAACAAATAGGTTGTCCATCACAAAAAGGGAAGCTTAAATCACCACTTTTCATGTAAAAACATAAAGAAGTGGATCATACCACTTGCTAAAGAAAAAAAAGCTGATATTCTACTAAAATGAAAACAAACCATTATTTTTACCTTACACAGATCCAACAGGTAATAAAGTCCATGAAGGTGTTGAGAGGTAGCTGGTGTGAATTTAAGGCAAAAAGCAATAAATTGCTTTATTTCTGAATATATGCTTAATTGCTTGTTGTTGTCTTTCCTGAAGAAAAAAAAGAGCAAGCTAAAACTCGGCACTGGCTGATACTCCATAAGATTGCCATATGAGAGGACGCCTAGTCAAAGAAAATGGAAGAAAGAGCCATTCCTTCATTTGCTATGAATGTTTTTTTAGTCATCTTAAATTCTTGTTAAACAAATAGGTTATCCATCACAAAAAGGGAAGTTTAAATCACCACTCTTCCTTACACCTCGAGCCGTATTATTATTATTATTATTATTATTATTATTATTATTATTATTATTATTTTCTGGAGAACAGAGGAAGGCAGAAAATATCTTTAATACAGAGAACGACAATGAGATGCTCTTGTAATGTCTCATAGTTACAATACAATCACCATTTGACGTTTTTGGATTTGATTTCTGTGGATGTGATCATTCACCGATTTCATTAAAATATTTTCTATAGGAACTTTTAGGTCCTCAAGTGTGATTCTCTGATCAATTTCTGCTGAAAGTTGATCATAGAGTCATGCTGGAAAACCCAAAGACTCCTAAGAGAATACCTTGCTAGAAATTTGTAGGTTCTTTAGGACAATCCAGAAGAACATGACTATAGAGTCATGCTGGAAAAACTAGGGATTCCTAGATAGTTTTCCCAGGTAAAAATATAGCAATTTTATTACTCGCAGTTTTTCACTTTTAACCCTAACCCTAACCCCAGCAAATGCGGAGGACTGATTAATTAATATATATTAATTATAGGGCTGAGGCAGGTTTTTGTGTCCTCAGAAAAATTCCCTCACCTTTGTAAGTATGCCTGATCCATACACTTAGAGGTCAGCTTGTACTGCCATAAAACAGCTAGATACTCCATGGCAGGCCAGAGTTGCACCCGGTTGGAAAGTTGAGTTAGCAGGGCAGGATCCACCTCTTTGGCCACAGCAGGCTTTTCTCCTGAAGGCTCAACCAAGACTCCTACTTCCTTCAGTTTTGAATGCTGGTGATTCACCAAAGCCTGCAATTCACCTGTAATAAATAAAGGAACTACAACTAGAATTTTTATCATCAAATACATTCAAAATAATTAAGAAGTGTTTGGGGGAAAGAAACACTACAGCAAAAGTTGATAGAAAATATACTATTCCCTGGTTGTTGTTTTTTAAAACAGCTAGTAATACTGATGCTTTTACAACATTTTTAGTACAGACTGTCAAATACAACAAATGCTTTACCTGAACAAATGTCCTTCAGATGATTGGCTCTGAGAACCAGGCCTTGAGCTTGAAGTAGCAAAGATTTCAGCTTCCACTCTGTGGCAACAGTTTTCAAAATACAGATCTCCTTCTGCCATTGATCATCCACAACAACAGGCCTCAAATCCAGGACATTAAGTGCTTTGGAAAGTTTCCTCAGTTGGGCGGCAGTTTCTATTACCTCCTTCTCCTGCCGATGTTGAGAATAATGGGAGGGGGGGGGGGAGAGATTCAATGATAATGAACAGTCTGAACTGTTATCTTACTTTGCTAGAATGCTTGCATAAAACATCTACAGCAGAACTGAAATGGTTGATGTGAGTGGAGAGACAACACAGAATAAGAGACATGGATGGGCCCCATCTAAATGAACAAAAATGATGAGTATTGGATTTTAACTATTTTGTATTTGTATTGCCGAAAGCTTTCATGCCCGGAATCACTGGGTTGCTGTGAGTTTTCCGGGCTGTATGGCCATGTACCAGAAGCATTCTCTCCTGACATTTTGCCTACATCTATGGCAGGCATCCTCAGAGATGATGGGGTCTGTTGCAAACTGGCAACTGGGGTGTATGTATCTGCGAAATGCCCAGGGTGGGGGAAAGAACTCTTGTCTGCTTGAAACAAGTGTGAATGTTGCAATTGGCCACCTTGATTAGCACTGAAATTGCCTTGCCATTTTAAAGCCTGGCAGCTTCCTGCTTGGGGGAATCCTTTGTTGGGAGGTGTTAACTGGCCCTGATTGTTTGTTTGGATTTCCCGTTTTCTGAGTGTTGCTCTTTATTTACTGTCCTGATTCCATAGCTTTTTGTAAATACTGGTAGCCAGATTTTGTTCATTTTCATGGTTTCCTCCTTTCTGTTGAAATTGTCCACATGCTTGTGGATTTCACTGGCTTCTCTGTGTAGCCTGACATGGTATTATTAGAGTGATCCAGCATTTCTGTGTTCTCAAATAATATGCTGTGTCCAAGTTGGTTCATCAAGTGCTCTGCTATGACAATTTCAACCTCCAAACAATGGCTCTATTTACTAATATGTTCGAATCCCCTTGTGGCACAGCAGGTTAAACTGCTGTTCTGCTGAACGATGACTGAAAGGTTGACGGTTCAAATCTGGGGAGCGGGGTGAGCTCCCGCTGTTAGCCCTAGCTTCTGCCAAACTAGCAGTTTGAAAACAAGCAAATGTGAGTAGATCAATAGGTACTGCTTCAGTGGGAAGGTAACAGCATTCCATGCAGCCAAGCTGGCCACATGACCTTGGAGGTGTCTATGGACAACACCAGCTCTTCAGCTTAGAAATGGAGATGAACATCACTCTCCAGAGTCGGACACAACTAGACTTAATGTCATAGGAAACTTTTACCTTTACCTTTATGACAACTCTTTGGAGATACAGTCAAGTATGAGTGTGCGTCGATGTGCGTCTTATTTATTGTTCACTGTTTATTTTTACTGTAAACCGCATTGAGTCGCCGCAAGGCTGATAAATGCGGTATACAAATGGAGTAAATAAATAAATAAATAAATTTACAATGAACAGGTTAACTGCCCAAGCTTTCAGACAATCCAAGCATTATCAAAAATGCCAAGGATTCAATAAGTGACCTTCAGGAGACAACACATGTGCACTCTCACTGAATCATAGCCACTTACAGTTGGGAGCTGAAAAAGCTTTTAAACACTTAGATATCCAATTGTGAATGTTTGTTACTCTGGCACAACTTTCTCTAAAGTTCTGTTGAAGAGTATCAGTGTAACATGCTTCTAACATTCTTTTTAAAAAGATATTTTAATTACTTGTGTGTTCAACAAGTTTAATGTTTATGTTATTCATTAATAAAAATCATTAAAAAAAACCTCAGTAGAATTCAGCAATATATCATACCTTGAAAGGAAGAGGCTTTCTGGCAGATTTTTGCAACTTCTTAATACAGACATTCGCACCAGCAGAATCGGCTAGACAGGACTGGATTTGCTGGGACACAGACTGGATATCCTTGGAAAGCCTTGACATGAAGAGAAGGAATCAGATGTTAATACAGATATTCAAGAGAAAAAGACTCCACAATACGTGTATGGTGTATATGAAGAATCTTGATAAATCAATTAATCTCAGCATTTGGTAAATCGATGGTTTTCATAAAATTACATGCGAAGCCATAACCATTTTCAGGAGCACACCAAGCATATGAACAAGGATCTCTGTGTGAAGGTAATATACCTGCCCCTACAATTTAAGCAAACATGGCTATTCATGATTACAATTTAGTCAGTTTGCTCTTACAAGAGAGCTAAACAAAGCTGAAAAAAACATTCCAACACTCTGACTTCAGGAAACTGTATTTCATCTCTCGCTGCCAAATGTACACAACCAAACACAAAGAAATTTGCATTACTATTCTTGTTATCAACACGGGTGGTATTAAAACATGTCTGTAATTAGAGCATTGATGAATTACTGTTAAAACAGCTCTGTTTGTGGCACTGCAGGCAATGACTTTGGACCACTCACTTTTGCTGCTCATATCCACTCAACAAGTGAGGTATCCTGCTGATTAAATGCTTCACGACCCAGTGCCAATGAAGAGACAGGTGGGCCAAACCAGATGAATCCACTGCTACCACATCAGACATTTTCCAAAACCTGTCACGCCACAATAAGCACTGTAGTATCTAGAGGAAAATGGAAAGGATTACTTTTTCCAGCCTAAGACTGTATACAGCAATATGTTACAAGAAGAGAAATAACAGGTTTGTATTAATCATGAATTCGGAAATCACAAACTCTTAGAAACAAAAGGGCTGTGAAAACTGAATAGGTCCTGACAATAAGGTCCCATAACTTTCCAGTGGGTTCACCAACTCTCAGGAAGAAATAAGAAAGAGGACCTGCTCTCAAATTTGAGCACAGATTCATGGCTTATTCCTAGCATATGCAAATGTTTAGAAAAACAGCAGCTGAGGAGACCAGAGAAGTCCAAACTGGGGAAAATGAGGGGCAATGATGATGATAACAACATCAGGAATAAGAAATCAATAAAACCCAAGAAACTAGAATGAAATATATTTGCGCGACCTACTTACTTCAAACAATTTTTCATCAGAAACAGCAACTTGGGTAGATTTCACCCAATGCAACAGGAAGGCATCCCAGAGTTCAAAAAAGGAGGCAAGATTGGCCACAATTGCATGTGGAAGTGAGGCGTGGCTTCCAGGGTCTTCATTTCAAGATTGAAATTAAACCAAAAGGAAAAAACAAGTAACTCCATCTGGTACACACTACACAATCAACTAATAGAATGCCTGCCTATAATTAAATAAATTCCTGAGTTGATATTCAGCGTTCACCGCTGAAAAACCCTTGTATAAATTAGTGCAGTTTATGAATCAATGAACTATTCTGCAGTAAAGACTTTTCCTTTGACTGTTCAAAATGACTCCAGAAAATGTACTCAAAATATAATCTCATCTCATCTCTTCATACCATGTCCATCTGTACAGATAGTGCACATATTGTTTGTTTGTTTAAAAAAAATAGGAGAGCCAACCAACTGAAGAGAGTCATAAGTCCAGAGTATAGTATATGTTTATATGCATACATTCTCAGGTTCAATTCCAGGCAGCTTCTCTTAAAATATATTAGATGGCGCTTGATAGAGACTGCTGCCCAAAATCTTGGGAGAGCCACTAACTGTCAAAATTGTACATAGTAATACTGTAGTTGGTATAACACTGCTTCTTTTCTTAAAAATACTCACACAGCACCTAGGTTTCTCTTTCTCATTCATTATCACAATGTAATACTTTATTTCCTTGAAAATAAGATTGTCTTATATTTATTTTTCCACAAGAAGACACATTATGGCTTATTTTCAGGGGATGTCTTATTTTTATTAAGTATGGTACAACAATCTACAGCAGCTTTGCTGGTGTTTGGGAGTGGAGGTGGGGGGGTGGGAGAGACCTACAGACTGCTGCTGGTTGGTGCTGGGTGAGAGAGACCCATAGTGCTGAGTAAAACGGCAGCTACAGCTTTACTGCCTAGAGAAGTCAATTATGCTGGGGAAAGTGGAAGGCAAAAGGAAGAGGGGCCGACCAAGGGCAAGATGGATGGATGGCATCCTTGAAGTGACTGGACTGACCTTGAGGGAGCTGGGTGTGGTAACGGCCGACAGGGAGCTCTGGCGTAGGCTGGTCCATGAGGTCACGAAGAGTCGGAGACGACTGAACGAATGAACAACAACAACAGCTTTACTTCTTCCCCCTGAGGAAACATACAATACCTAAAGCAGAGCGTCCTGCTCCTCACTTCACTGAGGAGACTTTTACTTTGACTTACTATGTCTCTCTCTATGCCTCAGCTTGCAGCATGCACAGAACAACTGGGACCTGATTGGGGGAGCCGACCTTGTTGATGGTGTTGCCTGCAGCTCTCCGGTCACCTTTACCGCTCCATGTCAGTACGATGCATAGTCACACCTATCACTGTCTTATTTTTGGGGTATGGCTTGTATTGCGCAAATGCTTAGGAATCCTGCTACGGCTTATTTTTTTTAGTATTTTCAGGGAAACACGTTAGTACAACATTTTTAAAATATTGATTTTGTCTTTCTTTTATACTTTGAAACTTCTTATTCATTTCCATTTGTAAATCATCTTGACTAAATATGCTCACTAACAGAAGGAGGTTCTCCATTCATGGATGGAAGCACTGGATCCAACTCACAATTCAAAAATACAGTGAGAATCAGGCTGATTTATTAAAACCATCCTTATTCTCACCACCACCATTTCAGTTAATAGCCTTCTCAGGTTGGTTCTTAAAAAGGTTTACATGGGAAGGAATGAGCCCCAAACAGAAGAAAAGTTATTCAAAACTTAGCTTTCACAACCCCTTGAAAACATGAGTTTTCCATCTTGGTGGTAGAAGCCTATATGTGTTTAATCAGAGTTATGGCACATTGCGTTCAATGAGACCTTTTCCCAGGAAGGTTTATAAAGAGCTACAACACAGAAGAACTGAGTACTCTGGATCTCTTCAAGCAAAGTGGAACAGATTCATGGGACAAGGATTGTATAGTCATTTACAAGTAGATTGTAAATGACTATAGAAGCTCATATGGGAATTCTAATATCAATATGTATGCAACTTGATATATTACTGGTTCCTGTGTTGTTGTTCATTCGTTCAGTCGTCTCCGACTCTTCGTGACCTCATGGACCAGCCCACGCCAGAGCTCCCTGTCGCCGTCACCACCCCCAGCTCCTTCAAGGTCAGTCCAGTCACTTCAAGGATGCCATCCATCCATCTTGCCCTTGGTTGGCCCCTCTTCCTTTTACCTTCCACTTTCCCCAGCATAATTATCTTCTCTAAGCTTTGCTGTCTCCTCATGATGTGGCCAAAGTACTTCAACTTTGTTTCTAGTATCCTTCCCTCCAATGAGCAGCCGGGCTTTATTTTCTGGAGGATGGACTGGTTGGATCTTCTCGCAGTCCAAGGCACTCTCAGAACTTTCCTCCAACACCACAGTTCAAAAGCATCTACTTATAGCTTATTTAAGGTTCACAAAATGTCAGGATCCCGATTTTATATAAAGCAATTGTAGAAATATAATAGGTACCTTTATGGAAATCTAGAGATACCCTCAAAGCACTAGTTCTTGGCTTTTTCATATTAATCAAACTCCTTTCAATATAACTCTTTTTCTCCCGATCTAGAAATAGAATTGCCCTGCAACAACATTAAAAATATTTGGATTATATTATTAAAAGAGGGAAAACAAATCACAATCCATTAAGAGAAAATCTTACAAGACATAAACTTAATTTTATCTTGACTAGTTTATATGTACACATGAAGAAATGAGATGTAGTATGGAATAGTAATGGGAAATGGGCCCTGCCCAGAAAAATACATATTTTCCATGCTGCATATGGTGGTTGACTATGGACAAGCCATACCCTCTCTGCCTCAGTGGAAGACAAACACAACCCCCTTTTAAACATGTTCCGCCAAAAACATCCTATAATGGGTTTGCTTTGGGATTGCCATATATCAAAAATGACTCAAAGGAACAACAACTACTACTACTACACCTTATGCCCCACCAAATCTCTAGTTTTCGTTGAGTGTATCTTGATTTCTTCCTTTTTCCACCAGCAATCTCATTTTGCCTGCGTAATGAGAGCTCTCAAATTCCAAATCATTGGAGTCGCAAGCTTTAACTGCTCTAGTCAACATAGAAAGATATAGATTATTAAACCCACCGATTTGAAAGTGACTTCAGAAGAATTAACAGCTGGTCTGAATGTTCCACTTCTGCATCAAAATCCACTGAATTGCTTATCATATCCAAGCATTGCATGTTCCACCTGAGATCCATAGGAATCACATGATCATCTAAAAAGACAGTTGAATAGGAGGAATAGTCATAAATGTCAAGAAAGAATTCTTTTTTCCTTAGTCTTTGAAACAGAGAGTACATGGGGAATCATTCCTTGGAATATGCTAAAAAAGAAACTCCCAGAGAGTGTCAATTTCTCTCATTAACCTTCCTAATTTCAAAAACACAGGATGAAGTGTGTATGTGTCTATGTGAACATGAATACACAAACACAAAGCAGAGGGAGGGCATTTTACCTGTAATATTTGGTTGCAGCATTTTCATTACATTACTGATTCCACCTGAGAGGGGGCTGAAGTAGAAATTATTCAGTGATGCGGCGCCAGCTTCCAGTAAGATATACACTGAATCTGTAGAACAAAGTAGGACTGTAAGCAGCAGTTGGATTTCAACCCTCAAAGCATTCAATTTGGGTACAAAGACCCTCTATGACTATATGTTGTATCCCGCATCAAGTCAAAAGGAAAGCTGGGCAATTAATAATAATAATAATAATAATAATAATAATAATAATTATTATTATTATTATTATTTAGAATGGGTGCAATTATTTTTTTTAGCAGCACGGGTCATATCAACATCCATAATTTTGACCCCCAAATCTGCCCTCGACTTGTATATGAGGTTGACTTACAAACAAGTATATACAGTATTCCCAGGTAAGTATGCACAGAATTACATAGTATGACAATACCAAAATTCAGAGAGTGCTCCAGATGTGCTGGATTACATGTTTCAAGTGAATATGCGAAACATCGTCATTTCTTCATTGCATCAGGAGCCTTTATTTTATTGATTTACCTTACTTTATATCTATATCTCACCTTTCTCCCCATAGGGACTCAATGCCACTAATAATGACATGACACGATACAATAGAATTTAAAAGCAAGGCAAATATAGATACATATTGTAAGGAAGCGTAATCCCACCTAAATGGGATTACCAAAATTAAATAAATATGTATGTTAATCCACCTAATTTCAACCTAAATTATAAGGAAGTCCCAAAATTGCTTGATTACACTGCCACCATTATATATATATATAGAGACGTTGGAATTGAAGTCTCTATTTATCCCTATCTGCGTTGTGAGGCAACTTTGGTAGAGTGGATTGCACCAAATGTAAAATCAATGGAGGAGGCAGATTTATAACACAGAGAGAACAAGTTTATTGTTAACAGAGCGTAATTGTTGCAATACTGAGATGTTGAACTTGGCACAAGCTTGATGGTTACAATATGGCCTAGTAGAGATACATTCAGGCTTCTGATGTTACAATCCTTTAAACTCCTTCTTCAGTGAAGTACTTTATTATTTCAGTGTTCCCTGTTGTGAATATTCACTCTGTTTGTCCTATACCGGATCAAACCACCGATCTCCAGTCTTTCACTACTGGGATCCCTAAAACCCCCTTTGTTAGATTCTTTTTAACACAAGCAATCTAACAAGGTTTCACCTTCAGCTCCCTTGCTGAAGAAATATTCACAAATGCTAAGAACTAACTGAATCTATACTGCTTCACCACACAGAGCCCTAACTGACTCCGCTCCTCTTCTCAGGGTCTCATCCTCCTGACTACCCATTAACTGTTACTTTCAAACCTTTTTCTCCTTAAGCTCCGCCCACCTTCTCCTCTGCCTTGTCACCATGGCAACCTATCTCTCACAGCTAGGCCATGGCCACGCATGTAAAACATAAATACAGTTTAAACACAGTACAATAAACCCTTTATAATAAACACTTCTCTACAGATATAAATACATTTTTTAAAAAAAAACACTTAAATATCTGTGTCATGGATACAAAAGTTAAAATACAATTAAAATAGAACAAAAATAGAACAACATCCCCAGAAGTCTAGGTAAAGGTAAAATTTTCCCCTGACATTAAGTCCAGTCATGTCTGACTCTGGGGGAGTGGTGCTCATCTCCATTTCTAAGCTAGCGTTATCTGTAGACGCCTCCAAGGGTCATGTGGCCAGCACGACTGCATGGAGTACCATTACCTTCCCGCTGAAGCAGTAACCATTGATCTACTCACATTTGCATGTTTTCGATCTGCTAGGTTGGCAGAAGCTGGAGCTAACAGTGGGAGCTCACCCTGCTCCCCGGATTCAAACTGCCAACTTTCTGGTCAGCAAGTTTTGCAGCTTTGTGGTTTAACCCGCTGCACCACCATGAGCCCAGAAACCTAAACCTTCATTATTCCCCAAATGCCTGATGGCTGAGATATGGAGCTGATACAGAAACATCTTAATCCAAACCAAAATCAATACCACGTATGTTCTTCATGCTTTCCATCATTATGTTTCTCTCTCTCTACTACAAACATAAAGGTCAGTCTTGCTGAAGCCAAAGGAAAGTATTTTTGTTTTGCTCACCAGGCACTTGAGGTAGGCTCTTTTTTAGCTGATTAAGCCACCCAACTCTCAGCGTCCAGTCTTGATTAGTTGCTTTCCCTATGAACTGTTTAACGGCTGCAGAAAGGACCTCAATGTCATCTGCCCAAGAAGCACTGATCTCAACTGCATCGAATTTTAGACAATCTGGCTTAGAGGTCTGCAAAATTTTCTCAAAGTCACATATAGTAAGAGGAAGTGTCCTGAAAAAAATGTAAGTTATGAACAAAGGTTATTCGAACACACACAGAAAGGGGAAAAAACCCAAGAATGCCTCTTATCATTACAAAAATGCCTGTGAAACTACAGTCCGGTAAACATAACTAGTGATAGTTAGCTCCCTTAACTCTAGGTTAAACTGCATTTGCCTACCACAGTGGTTCTTAACCTCTGAGTCCCCAGATGTTTTGGCGTTCAACTCCCAGAAATCCTAACAGCCGGTAAACTGGCTGGGATTTCTGGGAGTTGCAGGCCAAAACACCTGGGGATCCAGTTTGAAAACCACTGGCCTACCATATTAAGCCTTGTCACTACAGGTTATGTACAGCTGCGTAGAATGACAGCAGGGACTTGAGTGGAATGAAAACTTGCTTAATAATGATTTATCAAGTACACGTTATTAAGCACTACTAATCCATGGTTATTATAAATCATGAGCTCAAAATAATTTAAAGCACCACTGGAGATCAGCCATGAGACAGGATATGAACTCAGTTGGAAATATTTAGAAATAGTGCTTAGACTTGATTAAAGGGGAGAGGGGAATTATATATTATAAACACAAAGGGCCAGAAATAGTTATATGATCCCTGAAATAACTCTTTGGCCACTGATCTTATTCCAAAACCTTCATATAACTGCTCTTAAGGTGAATATGATTTTAAAAAATGCCCTATATTTTTAAGACCTGACATCAAGGAAAAAAACACTTTAAAATACAGAGCTATTCCACAATAGGAATAATTACTATTATGGAGTAATTGAGCTGGAACAGCTTAAAGCTCATATTTTTTTAGCTTTAATAACAGTATCACTTTGCCTACCTGCTGTTTTTAATATTCAGCCTGTTCAGGCAATAGGCCAGGACCTGCCCATCATTATGAACAGTAGAAAGGAGAGAATCTTCAGCTGCAAACAAAGCACTGGATGCTGAATCTGGCCACAATCCCAAAGCAATGAGGGAAGTACCCTTTGTTTCTTCAGAGTCCAAAGCCGAAACATGTTTCATTATCAAGTCCAGCACAAGCTAATATATAAGGAGACACAAAAGGCTGCCATTAAAGTGCCCTCACTGGGGAAAAAAAAAAAAGAAATAATGAAAACTCTTGACTTCCAAAATTTCCTCCTCTACTGAAATGTTTGGGGAACATTTGTGATTATTTATGCAGTACAAAATGAACCTCTGCTTATACAGTACGATTTCCACATCCATGGGGGATATATTTCTGAACTCAGCATGGGAATAGGAAACGATGGATAATAGTGAGCTTTACTGAAATGAACTACTTCCACCAGGAGTTACCATCAAGTTGCCCTGGAGGTATCATCTGTAAGATTCTGCTAGATCCTCTAATGCAGGGGTCCTCAAACTTTTTAAACAGAGGGCCAGCTCACAGTCCCTCAAACTGTTGGAGAGCCGGATTATAATTTGAAGGAAAAAAACATGAATGAATTCCTATGCACACTGCAAATATCTTATTTGTAATGCAAAAAAAAAAAAAAAACACTTAAAACTATACAATAATTAAAATGAAGAACAATTTTAACAAATATAAACTTATTAGTATTTCAATGGGAAGTGTGGGCCTGCTTTTGGCTGAAGAGATAGGATTGTTGTTGTTGTGTACTTTCAAGTCGTTTCAGAAGCCCCCAGTGGCGCAGTGGGTTAAACCCCTGTCCTGGCAGGACTGAAGACCGACAGGTCGCAGGTTCGAATCTGGGGAGAGGCAGATGAGCTCCCTCTATCAACTCCATCTCCTCATGCTGGAAGAGGGAAGCCTCCCACAAGGATGATAAAAAAAAATCAAATCATCCGGGCATCCCCTGGGCAACGTCATTGCAGACGGCCAATTCTCTCACACCAGAAGCGACTTGCAGTTTCTCAAGTCACTCCTGACACGACAAAAAAAAAGTCGTTTCAGACTTAGGTTGATCCTGAGCAAGGGCCGGGTACATGACCTTGGAGGACCGTATCCGGCCCCCGGGCCTTAGTTTGGGGACCCCTGCTCTAATGCATTTCTCCAGTAATTTACTACAGAAGTATACTATAGAGTCACCTGGAGGATCTACAAAACTCCTAGAGAGGACATATTTTGTTGGAAGAGGGTAGGTGATGCAGCTTGTACTGTTCCTGTGGATATGAAGGCCATACTATACATGTTCCATAGTTATTTAAGACAGGGTCTCTTAAAAATTTCCACTTGTAACCCCTTTTGGTCCAAGAAATTTCTACATGACTCCATATATATGGGTACATAAAATAGGTATAAGATCAAATGTTTACTAATAATAAATCAGCATTTACAAGGCTTTCCAAACTGTCATTCCTTTTTGTGGAATAGAGGTAAAGCATCTTCTGTAGAGTCCACTGCACAACACATTCATGTAAACATCTAAAGCAGCCACTAGGTCACACACTTGGAAACCTACTGATGTTGCCAAATTTTGGGACCCAAAAACTGAGCAAAGGAGACCCCACTTGAGTCAGAACCTACAGTTTAAGAAGTGATTTAAGACAAAAACAAGCATGCATCTTTTGACAGATCTCACTCAATAGCCATTGGATATTACAAATGATGTTTGTGGATCATGTCTCGACAACCTCACTTGGTGCTACAGTTAACAAGTGAGGGAGATACATGTGTGAATCTGTCAACAAATCAGAACAGATGTATCTAAAGAACAAGCTCACCTTTTGATTGTTTTGCGAATGCTGTGTACAGACGTAGACCTCCAAACACGCTTTATAGAAGCTCTTCGACAAGCCAAGTCCCCGGTGTAACTGCTGCACTATCAGTGTTGCAGCACGAATCAAAGATGACAGGGTGAATGTGGAACCTGAAAAGACAGACATTTCCATCCAATAGTTACATCTGCAGAGTCCCTATGAATGTTTCAGTTTACTCAAAAGGGTTTTAGGTGCTAGTCATGTCCTTTAAAGCACTATATGGTTTAGGCAGACATATGTCCCTATACCAATCTGCTAGAACCTTGACATCTACAGAAGAAAACTGTCTCTCAATCCCCCCATCATCACAGTCTCACTTGGCAAGGACATGAAAGAGACCCTTCTCAGTGGCTACTTCCATCCCTCTGGGACTCCTTTCCCCGCAGGAGGTGAGTTTGGCCCCATCTCTGTTTCCCTTTCTGCCAGCAAGTGAAGACACTTGTGTATTCTCTAAGGCTTTAGGAGAAAATGCTGCTAGAACATGGCCATACAGCCTGGAAACCACACAATACCCTGAAAACATTTTTTATTTCAGCAAGCTGTTAATGAATAAACAAGGATGATTTTTGTTATTGGACATATTTTGTATCTTTTAAATACTGTATTTTTAAAATTAATTAAAAAAACAAATTACATGACACTATTTCTACATCGAGTAAGATATGCTTTTAAACGATGTTCAGCTTGATGTTTGTTTCTGAAATAGTGGTAGCCCTTTAACACATTTTTCCTGAGGGAAAAAGGAGCTGGTAGGATCCCACCCCACCCCCCCACCAAAAAAAGTTAGGTTGGTACATCTAGTTTTCAATTCTCTTTCCAGACAAAATATTTCTGGAAACTCACAAACATGATACAGACATGAGTGGCATACTTTGTTTTCTCATCATTAACATTTCACCAGTATCATTTCCTTTTGAGATCCCCAGAGCATCTATAGACATTAACCTATCAATCTAAGAACCAGGAAAGTTAAAGGTAAGCTGATTTTGCTTTCAAGCAACCTGCCTCTAGCAGATACCACATTATAAACCAAAGTAGTAAGTTTATGTTTTGAGACTTCAGGTTTACCCTTTCTGTCTCCCCCAAACACAATAATTAAAGAGACATGTTATGAAACACTTGCCTCACTACTATGACTTTGTCTTACCTGCTATGCTTTCCTTAGCCTCTGTATGCAGAGCCATTAGTGCCTCACAGACACTGTTTCCTAACAATCCCAGTCTATGCAGTATCAGCTTCATGTCATGAGGATCCAAGGAATTCTCATTATTGTCACCAGGAATGTAGATCTCAATTCCACGATTCCGCATGGCTCGGGATATTTCCCCATGAGAAGGATCCATGGACAGGAAAAGCCTATTAAATTTCAAAACACATCACAAGATTAGATTTCAGCGTATTTTTTTAAAGACTGGTTTACTGAATTTCACAAAACCAGATTTTACTTAGTTTAACAAGGTATGTTCTGAGTATCTGATAACTCTTTTTGTCTTCTGCTATGCCTTGGAAACAGCAAACTGAAATGAGTTAGGGAGAAAAGTAAACACCACAGTCTTACAGGTACTTAATGACTAGAGATAAGAATTGGTAACACGAACACTTCAAAATTGGCTTGTTTGAGGTAAAATTGAAATAATGCTGATGTTTTAACTCTGATCGTAATCCAGACCAGAGGCTGGCAAAAAGCCTCAAGGCCTTATATTTCTGATTTATTTTATTTTGATGCTTAATTCTTTCGTTGTAAGTTTTCTATTGTTACTATTCATTATACTGGATTATTTTGATGTGTTTATACCCATTTCAAGGCATTGAATGTTTACCTTTTTATGTGTAAACTACCCTGAGCCCATCCGGGGAAAGAAGGCAATCTAGAATTATTATTATTATCATCATCATCATCATCATCATCATCATCATCATCATCATCACTTTGCAGGCTGCATCCAATTGGTGTTGCCAAAGGAGTCACATTGACTACAGTTCTGGACTCTATACCAGATTATTCCAATTTCATGGGATTCTTTCACTACTGCATTTTCCTATAGCTATGCCTTTTGCTGGGGACAAAGACTAGCATGAATGCAGTTGCACTGCTTAGTTGAAAAGATTAACAGTACTAATTTAGTGTTTTGCTGGGAAGGCGTAATGAGACAGAACAAATGAGAACAGTCCAACACAACACTTATTTTCCAAGTTTTGTAAAAACAATACTTTAAACGCTTCATCTACAATATAATTCACAAAACATAATCCACAAATATGAACAGTCACTAAAAAAGAGTGTACAGAAATTCAGCAAGCACCTGAAATTAGGATGGGGCGTAATTGTGGGGGTTTCGCCATCTATCACCCCTCTTTCACTCATGGTAAGGACTCCTCCAGGTTCAAGCAGAGCATTCAAACGGTCCAGGACTGAAGGGCTACATTTAAGAAGGGTAAACTGTTATAAAGTTGACTCAAATGAAATGGACATGGAACATAGTTAAGAGTGTCAAATATTCTTTTTTTTTTTTAAAAAAAGGCTGAAATTTAAAATTATTTTTCTATTCCTATTATTCTGTGACAGCAATACTTTGTGATCTGTTCACAGGTAGGAGTCATGGTGGCACAATGGGTTAAACCATTGTGCTGGCTGAACTGCTGACCTGAAAGTCAGTGATTCGAATCTTGGAGACAGAGTGAGCTCCTGTCTGTCATCTCCAGCATCTCATGCAGGGACATGAGAGAAGCCTCCCACAGGTGTCCCCTGGGCAACGTCTCTGCAGATGGTCAGTTCTCTCACACCAGAAGTGACTTGCAGTTTCTCAAAAAAATCCAATTTATTCAGTGAAGGAAATTCTTATTGGAAAATAGATGTATATTTCCATATTATGGAGTAATAATGTGAACAACAACATATTATCCTATTTCTATCTGATCCAGAACTGGATTTGTAATTCTCATATCTGAATTGATGACTTCTGGGTTCCTTTAAAGAAATATCTATGATTTTTTTTAAAAAAAGCTAAAAATATAACTCTACTTGTACCTGCAGAAATTAACATTGTCCATCAGAAGCCAGTCTCCGGACTGTAAAGCCTGAACCAACATCCCATCGACCCATTCAAAGGTGCCATGACTGCTGCTATCCTGAAACTGAACTTGCAGTTTAAAGTTTCGAAACTCTTCCACCAGTCTTGAAAATTCTGAAAAGAAAACACTTCTTGGTAATGCCAGTATTATTTCATACACATGAAAAATCATACATTTGCAATTAATGTTCATTTATATTCTTACTGATTCAAGAAATGAATAAAACACAATTGTTCTCTGTAGTTTCCACACATACCTGGCTTTGAGTAGGAGCTGATCTTTAAATTCAGCCGCTGGAGCAGTACAAGCACCCCTTCCAGTTTGCTTACTAGTTCCAGAGTTATAGTTCGATCTCTTTCCCCCAGAGACTTGGGTTTGAAATTAATAACAAAGGTACTCCAGGCACGCAGCACAACCTCAGCATCATCCGGACAGATAGTAGTGAGCAGAAGACTGTCTCTCAGAAGGGTGCTCACAGCATTCTCCACCTTCTCCAGTAAGCTCTTCCAAGGCCTAATGATGTCAACCTAGAGTACATTTCATTACATCAATCTTAATGACACTCAGGCATTGAAAATGAATGACAGTCAACTAGGAGATTAATTAGAACAGATAAGACTCCATTATCTGAGCATAACTAAACTTGATTAAAGAAACAGATTGACTTCATTAAACATCACAGGCGAGGTTAAACAATAATATTAGGGATCACAACTTAAGCTAGATGCCCTTTTAAGCAGTATGCATCCCCATTTTCTCTACAACATTATCTCTAGCATGCCGCAGAAGAATATGAGTTTCTAATTTGTTGTCACTAATTTTAAATAGACACAATTTGATAATATGTATCTGCTTTTTCAAAAGCTAAAATTTGGTAAAGTAAAAGGTAAAGGTTTCCCTTGACATTAAGTCTACTTGTGTCCAACTCTAGGGGGTGGTGCTTATCTCCATTTCTAAGCCAAAGAGCTGGCGCTGTCTGTAGATACCTTCAAGGTCATGTGGCCGGCATGACTGCATGGAGCGCCTGTTACCTTCCCATCAAAGCAGTACCCATTGATCTACTGTATGTTTTCAAACTGCTAGGTTGGCAGAATCTGGGTCTAACAGTGGGAGTTCACCCCACTCCCCAGATTCGAACCACCAACCTTTTGGTCAGCAAGTTCACCAGCTCAGTGGTTTATCCCACTGTGCCACCAAGGGGCCCTAAAATTTGGTACAATACAATATTCTGGCAATATGGCAACTATAGAGTACAACAATAACAGAAGCATATAACAGTGCACCCTAGAGACCAGACATTCTATAAACATATGTTCTGAAGAAGTTGGCCTTTCAAAAATGCAGATTATACAAAAAAACAAACTACACATAAGTGGACTTCCTGTTTGCATCGGCCTGTTCTAATAAGTACAAATATTCTTACTTGTTCAAATCCACCCAACAGCTCTGTTGTATCCATGGAACTGTTCATTGCCATAACCTTTAACTGATGACCAGTGAGGTATGCCAGTAGTTGAACAAGGCTGGTCTTGCCGGCAGCTGCAGGGCCCACCAATATGACCATCCAGCTCATATGCACACACTTCATGAGGGCCTCTAAGGGCTGGAGGGAATGGTGCAGAAGAGAGAGCTTTCTGCCAGGAGGAGGGACATAGTTGGCACGGGAGAGTACTGAGAAGCCAACCTTCAATAGAATCAGAAATAAAAATGCCACTACATTAGCAGGTGCATAGGGTTATTGGGTAGAAATTCAAAAGGAATACACGGAAACAATAATTTCGTTAGGTTTCTCACCTGAACATTGTAGGGAGTGATGTGGAACTGCCTGGTTCCCACGTATGGAATAGCATCCTGGCCAAAAATGTCCTTGAATAGAGCCACTACCTAAAACAGGCCCACCCCCAAAAGACAGGCAGATTATGCTCACATCAAAAAACTCATGTACCACTTTTACTACAGTCTTCATCATGTAATATTCTGAAACTATTTTACACAAACCTACTGTCTCTAAATAGGTTATATGGACAAATGTTTCTGACATTGTTCGATGTTTACTTCAGGAACAAACTTATCCATCACGAACCCTTCTGCATTCAGTACATGAAATCAAGCCATTCATGTGAAGCCAGTAACTTTCCCCAATATAAGGCATGTTATTTAAGTATCATTTACCTGTATTTTTCACAGAGTTCTTGCATAATAATCATAATTCTAAAGAAATGAGCTCTTTAAAAATAAAAAAATGGATTTTTATACTCTGGTGAGCTATGCAGACTGAGAATTATTGGAGCAGGACACAGTTGCAAGATTAAGGGAGCGAGGAGGGGAATCATGTAATCCATTATGTTGTCTGTTCAAGCTCTGGCAATCCTAGTCACACAAATGAACTTGCAGGCTTTCTAGATGGATAAATAGAGCACCCAAACACAAATCAAGGAACACGAAAGGCACTGCAGACTAATTCAGTCTGAGAAGTCAGCCATAGCAGAGCACCTGAGGAACCAACCTGGACACAGCATATTTGGGAACACAGAAATGCTGGACCACTCTAATAACTACCATGTCAGACTACACAGAGAAGCCATTGAAATCCACAAGCATGTAGACAATTTCAACAGAAAGGAGGAAACCATGAAAATGAACAAAATCTGGCTACCTATATGAAAACAATCTGGAATCAAAAATAAAGAACAACACTCAAAAACAGGGGATTCCAGACAAAAATCAATCAGAGCCAGCGGACACCTCCCAACAAAGGTTTTCCCCAGGCAGCAACCAGCTAGGCCTTGAAGCTACAAGGCCATTCAATGCTGATCAAGGTAGCCAATTGCAACACTCACACTTGTCTCAAGCAGGCAAGAGTTCTTTCTCCCACCCTGGACATTCCACAGATAGATAAACCCTATTTTCCTAGTTTCCAACAGAACTCACAACCCCTAAGGATGCCCGCCATAGATGTGGGTGAAACGTCAGGAGAGAATTCTTCTGGAACATGGCCATACAGCCCAGAAACTCACAGCAAATCACACCCTGAACACATGATGGGTTTCAAACACTTTTGAATGGGATCCCACATATGCCACACTCACTGAAATGAAATGAAATGGATAAGAAAAGTCTTATCCAAGATTCTTGGGAAAAAGAGATTACTCCTTACCACCCTACCTTGGTCTACGAACCATCTCAGGTATAGAAGTAATTTAGCATGTGCAATAATGTAGAAACAAACTAGAACGTAGTTCAGATGTATAAAATTTTGGACTAAGAACTTATACCTTAAACTGGAGGTAAAGAAAGAACCCTTTTGTGTCACATGAGACCCTAGGACTGTTTCTGTGACCCCCAGTGTCTAATTTTTGGACAATAATGTGTTTTTTTTAATGGTCCATAACTTTTTGCTATGGGCATACAGGCAATTTCACCATGTTTTTGAGTCTGACTGGGTTTTTAGGGTCCAGGGAAGACCTTTCTTTCTATCAGGAAGTGAAATATATTTAGACTGCCAAATCGGTTCTCTAACCACAAGGACATTTGGGGGCAACTATTATTATTTTCTCCCTAGCTTACTGAATATCTTCAAAACTGCAAAAGAAAGAATTTTAACAAGGCCAAGCACTTTCTTCATACTCTTTACCTTTTCTTTGTCTGCTTTCATTCGCATTCTCTCCCCATATATCAAAAACATATGTTGGCCTGGGTCATAGCTGCCAGGCGATTGGTCAACAAGCATCAGCTGGCACCATCGAAAAAGATCGCGCAGGTTAAACTCCCAAGGTGCACCTTTGTGACCCCATTTCTTCTCAGTCATGACCTCTTGATCAATCTGAATAAAGTTAACAGTTCAAAAAATTATGTAAACAGACTAACAAAAAGTAACAGGTGCTTTCCAGATTTGTTAGACTGCAATTCAGGTAAGTATGAAACCATGCTGTTGGTGCTCATAGTACCATTCCCCAACACATTTGGAGGACAAGCTGTCTATTCCTAAAATAAAGCAGTAAAAGGCCATTCTACATGAAAAATCCCAATGTACTATTTTGTCCACAAATTAAACACATAACTAAACATTTCAACCAAACATTCTAAACATGGAAAAATTTCTATGTAGAGAGTTTTTGAAATATATAGAACAGGTCCTGTTTTTGTTTTTACAAAATATATGACGACACATACTGTGCCCAAACTGTTCTGATCTGTCATTACATTTTAAAGCATGCATTTAAGCTAGCAATCAGTCAAGTACACCTTAAAGCAGCATTTCTCAACCTAGGGGTTGAGATCCCTGGGGAGGTCATGACGGGGTGTCAGAGGGGTCGCCAAAGACCTTTAGAAAACACAGCATTGTCTGTTTGTCATGGGAGTTCTGTGTGCCAAGTTTGGTTCAATTCCATCGCTGGTGGAGTTCATAAAGCTCTTTGATTGTAAGTGAACTATAAATCCCAGCAACTACAACTCCCAAATGACAAAATCAATCCCTCCCAACCCCACCAGTATTCAAATTTGGGCGTTTCGAGTATTTGTACCAAATCTGATCCAGTGAATGAAAATACATCCTGCATATCAGATATTTACATTACGATTCATAACAGTAGCAAAATTAGTTATGAAGTAGTAAAGAAAATAATGTTATGGTTGGGGGGGGGGGTCAACACAACATGAGGACCTGTATTAAGGGGTCATGGCATTAGGAAGGTTGACAACCACTGCCTTAAAGAGAGACAAGATAGTGGGTCATCTATATGCACCAATCAAATGTTATATTCCCTATACTATATATTCCCTACAGACACAAATTCACAACTGGCTGCAGTTTCTCTCTGCCTGAAACGATAGTCTGGCACTAGATAACTAACTCTCTACTTGCAGTTATCATAGCTGATGTCCACACAGAGACTCTGTAGCACATGCAGGTAGCTAAACCATCAGGTTCCACTGTTCTACACAAAAGACTATGCAGATGAATTAAGTGAAGCACCATATCTACCTTGTTGTTGAACTCAACCATTTTTGCAATATTTTCTTTACCAATGGCAGGAAACAACGTAATCCCAATGTACTCCATATCAGCTGCTGACAGTGGGTCCACATAAACCTATGCCATTAGTAAAATTAATTAGTAAAATTGAGAAAGTACACAGCTGTTTATAACAGTGCTGACACACAAAATATACAGCAGCAAAAATCATTCCCAAGAAATTGTTGCTTCTGCAGAGTCAAATGTAACACTTCTTACATCTCAGACAGAAGTGATTTTGCCAAAAATACATTTAAATATTATCAGAAGTTATATATTTACGTTGTAAAGCGAAAAATATAAATGGTTATACGATAAGAAACAGCCACAATTCCCGAGTCATTGTCCAATGCACTAATTACTACAATACACACTGGTTGTCAATACACTTGTCACAGGGAGTATAATTGTACCCCCTGATTAAGGGCCCTAATGTTGAAATATGAAAGTCCTTATGTTTGCAATCTAATGCCCCAAACTAGCGCTACTTGTGGTTTACAGAAACATAATTAGAAAGGAAAGTCAAAAGTACCAATGCAAATGGTATTATTATGTACATTTCCTGGACTTGCCTGTGTGAATCTGTTCAAAAAGGACTTGGGCAGCCCCTTCCTGCCGCCTCCTTGTCTGTAGGGATTCTGACATCCAAAGATCTTGGTCATCTTGTGCTGCACATGAAAAGTCATTCCCAACTCAGGGATATAAATCTCTGCCCGATGGTCAAGACAAGCATTCAGGCCTTCTAGAACTGACTGAGAAGCCAAGTTCAACTAGTTGAGAAAAACCACCAGAAAAGGATTTAGTTACTTGGCTGTCTCATACCACAGCATTATACACACCTTCTATTTTTATCGGTTTTATACTAATTTATGCAATGCTTTTGATACGAAATAAATAAATACAAAAAACTGATAAAATCACTTAAGTTTCCTGGTTCACCTCACAGTGACAAGGGCGAGTTTAGCCAACACAAGCAGCTATGCCATGAAAAGTAAAGACAGAATATTTAGAAATTATTTATTTAGAATAACAGCAAATAAAAAAATTAGCCAATTTTCACTCTTCTTTATAAACAGAAATTTAGAGAAGTCTGAAGCCTGTTCTCAGAGAAAGAAAAATAACTTTAAAATAACACAACTAAACCATTTCTATCACTTATGTTATTCCTGTTGCAGTGGCTTGCCTACATATTTCTTCTTTTGCCCTAAATAATCCAGTTATCAATAAAATAAATCTATTTATTTATTGTGGTGGTGCAATGGTTTGAACTCTTGTGCTGCTGAACTGCTAACCTGGTTGGCAGTTCGAATCTGCAAGATGGGGTGAGCTCCTGCTGTTAGCCCTAGCTCCTGCCAACCTAGCAGTTTGAAAGCATGCAAATGTGAGTAGATCAATAGGTACCACTTCAGAAAAGGGAAAAGGGTGCTCTAAGTAATCATTCTGGCCACACAACCAGGAGGTGTCAATGGATGCAGGTTCCTCGACTTCGAAATGGAGAAAGAGCACCTCCCCAAGAGCCGGAGATGAGCACCACCTCCAGAGCCGGAAATGAAAGGAGAAGCCTATGCCTTTGTCTGTGTCAGTGTGTGTCATTGTAACAAGGTATTGAATGTTTGCCTGTGTCTGTTTATATACTATAACCCACTCTGAGTCCCCTCAGGGAGAAGGGCAGAGTATAAATAAAGTATTGTGGTGGTGGTTGTTGTTGTTGTTATTATATTTATTTATAACCTGTTTTTCTCTCTACAAGGAGACTCAAAGCGACTTTTAAAATAAAAGATTGAATGCCAGTTATGTTTAAAGAGATAGGCATCTCATTGTATTACAGGCAATGGGCAGAATATAAATAAAGTGTTGTTGTTATCTGGGTTCTCGGGAAGATCCGTAAGTCCCATCCATAGATTCTAAACCAGAATTTCAGAATTCTGGATGAATCTGGCCTCAGAAAAAATGCCTACACTTCATCTGAAGAAAGGGTTGCCATGGACTATTTGCTGCAAGCAAAACCACTATGGAATAGAGTTGAGCAATTTCTAAAGTGGGATTTTGTAGTCAGTTGGCAATACCAAAATCTACCTCTGCATGTTACCATTTTGTGACTGAAAGGCTCCACCTCTCAAAACAGACCCCCTGAATGTAAACTTTTGAAAATCCCAGTTTAGAGTTCAATCATTATATATGTTTACTAATTCTCTACTCATTTCCATTGCTTTAAACAGCAATATTTTTTTCCAATAGAAAGGACAAGAGCAAATGAGAACAGCCTCGCCAATAGAACAACTGAGATCAATAAGCTGCTTCTGGACATTTTTTTATGCTGAATGAGAAACGAAGTCTTCAGATGTTGCATCATAAAAAGCTAAACTCACTTCATCAAACACAATCCAGTGTCCAGCTTTCAATGCTGCAAGCAAAGGCCCATCACGCCAGGCAAATTCCCCCCCTTTGCCTCCTTCGACAGGCAGGTCTGTGCCAAATAAATCTGTGACATCCTTGTGAGAAGAAAGAACAAGCCAATGTTTTCAATCCATGCAAGACAGAAACACTTCAGAGGGAGATGGATAGAACATAGAATCATAGAATCAAAGAGTTGGAAGAGACCTCATGGGCCATCCAGTCCAACCCCTGCCAAGAAGCAGGAATATTGCATTCAAATCACCCCTGACAAATGGCCATCCAGCCTCTGCTTAAAGCTTCCAAAGAAGGAGCCTCCACCACACTCCGGGGCAGAGAGTTCCACTGCTGAACGGCTCTCACAGTCAGGAAGTTCTTCCTAATATTCAGATGGAATCTCCTCTCTTGTAGTTTGAAGCCATTGTTCCGCGTCCTAGTCTCCAAGGAAGCAGAAAACAAGCTTGCTCCCTCCTCCCTGTGGCTTCCTCTCACATATTTATACATGGCTATCATATCTCCTCTCAGCCTTCTCTTCTTCAGGCTAAACATGCCCAGCCCTAAGCCGCTCCTCGTAGGGCTTGTTCTCCAGACCCTTGATCATTTTAGTCGCCCTCCTCTGGACACATTCCAGCTTGTCAATATCTCTCTTGAATTGTGGTGCCCAGAATTGGACACAATATTCCAGGTGTGGTCTAACCAAGGCGGAATAGAGGGGTAGCATGACTTCCCTAGATCTAGACACTATGCTCCTATTGATGCAGGCCAAAATCCCATTGGCTTTTTTTGCCACCACATCACATTGTTGGCTCATGTTTAAGTTGTTGTCCACGAGGACTCCAAGATCTTTTTCACACGTACTGCTCTCGAGCCAGGTACCCCATTCTGTATCTTTGCATTTCATTTTTTCTGCCTAAGTGGAGTATCTTGCATTTGTCACTGTTGAACTTCATTTTGTTAGTTTTGCCCCATCTCTCTAATCTGTCAAGATCGTTTTGAATTCTGCTCCTGTCCTCTGGACTATTGGCTATCCCTCCCAATTTGGTGTCGTCTGCAAACTTGATGATCATGCCTTCTAGCCCTTCATCTAAGTCATTAATAAAGATGGTGAACAGGACCGGGCCCAGGACGGAACCCTGCGGCACTCCACTTGTCACTTCTTTCCAAGATGAAGAGGAAGCATTAGTGAGCACTCTCTGTGTTCGTCCACTTAACCAATTACAGATCCACCTCACGTAGTTTTGCCTAGCCCACATTGGACTAGTTTCCTTGCCAGAAGGTCATGGGGGACCTTGTCGAAGGCCTTACTGAAATCCAGGTACGCTACATCCACGGCATTCCCCGCATCTACCCAGATTGTAGCTCTATCGAAGAAAGAGATCAGATTAGTCTGGCATGACTTGTTTTTGATAAATCCATGTTGACTATTAGCGATGACTGCATTTGTTTCTAAGTGTTTGCAGACCGCTTCCTTAACAATCTTTTCCAGAATCTTGCCTGGTATCGACGTGAGGCTGACCGGACGGTAGTTGTTTGGGTCATCCTTTTTTCCCTTCTTGAAGATTGGGACCACATTGGCCCTCCTCCAATCTGCTGGAACTTCTCCGTTCTCCAAGAACTCTCAAAGATGGTTGCCAATGGTTCCGAAATGACTTCCGCTAGTTCCTTCAATACTCTGGGGTGTAGTTGATCTGGCCCTGGGGACTTGAACTCATTAAGAGCGGCCAGGTATTCCTGGACGACCTCTTTCCCAATTTGGGGTTGGATGTCCTCCAATCCCTCATCCACTCCATCTTGCTGAGGTTGAAGACTCTCTTTTTGTGAGAAGACCGAGGCAAAGAAGGCATTAAGTAGTTCTGCCTTTTCCCTATCCCCTGTCAGCATTGCCCCATCTTCTCCTCGAAGAGGTCCTATCTACACATCCAATTTATTTTAGAGCAACAGGAGCTAAAAGTAGTTTCTGGTTTAGTGAATTAGTGGATTCCAGACCCCAAAGTGAAAGTAATAACAAAACTACAGTACAACCAATATTCTCCTCTTTATATTTCAAATGTCTGCTTTCCCATAGTCTGTTCAATTCTAATAGATATTCTCCTATAGCTTAAGAGGAGAAGCAATGTGAGTTCAGACATCCCGCCACACAAGAAGAGAAAAGTGGACATATGCTTTTTATTCGTCAACAATAAACATCTGATTAATGGAACAATTTATGATATTTCCCCCTTTCCTATTCTCATGAGGAATGCCTGACACATGAAGCAAAACTTCTCATATTCAAAAAGACAGAAACGCTATTTGGAGTACAGGAGCTGACCTACCGTTTGTTCAGAGAGATTGATTCGAACAAGGCAATTTCCTGACGCTTTTGCCAAGGCAGCAACCAAACTTGTCTTCCCAACACCAGGAGAGCCTTCCAGGAGAATGGGCTTATTAAGCTGCAAGGCCCTCAGCAACCGCTGTGCATTCATGGCTGTTGTTCCTGCATTTAGAGCATAGTCGGAGACACAGTTCTTCTGGTAAAGTGGGCCTGCAACACAGAGAAAGACATTAAATGGAATTAGTTTCCAGACTAAGACCACAGCTACAATTCTTTTACTCCAAAAAGAGAAAGACGCATGGGAATTGTAACATAATGGTGCACTGTGGGGAGCTCCTTTTTCTATCCTGAATGCCTCATTCCATAAACACCTTCATTTGGATTATGACTTCAACTATCATTAAGTATACCATGATCAATGAGTATTTTCAGGACTCAGTGATCAGTCTCTCCCCATAAAGATATTTTGAGGTTATTCCAGACCTTCTGAAATCCTTATCTTATGCCTAAACATCAAAAAGAAATGTAATGCAAGTATTTTGGACTGCATATCGGAGACCCAGTTAGGCTCAATGGTTTCTCCTTGACATGTTGACTTTCTATTTGCAGGAAAAGTTGTTTTTACATGGGGATAGCAAAATTTAATGTGTAATTCATTAATTTGTTGTCAGTATCTTTGCAGGGAAAGAGTAGCAGGACTATATATTACACTAAGTAATAAAATTTGAAAAAAAAAATCTGTTCCTAGTTTGAAAGTGTTATTTCCTGTTTAATGGTGTGGTACTTACTTTGAAAGTAGTTGTTATACTCCAGACACTTCATTTTTGTGGCTGCCACAAACTATGTTGAATTAGTTGAGACTATATCAGATATTCATTGAAAATCTATAGCACAATGTGCTGCTGGATGTCCCGCAAAAAAAACACATTTCTGCAATTTAATACACTTTTTGCCATGTTTTTTATGTTAGAACAAATTAAGAAATTATATTTACAGCCCAGGAACACAAACCATGTTACATAGTGTTATCATTTCATACAACTGACAAATATCATTTCATCTCTCTTACATTCTGTGCTTAAATCATCTTTGCTCAAACCGTAGAAGAGAAAAACAATTCTTGCCTTTAGGTATATAAAATGGATGGATCCCTACATGGTCCTCCAGCCAAACCATTTCCCTCTCTCTCTCCAGATCATAAATTCTCAGTTCATTCCTCTGCTCTTCAGTGAGGTGCACAATTTTGGAGAGTTTTCCACACAAATATTCCAGGCATTTTTCACGAGCCGAAGCAGCTGAGCCAGTGGAACAGGACATCGTGCCTAGGTTGCAACAAAAAATATATAGTGAAAATAGTGAACTTTAAATGGCAGGAGTGTAGGTAATTGATAAGATGGTACTGGTCTTATAAGGCTTAGTCATAATCCACTCACTTCACTAAACATGACAAAACTAGTTATTTGCTTTTCTTTCAGGATTCAAATGTACTACTCTTATTCTTACTATCAAGTGACACCTTGCTGGGAAAGTCTGAAGATTTACCTGAGCCTATTCCATCGATGTATACTAGACATGCAGCATGGACAAAAGCCGTCACTGGCGAGATGTCAAGAAGCTGGCGCTCCTCAGAAGTATCGGGCAGCCCGTCTTCTGCCACAGCATTCATGAAGTTCACCCAGGACAAAATGTCCCGGATACTGAGAATACCATGGCGTCCAAATTCCTGATTCATCAGCCACTCTATGAAATCCATCATGAGTTTTGCTATATCTGCTCCTAACAGGGGAGGTGGAATGAATGGAGAGGAAAAAGAGAGAGAAAGAGCAGTCAGTTTATTTATTTCGCGCATTTGTACCCCATCCTTCTCACCCCCAGAGGAAGACTCAGGGTGGCTTTACAACAAGCAAGCATTAGATGCCTAACAAATACATTAAAATAGACCATTACAATAAAAACAGCAAATAAAAACAGCTATAAACATTCAATTTAAAAGAATTCAGCCTTACAACTAGAATATTAACTGTGTGGCTTAGAGTGCTGTCACACAGCCCTTTAACCCGTTGCTAGAGCTGGTTAAAATAACCATCTTTGGGAATGATTTCTTGTCTTACTTTAAAAGGACCATGGCCGCCAAAACTCTTCTCCTTTCTGTCAGTTTGTAAGTGCTTTTTAAAAGACCCTGTCCATAAATAGAGACTTTTCAAGACTTGTCTATATATTGGAGCTTTATTAGAGGAATATAATAAAAAGTCACAAACACCTTTAAATATTCAAGTGCTGCCCAAAAAACAGGAAGGACTCTACTTTTAAAATATCAGAAGGCACAAGAACGTGAATTAAACAAGTTTTTAGATTACGGCACTGTGTATAGATTTTCCAACTCTAGAATTTAGGCAATCATAAAGGCTTACCTACAAGCAAATCAAGCATTCCATTTGATCTGGGAAGAAACAGCCTAAGAGGCATCCTTCAGCCATCTAAGATTCCAAGAGTCTAGGCCTGGCCTCTATGCTACAATCAACGATGCCTTACACAGTCCATATATTGAAGACAGAAAATAATACTACACAAAATTTCCAGTTTATATAGATCCAGTCCCTCCCTCTCCAAAAATCCAAGGCTCCAGAATTAATGCAGTTTGATACTACTTCAAGCACAATGGCTCAAAGTTAGGCAACCCTGGGGAATGTAGTTTGGTGAAGCACCAACACAATTTGGCAGAGAAGGCAAAAACATGTAAAACTACTACTTCCATGATTATACATCACTGAACCACAGTAGAGTGGTATCAAAATGGGTTCATCTACAATGTAGATGAACCCAAAGCGCTTGGCTGTATGGTTAAACAGCAATGCGTTAAATTCCGTGTGCCGGCTGAACTGCTGACCTGAATGTCAGCGATTCAAATCCGCAAGATGGGGGCAGGACCCATCTGTCAGCTCCAGCTTCTCATGCAGGGACATGAGAAAAGTATCCCACAGGATGGGAACACATCCGGGTATTCCCTGGGCAAGGTCTCTGCATATGGTCAATTCTCTCACACCAGAAGCGACTTGTGTGCCCTTCCTACCAACAAAACATTCATAGAGGGCCTCTAGTGATTAGACACTGAAATGTCTGTAGTGCACATAATAAATTCCCGCTGCCTCAATACTTCACCACTTAATCCATATTTGTATTCATTAGTGTCCCTTCACATGCACAGATTGGTAGTCTTCCTTTTACTCACTAGCCTTCTTCTGACAAGATTCAGCAAATTAAAAATCAATGAATTTTTGCACCTTAAATTCTGCGAAATTAAATAGACAGGACCTTCAGGATCTCCACTACCTTTGCCAAAAGAAATAAAGTCCCTAGAGATGTAATAGTGCAATTTGATAGGAAAAGAACACGTGATGAAGTTCTCAAGAAGAACAGCGAGACACCAACCTTCTCCAATGGAAACAGAGTGATCATTCTAAAAGAGCACCCCATGTCTACTCTTAGTAAAAGAAGAAAATATTTTTTCCTGACGGACGAACTAAAAAAACTCCAAATTAGGTTTAGATGGGAAAAATCCGAAGGTCTAATTGTTACCTACAAAGAACAAAATATTGGCTTACTTCTGAAGAAAAGGCACGGGATTTTTATAAGAAATTGAAGAAAGGCAACGAACAAAAGACCACCAACGAACCAAATGAGACAAGAACAACGAAGAAACGCCGCCACTCCTCACCAGATTATACCAAAGCAACAACCAGCAGAGACTCCCAGCAGCCAAACAATACCGAAGAAGGCAAAATTACCCCGGATGAGATACCTTTTAATAATAAAAATGACGATGAATGATATACAAATAGAAATAAAGTGCTTCTCAAATAATATTAACGGACTCAACTCATTGTCTAAAAGGAAAAAGGTCTTTAATTACCTTAAAAGAGCTAAATATGATCTAGTGATGTTACAGGAAACCCATATAAGACAGAAACACGCATCACATTTGACAAATAAAAACTTAGGTAAAGAATTTTACTCTCTGGTAACTGAAAAAAAAAGAGGGGTGGTTACATATGTAAAAGAGAATATACCAGCCGAACTCGCCTTTAAAGATCAGGATGGCAGAATAGTGGGGGTAAAGCTAAGAATAGGAGGGTCAACAACCTTAGTTTGTAACATATATGCCCCAAACGGTCCAAAGGCCAAATTCACAGAGACATTAAAGCAACTCATAGAAGAACAAAACTTTGATAACCTGATCATCTTTGGGAATTTCAACGGTGTTCTAGATATAGACGCAGACAAAAACCCCAAAAAGAAAAACAGGAAAAAAGAAGAAATCAGCACACTCCCAAAATCTCTGCTAAAATTGAAAGATGAATTCGACCTACAAGATACCTGGCGAACACACAACCCAACAAAAAAGGATTATACATTTTTCTCCAATAGACATTTAAGCTGGTCCAGGATCGATATGGCCTGGACCTCAAAATCTCTAACCTCCAAAATAAACCAAATAAAAATTCTGGCCAGAAACCACTCAGATCATGGCCCAATAGAAATGAAAATTAACCACAGAAATAATACAAGAAGATGGAGGCTAAATGATAACTTACTTAAAAAAGAGATAGACATTAAAAAAACAAAGGACTGATAAAAGAATACTTCGAGAAAAACATCACACTGGATGTAAAACCAGAGACAATTTGGGACGCCCGCAAAGCAGTTATGCGAGGCCACTTTATCCAGCAAACGGCAGCCAAAAACAAACAACACCGACAAAAACAGCAAGAAATACAAACAAAAATAAACAGGGAAAAAAACTTAAACAAAAACCAAACGATAGACAGGCAGCCCAAAACCTGGATACACTGAAAAAGCAAAAACATCATTTAGAGATAGAACAAATGGCCAAAGAATTAAAATTTATCAAACAAAAAAACTTCCAAAATGCAAACAAACCGGGTCGTTGGCTTGCTAGGAAGATAAGGGAAAAAAAACAAGTGAACTTTATAACCAGAATCAAAGTAGAAAACAACACACTAGTGTCGGAAGAGGACATCAAAGACGAATTCTTTAAATTCTACACAAAATTGTACGGCAAAGACCAAATCAAAAAAGAAGACATCACGAACTTCCTGGGAAAACAAAAACTGGACAAAATATCAGAATACCATAGAGAAATATTAAATAAAGAGATAACCGAGGATGAGATAAAGAAAGCGATAAAGAACCTCGATGGGAACAAGGCACCAGGGCCAGATGGCCTGACAGCAGGATTTTACAAAGTAATGAAGGAGGAGATAACACCATTCCTCAAGATACTGATGAACCGTGTACTAACCGGAGAGAACATCCCGGATACCTGGAAAGAAGCCGTTATCACACTGATATACAAAGAAAATACAGATGAGATTGACGTCCGGAATTACAGACCAATATCGCTACTCAACATCGACTATAAGATTTTTGCGAATATTCTAGTGGAACGGCTCAAAGTATGGCTGAAAGAATGGATCGGAGAAGACCAAAGCGGATTTCTACCAGAGAGACACATTAAGGACAACGTGAGAACGGTCATAGATCTAATAGAATTTTACGAGACCAACCATCAAAAAGAAATAGCCTTCCTTGTGTTAGACGTGGAGAAGCCGTTCGACAACCTTAACTGGGATTTTTTAAAACTCCTAATAGAGGAAGTCGACATTGGTTTTCATTTCAACAATGCAATTAAGGCAATTTACGAAACACAAAACGCGAAATTATGGATAAATGGCCAACTGACGGAGAGCTTTCAAATATTATAAGGCACAAGACAAGGATGCCCCCTCTCGCCCTTAATCTTCATCCTTGCCATCGAGATACTAATGAGAAATATAAGGACAGACCAGGAACTGTTAGGACCAAAGGTAGGAAAACAAACATACAAAATAAAAGCCTTCGCGGATGATCTAATTTGCTTCGTAGAAGAACCGAGAGACAACATCAAGAAATGGCTGAATAAAATTGAAGAGTTTGGCAATCTGGCCAGCCTCAAAATAAACAAGAAAAAAACAACGATCTTAACGAAAAACATCTCCAAATCAAACCAAGAAAAACTAGAGAAAATAACAGACATGAAAACTTCATCCAAAATCAAATACCTAGGAATCCAAATTACAGCCAAAAACTCTCAATTAATGAAGAACAACTATGAATCACTGTGGTCGGACATCAAAAAAGACCTATCCTCCTGGAAAAGTTTAAAACTATCATTACTGGGCAGGATTGCAACAATCAAAATGAATATACTGCCAAGATTCCTATACCTGTTCCAAATTATGCCAATCATCAGAAACAACAAAACATTTGAAAAATGGAACAAGGACATTCTACGATTCGTATGGGAAGGGAAAAGGCCCAGAATAAAAATCAAACACCTGATAGACAGCAAAAAAAGAGGAGGTCTCGGCCTGCCAGATCTTAAATTATACTTCGAAGCGTGCGGGTTATCCTGGCTAAAAGATTGGATCACGCTTAAAAGAGAGAAAGTATTAGCTCTGGAAGGGTTCGACCTACGCGTCGGATGGCACGGCTACCTCTGGTATGAGAAGACAAAAGTAGAGAAGAACTTTAAAAATCATTTCGTAAGAGCGGCACTGATCAGGATTTGGGAGAAATACAAGAACCACTTTTACACAAAAACACCGACTTGGATCTCACCCCTAGAAGCGAGCCAAAGGAGACTACTAGGCTGGTCGGAATGGCCAAAATACAGCGACCTACTAATGAAGAAAGAAGGGAAAATACATCTAAAACCACGAGAGGAGATAACAATTCAACACAAAAACATTACCTGGTTCCAATTCTTACAAATCAAAGAACACTTTAACAAAGACTCAAAGATAGGATTTACAGATAAGGAAGACTTCTGGGAACCCCTGATAAAGAACGGAAAGAAAATCATAACCAAGATCTACTCAAAACTACTAGAATGGTCACCTGAGACTGAATTAATAAAGGAATGTATGATCAAGTGGGCCAGAAACATTGGAAGACCAATAAACATAAGAGAATGGGAACAAACATGGAAACTGAAACTAAAATACACGTACTCATCTGACCTGAAAGAGAATTGGTACAAAATGTTCTTCCGATGGCACATGACCCCACAGAAACTTGGACTAATGTATAAAAACACCCAAAACAAATGCTGGAAGTGCCAAACCCAAGTGGGAACATATTACCACATGTGGTGGTCATGTACTAAAGCTAGAAAATACTGGAAATACTGGAAAATACTGGAAAACAATACAGGAGGCCTCTCAGAAGATCCTGCAAACAACAATACAATTAAAACCAGAATACTTCCTTCTCGGCATTACGGACGAAGACATACCGCTCGAAAGAAATAAAGACAAACTATTCACCTTCCTGACAACAGCAGCAAGGACAACATACACCAAGAAGTGGAAACTAAAGGAACTGCCAACCAAAGAAGAATGGGAAGCTAAGGTTTCTGAAATAATGGACATGGATTTATTAACATACTATCTTAAAGACCCAGAGGGCAAGCCAATAAACCCAACAGACTGGACCCTCTTCAAAAATTACATGGAATCACAACGAAACCCACAAAGACTTGCTACCCCCAGTGAGTACAAGTGACAGAAATGAAAACAAGAAATCAGAGACTTGGAAAGTCCAAAAAAGAAGTGACTAATATTGAACAAAAACGCGCCACCAGAGTGATGACCAACACTACCCAGGGAAGATAAAGGCGGAAGTCAACAAAAAGAAACAGTTTCTAAACTATTCTTTTAACTGTCATATATCTGTCCCTTTTCCGCCTTTTTTCTCTCCCACTACTTCCCCCCCTTGCTTCTCATCCTCCCCCCCCTTTTTTTCCCCTCGCCATCCCCCTGCTTCTTCATTGCCCCTATTCTTGACGCTCGAATGCGTCCATCCCCTACCCCCAAGCCTACCCTTGCCTACCCCCACACCTATCCACTATCTTCCCTTTCCTCTTTCTAAGAATTCTAGTGTTTTTAAATGTTTGTAAACAAAACTACAATAAACATATTTAAAAAAATTCTGTGAAATTAGGATATAAAATATCCTCTTATACTGTATTTATATACAAAATAGTTCAACTTCACAATTGCAATCTGGAGCATCTAAAATGCACAGACTGAACATAGGAATTTGTTGGCCTTGCTACCAGATCTTGCTACCAAACTTTAAATGGCACATCACATTAAACCTGGATGACATTTCTACATTTGCTAATTGTGGCTGTGCAACAAGTACAAGATGCACTTGTGCCTTCTCTAGCAAGACTTACCCAACAAGAATACCTTACTGCTTAGAGGAAATAAAAAATACTACTGTTAACAGCTGCTACTCACTTTTCAGTTTTTTGACTAGGACTGAAACTGATTTCTTAGAAGAGAAGCTTTTTGAAAAGGAAGCCCTACTGGGATTCAGGAGAGACAGAAAGGGAAGCTGCCTGTTTGAATGACTGCTGTCTGTTCCAAAACAGATACTGTAAAAAGCTTCAGAGAGAAACTACTTCACTGACTTGGAAAGTGTTTTTTAACAGTTTTGTAAGAGCTACTGGCTGCTACATTCTTTCCAGAGACATAAAAAGGGGAACTGGTTTAGTAATGCTATTTTCTCCTATTCTCTTTCTGTCTTACAGGCACACAAATAATGCTACATGAACTACCAGAACAAAGCATACCAAGAGGTTATATCCTTTTTAATCTTCTGGCTGCAGGCTGCTAGGAAAGCAAAATTATAACTAAACCAGGTATGGAGCAGAAAGTCATAGGCTGGTCCTACACTGTGATATAGTCCAGTTTCAGAATGCAGATTAACTAGATCGAAGTGGATTATATGGCTGCATCCACACTTCCATATAGTCCAGTTTCAGAATGCAGATTTACTGCTTTGAACTGGATTATGACAGTGTAGACTCATAATCCAGTTCAAAGCAGTTAATCTGCATTCTGAAACTAGATTATATAGCAGTGTAGATGCAGCCATAGAATCTGAGAGACTACCTCAAAGAGGGAATTGTCGGAGATATAAATTTACAAGGTCTTTATCCTTCTCTGTCAAAGAATGCTGGGACTTCAGCAAACTACAACACCTAGGTTTCCACAGTACTGAATCACAGAAGTTAAAATGGTATCAAACTGCATTAATTCTACAGTGCAGATGTGTCCCTTGACATTATGAATAAAAAACTTCAACTATACGGTGACATCTAGAATTTTGTGTATTGCTTGTCATTGCTTCCCTAGCCATGGATACTGGTGTAGCCTTAGCACACTATTGCCCTTCATGAGGAATGATAAATAAATGGTCCCCAGCAATAAAAAAGAGCAAATGAGATCCCTGGCATGCTCTTCATAGTTTTGATTAATATTGGAACTCTAACTATAAAAAAGAAGGTAGTAATTTCACACTTATTAAACACATTTCCAGGAGATTTACCTTTGTCATTTGTCCTGGTCAGGGAAAGCCCAGGATGAAGATTATGCCTTACAATCTGCATTAAATCCTCACGGCTGTTACTCTGCGGACACCATATTTCTGTGAACCTATTACGTAGGGCAGGTGACAGCTGTGGGAAAGGAAATAGAACAATTGTCACATCATTACAGATAACACTCAGAAGTACATTTAAAAATCCTTCTTGTTCATGAAACTGAATGGATTTTAAAAGGAGAGGGAAATGACAATGTGTCAAGACACTATGCTAAGTGAATGGCAACACATCAGCTTCTACAAGACGGAAAAATAACATCTCAGACTTAAAGTAGATCACCATGGCTAATGTGTCAGCTCAACAAAATCCTCAGTATAGTTTCCAGGACTCCGGCATAAAAATAGTTTAATTTATCCTCAGAACGCAACATAGCTGTTTAAAGTAGATTTAAAGGCATTTTTGGTCTCCAAACATAGCAGATTACAGTCCCAAACCTATAGAAAAATCAAATGAACTAATCTTTTTTGTCAATTACTGAATTCTGTGGTTGCATATTGAACTGTGATTATACTATTCCCCAAACGCTTGGTTTCCACAGCCAAGTTTTAACTTTCTTTCTAAAAACTAGGAGGGAGGAAGCTGATCTGATATTGCTAGGGAGGGAGTTCCACAGCCGAGGGGTCACCACTGAGAAGGCCCTGTCCCTTGTCCCCACCAGCTGCACCTACGCGGGGGGGGGGGGGGGGGGGGGGGGGGGGGGGGGGGGTTGGGACCGAGAGCAGGATCTCCCCAGAAGATTGTGATGTCTGAGCTGGTTCATGGGGGAGATATGTTCAGAAAGATAAGCTGGGCCAGAATAGTTTAGGGCTTTATTTATTTATTTACATTATTTCTATCCCGCCCATTTAGCCCGAAGGTGACTCAGGGTAGTTTACACAGTCGGCACAATTCGATGCCGAAACAAAATACATACATTAATAAAGCAAAAGCATTAAGTGCAATTAAACATAAACGACAGTGCATAATAACAATTTAAAAAGAAACTATGTCCTCTGTTCAAATCTTTATCTGTTACATTGTCTTGGCCGTTCCTGGGTCAATTTCCAACTCTAGTTTGTCTGTTTACTCCAGAATGCTTGCTCAAAGAGCCAAGTTTTTACTCTTTTTCGGAAAGTCAGGAGGGAGGGGGCTGATCTAATATCCCTGGGGAGGGMGTTCCACAGCCRGGGRGCCACCACAGAGAAGGCCCTGYCTCTCRTCCCYGCCAGACGTGCCTGYGAAGCAGGCGGGATCGAGAGCAGGGCCTCCCCAGACGATCTTAGGTTCCTGGGGGRTTCGTAGGGAGAGATGCRTTCAGATAGATAGACTGGRYCAGAACYGTTTAGGGCTTTATAGGCTAAAGCCAGCACTTTGAATTGAGCCTGGTAGCAGACTGGCAGCCAGTGGAGCTGATTCAACAGGGGAGTTGTATGCTCCCTGAGCCCAGCTCCTGTTAGCAACCTGGCTGCCGCACGCTGGACTATTTGAAGCTTCCGGGCCGTCTTCAAAGGCAACCTCACGTAGAGTGCGTTGCAGTAGTCTATATGGGATGTAACCAGAGCTTGGACCGCTGTGGCCAAGTCTGGCTTCTCAAAGTACGGATAGATCAGGAGGGTGCAAAATTACACTTAAACAGCTGTTCGCAATGTAATCTGTCATGTTAAGAACCAAAATGGGCCCCTGATCCTTAGATGTGGCTCACTCTTGTAGTAATACACAACTCATGAGACTCTCTAGATCAGTGGTTCTCAACCTGGGTCCCCAGATGTTTTTGGCCTACAACTTCCAGAAATCCCAGCCAGTTTACCAGCTGTTAAGATTTCTGGGAGTTGAAGGCCAAAAACATCTGGGGACCCCAGATTGAGAACCACTGCTCTAGATGTTACTGGCCTCCAAATTCCATCAGCTCCAGTACTCCTACTGGGACTTACAGTTCAACAACATATATGGCACATATGATTCTCACTCCAACCTACAAGGTCACATACATTACAGTATTCAGTTACAGCAACCAAAACCAAACAGAATGGCATTACCTCTTTCTTTCCAAAGTCACCACCAGGATTCATTGTAGCTAGAATACGGAACCTTTTTCCTGCAGTTAGCAATTCAACTTCATTCTCCTCACTTCCTTTTTCTGCTAGCACGAGTGTCTTTTCTGTTTCAAGAACACTAGGAGAAAATAAAACCCAACATATCCTTTCAGTGTGCATCCAGACATAAATACAATCAGTAGAAACTTGTTAAGACAACCCCAATGACAAACAGATCAGTTAACTCAAGAATTATGTATTCCTAACAATCAGAATCTGGCATTGAATCTAGCCGGAGTTGTAAGCCGCCGTGAGTCTCCCTGAGGGGGTGAGGAAAGTGGGGTATAAATGAAGCAAATAAATAATAATAAGTAAGTAACGTATATACTCATGTATAAGTCAACATCATATGTAAGCCAAGGGCAGGATATGGAGCCAAAAATATGGATTTTGATATGACCCATGGATAATCAGAGGGGGAAACACCAATGCTCCCTGAGAGTGGCAGCCATCTCCACCCACCCTGGCCTCCACACCAGTTCCTTTCCCAGGAATTATAAAGGCCAGATATTGTGCTACAGCATGGAAAGTATAGTGGGTCTCTGTTTCTTTTAGGTTCTCCCAGAATGGACTAAGCTGTTGCTTTTCACCACTGTTCAGAGAAGGGAATAGTTGATTTTTTGATAGGAGTTAAGATACAATATTCCCATTGATCCCTGGATAAGTCAACCCTGTTTTTTAGGGAGACTGTTTTTTTTCACCAAATTTTCTAGACCTATACATTCCTAGCCCCTAGTGGCACAGCAGGTTAAACTGCTGAGCTGCAGAACTCGCTGCCCAAAAGGTCAGCGGTTCGAATCCGGGGAGTGGGGTAAATTTCCGTTGTTAGCCCCAGCTTCCGCCAACCTAGCAGTTCAAAAACATGCAAATGTGAGTAGATCAATAGGTGCTGCTTTGTTGGAAAGGTAACAGCACTCCATGCAGTCATGCCGGTCACATGACTTTGGAGGCATCTATGGACAACACCAGCTCTTTGGCTTAGAAATGGAGATGTGCACCACCCCTCAGCGTCGGACACGGCTAGACTTAATGTCAAGGGAAACCTTTACCTTTTATACATGAGTATATAGCAGGCATGGGCAAACTTTGGCCCTCCAGATGTTCTGGACTTCAACTCCCACAATTCCTAACAGTTGTATTTCTGACTACATATAAAAGAAAATGGAAAAAGGCTGCTCTCCTTTTTTCTATTATTATTATTATTATTGTTATTATTGTTTTTATATTACTCATTTATATTCTTACTTTCTCTCAAAAATGAGATTCAAGGCAGTTAACAATACGGATTAAAATTATACAATAATGTCAATAAAAATTTAAATAAAAATTATTTTTAAACAATTTAAGAATTTATAAAGTTTACAACCATTGTAGAAACTATAAACCAATTATAAAAACAACACTACAGGGCATTAAGAAACTATGCCAGGTCAGTTTCTAAAAGCCTAATGTCATAAAGTTATGTATTGTAGTTTGTCAGCATAAGGAGACTGAGGATGGAGCTATCCTGACCTCATTATGGGGTCTCAAAGTCTGGGCACAGGTAATGAGAAGGCTCCTCCATTGTTTTCTAGCATCTTCTGAGAAGATGGTGGGAAAGGGCTCTGCAGAAGATCTTATGGGCCTTCAACAGCATACCTGTTAAGTCTTTCCAGAACAGAATCATCTGCCAATGAAATCTCATCCATAAGAAAAAAGCCATCCTCCCTCATTGCTAAAACAAGGGCGCCGTCATGCCATTCAAACAGCCTAGAACTGTCAAGTCCCTCCTACATGAAAGAAAAGGAAAAACATATATGTTCCAATCAAAAACAAATAGACAACAAAAAGAAAAAGAAAAAGCTTTCCATTGGACCAGATACCTTATTTTCAACTGACCTTTTCCTTTGATCTCTGCCTGACTGGTCGCAGTCCTCCCAGGAAATCTGAGGTCTCCATGTGCAAATGGCAGTTCACTGAAAACAGTTTCTGGTTTGCCAAAGCAGCAAATATTTGGCAAATAGTAGTTTTGCCACACCTGTGAAATTAAAATATGTACAGTTACATTCTAGCTAAGGGCCTTTTGCCCTGTGTCCCAAAGTCCAGTCTGGAAAAAGATATGGATCACAAAGAATAATTTACCCAGTGTCTCCAACCAGAAGTATCGGTTCACCAAACTCTACTGCTCGGCCTGCCAAAATCGCAAGTCTTCTCATCCCTTGGGTCCATACAATGTGGCTAAATGTGTCATTCATTACAGTCATCCATGTGGATGCTTTGGCTGGTTCAAAAAGAGTCAGAACAGGCACACAGTCATACAATGAACAAAAAAAACTCAATTGGCTTTTATTAAAACATTTTAATTATTTCAATTAGCTTTTATTAAAACATTTAAAATACATTATTTGCTGTTACCAAATTGCTTCTTGACACTTTCTTCTGAGAAAAGATGCTGGGGATGCAACTTCCTTTTAAAATGTTTTTCAACAACAGCTTGAATAACATCCACTTCTTCTTGTTTCCTGACTCTTCCTGCCAGAAGCATAAATCCTAAGAACAAAAAGATGAAATGAAACAAAAATCTGGATAACATATGTTTTACTGAATTGGATTTGAGAACCTTAAGTTTGAATACTGTATAAGCTGAAAAACGAACAGAACATCTCACCATCATTTGCTAAATGCTGGAGCCAGTCGTAGTTCTTCTCCGCCTGCGTTGCCAATCTGTACCTTTCGCCCCAACGAAAGAGATCCCGGAGAGTAATGAATCCATGCTTGCCAGCAAACACTGAGGAACCTCTGCGATAAGACTAGATTACAGGGACATAAAAGTAAGTACACACTACTAAAGCACAATCTTTCTTTCACACTGTGCTAGCTGTAACTCTCACTGTTCAATGGGATTTCTAAATAGCTATATCACCACTACATGGTCCAATTTTCACCATTTATTGGTTTATGTCTCCCCTTGTTCACAGTAAGTCAAGGCAACTATGTTCAAGCAGGTGCCACCAATCTCCAGTAACTTAAAACATCCTGACAAGTATCATAGGAATTACTACACTGCTCAGAAATTCTCTAAGGCATAACAAGTGAGGACACATATTTGTTTGGCTGCCACAGCTCCTTTACTAAGTATGCAGTGTACCTGCTCTAAAAAGGTAGCATTTACAAAATAAGACTTGGCACTATTGCACTCCAGGCTAGGAAACAGCTCTGTACTTAACCATGAATGCAAGGAAACCAGGAAATACAAGGCAGCATAAAATCCAATACAAAAACTCTAGGAAGAATCCTTCAAACTTGTAAGCATGAAACAGGAGTAAAGACATGAAACTAGAATTCCCTCAAAAAGCTTGACTAGGACTTGGCATGAGCTGTTGTCTCAATTACCAACGTTGACCAGACTGGCCAGGAAACGATCACGGCCTCTCTAATAAAGACATGAAGTCATGCCTCCTCCCATGAATTTCTGCTATGGGTTTCTTCTGTAAGAGGTGCTGTGACCTTTGGAGGTTCTGCTGAGCAGCCTGAAGTTTTTGAAAACTAAGCCTCCTATCTACCACCTCATTATCTTGTAACTCATTATTTTCTACACCTAGGATTTCAGTCTCTGAACTATTTTCCCTAGATAAAAGCTCCTCTGCACTATGTGGAATGTAATCTTCACTGACTATTGGAGGTACAGACTGCTCATGTTCAGGACTTAAAATCTCATGATGACTCGCAGGCCCAGAATCCCTATTACCTACGTCCACATAAACATGAATACCAGGCACAGTCATGGGCTGAACTGCAACAGTTACCATCAATGCTCTCGTCAAACACAAGCTTTGAATCTACTTTAATAATCTATTCAATTTGTTAGCTTTAAAAAAGGAGAAAAGGAGTAATGTCAGTACCTGCAGTTCTAACATAACTTTGACAAGTTTAGTGCAGTACGAAGGAGGAAGCCTACATCCATCATGCAAAATGGTTTCTAATTCTGTGCTTGGTAATTCATCGAAATGCAGCTCCACAAATCTGTTCCTGAAGGCTCTTGACAATACCTTAAAACAAAAATTTAAATACATCACCAAAATAACTTAGGGGAGGGGAGGAAGACATGTTAGCATACTGTAGTATTCATTACCATGCTAAAGGCTAAGACAATTTATTAGGCGTAGACCTCCATGCACTGCAGTCCATTTAATCTAAATCTAACGAAGTGCCCAATAGTGTAAACATTATACACCAAATAAAACCCATAATTCCTTAAGGTGTGACATAATTCTTTGTTATAAGTAAAATAGAACAATGAATAGATACGTAACTTACTTATATAAAGAAGCATACATCTTTTTTGGCTACTTTAGGACACCAGGTTCACTCTAAATCAGGATGGGCAACTGGGTGAGGAAAGGAGACTATGTTTTGGCTACAGTAAGTTATGTCATGCCACCTCTGAGTACCATTTACAGCCATTTTGTTTGCAGCATTGGATTGAGTTTTGGGGATATGTAAACAACTCTTAGGGGTTTTTTTTAGTGTTAGGGGGGCTTTGGGGGCCATTTTCTAATTTTAAAATGATCCAGCAATGGTACATGGGGATTTCACCATCAAGGTCCAGTCTTACCAAAGAGAAGGTTCACATCCAGGAATGGGTTAATGCCTGCTGTCCAGGCAATCCCATTCATGGATATGACATCATCTTAGCTGAAATTTTTGCTAGCTGCAGACTCCTAGTTCCTCTGCTCAATTCCACACAAAAACCAGAAACAGAACTAAAAGCATAGAATAAATATCTTGCCACCGAGAGTGTGATATTAGAGGTCTCTTTCTCTTTGGGAATAATGGACTTTTACTGTAAATCTGCAATGTACCATTCTCTCTTGGAGGAGGAGAAGCAATTCAGAAATGGGACCTACTCAAGCCTCAGCCTGTGTTAGAGGGGAAAGGCAGCAAAGGAGTCCAATCTGAAATAGTTATATGGCAACCACTAGCTGGAGTACTTTTGCTGAAAGAGGCAAAACTGCAACCCAAAGTGTTTAGTGATGGCAGAATAACCTGTAAAATCTCTTCCCAAGGGTCTGTGGTTGAATATGCCACCAAAGTTAGCGCCGGGAAGGGGGGGTTGGTTTGATTTGTGGCTCAAATTTTCTGGAACTGGTTGGGGGCAGAGATATATCAAAAATTATTACACTGGCCAACACATGTTTTGGTACCTCAAACATTAGAGCTGTCTCTGGGTATATCTGATCTGCTGATTTCAAAAATAGTACCAGTTTTCCCCTATCAGCACTAGTTTTTGAGACACCTTAATATATGCCATATACTAGTCTTTATTTGCTTGCCCATAAAAATAATGATAACCATATCAAAGAAACTACGGCAATGCAATTTTCTGAATCAGCACCCCAAATAACCTCCTAAAAACCAAGAAACCAATATGTATTTTTGTTGGGCTGGTTGGCAAAAGACGTGTGTCATGGTCTCATACCTTTCTGCCTCCATAAAGTCCTGGAGGATTCTGTGTAGCAAACAGCATGAATTTTGGATGAGCTTTAACTGTTTCTTGGGTCTCCGTAATGAATAGCTCTCTGTTGTCATCTAGCAATCTATTCAGGGCCTCCAAAACATCAGTGGGTGCCAGATTCAGTTCATCCAGGATTATCCAGTAGCCCTTCCTCATTGCATCAATGAGAATGCCTTTCAAATGATTAAAACAATAATCATTAAAATAGCTAGCATAACATAGGTATATTCTTCATTGAAGAAGCAGTTGAAAAATCCTGAGAACTATCTTTCACTTGTACAAATATTGAGAACCAATAAATATTGAGAACCAATAAATGCTGAAGTATGGTTTTCATACAATATTGCTTTTGCAGCAAAAGAACAAGCAAAATGACCAAGAGCTGAAGCAACACTCCAATCAAAAGTCATTAAGGTAAAAGGAAAGGTTTTCCCTTGACATTGTCTAGTTGTGTTCGACTCTGGGCGGTGGTGCTCATCTCCATTTCCAAGGTGAAGAGCTGGTGTTGTCCATAGATGCCTCCAAGGTCATGTGACTGGCATGGAGTGCTGTTACCTTCCCAGCAAAGCAGCACCTATTGATCTACTGACATTTCCATGTTTTTGAACTGTTAGGTTAGCAGAAGCTGGGCCTAACAGTGGGAGCTCACTCCTCAGATTTGAACCACCAACCTTTCAGTCAACAAGTACAATAGCTCAGTAGTTTAAGCCACTGTGCCACTAGAATTCCTCATTGCTAATTCTGACTTTTAGTTTAATTATTTTGTGTACAATTACAGCATTTGAAAATGTACAGTATATTCTGGTGTATAAGACTACTTTTTAACCCAAGAAAATCTTTTCAAAAGTCAGGGGTTGTCTTATACGCAGGTGTAGTCTTATGCATGGGAGTCGTCTTGACTCTATATTTTAACTGGGAAAGTTGGGGGTCGTCTTATACGCCCAGTCGTCTTATATGCCGGAATATACGGTAAATACCACTTTCCAGTAGAAAATAACTCAATTTTTAAATGAAAGATTACAAGTAGCCTCTAGAGCAGGGGTCCCCAAACATTTTGAACAGAGGGCCGGGTCACAGTCTCTCAAACTGTTGGAGGGCCGGATTATAATTTGAAAAAAAAACATGAATGAATTCCTATGCACTCTGCACATATATTATTCGCAGTGCAAAAAACCCCAAAAAAATCAAAAAAACAAAAACCCACACATCTACATAAATAAAAATGTAATGTTCGTTTGTGGGATTAACAGAACTCAAAAAACACTGGATGAATTGACACCAATTTTGGACACAAGACACCTAACAATCCAATGTATGTTCTTCACTCAAAAAATTGATTTTGTCATTTGGGAGTTGTAGTTGCTGGGATTTATAGTTCATCTACAAACAAAGAGTATTCTGAACCCCACCAGCGATGGAATTGAACAAAACTTGGCACACAAAACTCCCATGACCAACTGAAAATACTGGAAGGGTTTGGTGGGCAGTGTCCTTTGGTTTGGGAGTTGTAGTTCATCTACATCCAGAGATCATTGTGGACTCAAATAATGATGGATCTGGATCAAACTTGGCACAAATACTCAATATACCCAAATGTGAACACTGGTGGAGTTTGGGGAAAATAGAATCTTGACATTTGGGAATTGTAGTTGCTGGGGTTTATAGTTCACCCCTAGCAGCAAGACCCCCCCCCCCCACGCAGATAGAGAATGGGGTCTTGCTGCTGGTGCTCCTCCTGGCTGCTGCTCCTTCTAAGCAGCGGCCCCGTCTGCGGAGCAGGACGTGGAGCAGAATCCTCTCTCCCCGCCGCAGCACGCAGCGCAATCCGGGGCGCATCCCAGAGTGTAGACGCTGCAGGGCTCCCCCGGCGTGCGCGCCAGCCCCGCACAGCCCTTGGCCTCCAAGCACAAGGACAACACCTTGCAAGCAGAGCCTCGGGCAGCAGCAGCAGCAAGAAGCGGGCAAGCAGCCGTCGAGGCCACGGGGAGCAGCAGCAGCAGCAGGATGAAGAGCAGCGCAAGCATGGCGAGGGAGAAAGAGAAGTCCTTGCGGCGTGCGGCAGCTGCAGCAGCAGCAGCCACAACAGCGGGGCCCTTAAATGCCTGGTCCGGCCCCCATCAGCCAGCCTCCTTCCAGGTGCAGCCCGCCACTTCGCCCCCAGCCTCCCCCGTTCTCCAGCCTTTGGGATAAGGCCAGGCTTTTCCCCGGAGGCAGGAGAAGCGAAGCCTGAGGCGGGGGGCGAAGCGGCTTTGACGCCGCTTCGCACCCCACTTCTCAACCTTCTCCACACCCCGCGGGCCGGATAAATGCCCTCGGGGGGCCGCGTCTGGCCCGCGGGCCTTAGTTTGGGGACCCCTGCTCTAGAGATTGGATGTGACTCTTAGCACACATTTTCCACATCCTGATTTATGACTAATAAATCATCACCAAACACAGGGTTCATCAAATCAACTCAATTGAAGTCTCCCTCAAATCCCCCTCCTTCTAAGGCTGCCAATCCTATTCACCAGAAAGTAAAATTTTACAAATTCACTCATTTTGTACAGACATGCACAGAACTGGAAACATCACCACATCTGTCACACAACCCTTCTCTCCCCAACTCTACAGTACTTACTCGCCTGCAACTTTCGCTGCCTGCTGAAAACCATGACTAGTCTGAAAGCACACGTGCCACCCATGCAAGAGGAGGTAAGTGGGCAGATAATGGGGCAACTACAGAACTTGGGCTGGCCAGTGACTTAAGGCAGCCATAGCCTCACATTCCTCTTCCCCTTTTGTGTACATGCTGCTTCACCAAACCTCTTCCTTCCCCCTTCCAGTTCAACAGAAGGCAGTGGAGCAATCTGCTAGTAAAGAATCCATAATGTTACAATTAAAATGAGAAAGGGAGTTTCCTCAAAAAGAAAAATAACTCAAAATGGTGCCAGTAGTACTGCTATTATCCACCCAAGGTCGGTGGTAACCCATGTGTTAAACAACAATGCTAAAGAAAAGGGATCCTCTGTTTCTATGGGAAACAGAAGGAGGGGTGGGAAGAGTCCTGGTTTTAACAAGATCGACTAAGAGGTTAACATAATTAATGAACACAGCTTTACCTTCTTTAAATATCAACTTCCCAGACTCATCTGATGTATAACAGCCAATATACTCTTGGATGTCAGTGTGTTCATGATTGTTAATCCGGACACAGTGGTTCCCGCTTGCTGTAGCCAACCAGCGAATTAAACTGGTTTTGCCAATAGAAGTGCCTCCTTGAATCAATACTGGGTAACTCCTGGAAAATTCAGAAGTATATAAAAAATCAAAGCTAGAGACATAGCATCAGTATTATGGTCACAAATTAGTTTTTTAAAAGTTTCTCTTATTAAAGCAGAACTTTGGAATATTTAGAGAATGATGCTAATTTGGCATACAACTTTACTTATGATACTTGCTCTGAATAGAAAAAGGTATAAACAAAATCCAACATACGCAGCCGACACAACTCTGACAATATCTCTGAGGTTAAGTTTAACTGAAGATGTGAGTACATAGGATTCATCCACAGTGGGTTCCTTATCGCCAACAGAAATCCAGTATCCTTCTATATTGATGATTCTCCCTTCTTTTAATTCTGGTAAGGCCTGAAAAAGATACTTTACATCACCTTTTGACATGAGTTGCTTGTAAAAGCTGAAATTAATGCTAGCCACAGATCACCGCACACCCCCCCCAAAAAACCCCAAAAAACACATTATCGAGGAGCTGTTAAAGAGAAAACTACAAAAAAAATTCCTTATGCTTCACCCATGAGCTTTTAAAAAGTTATGTGAAAACCCATCCTTACCACTCAAGATGATACATATGTGACAAACCTAAACCTTATCCAACCTTCAAGAGGACAAAGGACAGCAGTGTGGAAAATACCTACCTGCCTCAGAAGGTTTTTCATATTCCCAGTCACGATATGGTGGCCTATCAGCTTCTGAACAATTGGGTAAGAAATTCTGTCAAGTTGTGTAAGAAAGCCCAAGCAAAAGCCCTGTTGAAAAGGAAACAAAATGTGATTTTTTTAATTTGTGAAACTCTATATAGGCATTTTCTTCCCCAAAGGCTTTTAAAGTTCAGGAACGAAGAGCAAGAGCAATCACCTCATAAAGTGAGCGCTGTATGTTGTTGCACGGGTTGTTTGATGCAAATCTTAATGCTCTGCACAGAGTTCGAAGGCTGTAATGGGGTCTTTGGCCTGTCCCATCCACCAGTTTGGTTTCACACTCCTTTCTCACAGACAAATAGAAACTATAGAAGAAAACAGATGATGAATGATTTTAGTTAACACCAGTTTCACCTGGGTAATAATAAAATAAATGTGCTGCAAAGATTGTCCCCTTCAGGCTTAAAGAAGTTGCAAAAGGTTTTGCAAGGACTGTAAATTTCCCATTTTGTTGCCCATCTATGCCAAGTGTGAGAGAGCGAATTCAGCAGGGATGGCCAACCTCTCGGCAATCTCCACACACTGGTGGACTACAATTCCCTTCAAGTCCCAGGTTTGTACTGCCAATATTCAGGGAAAGGAAGGCAGCAGTAAAGAATAAGGAATGTTCAATTCTAAATGTTACCATGATCAAGACATATAAAACATAAAATGCTCTCCTAGTTAAATTATGAATTCAAAGCAAGAGTCCTATACTTATCTCATGCCAGCTAAAGAAAGTTAGAACGTAACAAAAGTTGTTCTGGAGGGATAAATAATCATCTACCAGAAGGACTAACTAAACCAATGTTCAAGAAGGACAATTCCTTAGGTCACATGGGACTATTCTCAGAAGAGTTAAATAATTTAGGGGCAGGGCAGAACAGGGAAGGAAGCAGATCTTCTAAATCTTCCCTAAGGCCAGTTAGCTATTTTTGATCTGGGTATACTCACTGAGCTAGGCTACTGATTAAAATTAAAAGACAAAGTACTTTCAGTTGAAGTTCTTAAATAACTGAGGTTTGGAAAGAGAGGAGGAAGTCCACTTATCAAACACTACAGTATGGAAAGTTAAGATAATGGTAATGAGGAAATGCAGCATAGCCTAATTTAAAAAATAATAAGTAGGTAGGCCTGCATATTAACGCACAATTTTAATAATCTGCTAAATGCTTTGATTTACAATGAATTCAGGAGAATGCCAGTTCTTACTGCAGAAGTAATCAGTTATGCATCTATATAGAGTGCTTTGCTATGATTTACTAAAATAGACAATATCTGACTTACTTTATGATTCCATTGATTATGTTTTTGTTCACATTCAGCCCTTTCAGGTAATCTGCAATAAGTATCTGCAAGTCACCTTCATTTTGTAGTTCCTCTATGTAAAGTTCAGTAAATCTACAAGATAATATTATAGTATAAATAACTCAGTTGCTTACTTCTACTAACGTATATAGCTTTGTAGATACCCAGTACAAGAATAATGCACTTGATTTTGGTACCATCACAAGATTTTGGTATCTTGCACTCTTTCAACCAGAAAGCAATTTCAGTGGAATACAATTTGATAAGACAAGCAAGTACAACAAACAAAACTCTGGCCTAATGAGACCTCAGTTAACAATAATAATAATTTTATTACTAATTTCCCTGTATGTGAAGGAGTTAAAAATGTAACAAAAAAGGAAATACCGTATATTCCGGCATATAAGATGACTGGGCGTATAAGACGACCCCCAACTTTTCCAGTTAAAATATAGAGTTTGGGATATACTTGCTGTATAAAACTACCCCTCTTCCAACACACACTAAATAAATTTTTTAAAAGCATCAGTTTTGATTTCAATATAGTTATTTTCCTATTACTGTACCTCCCTTCTCTGCCTCTAAGATCTTGCACCTGCACCACTTCACTGCAGTCTTCAGGAGCGAGATCTGAGAGGCAGAGGAGGAGGTACAATAATAGGATACAAGGGCGGGCCAGACAGGTAAAAGAGTTGTGTTTTTCTGGGCCCAAAGCCACTCTATCTTTTTTTTCCATACCCGGGCACCCCAGACGCCTGCAGCTTGCTCCGCCCTTTGCTTACACCTTCCCAGTGAGGCACCCCTTCACCTCACCATCAGGACCGCATTAAGTCCACAAATCCTGATGAATGGATTTTCTTCTACCATACTTGTACAGCGTCGCCCTTAATGTTTTCATACAGTTGCTGCATACGGCAGGGATGCGGCCACTGCCATTTTTGAGCTCCCCCCACAATATGCAGCAACCACAGATTCTCCAATCCGGATTGGAAGTTTCAGCACCCGCTCTATAAGATGACTCCTGACGTATAAGACTACTCCCGCATATAAGACGCCTCCCATGCATAAGGCTACTCCAGCATATAAGACGACTCCCATGTATAAGACTACCCCCACTTATAAGATGACCCCTGACTTTTGAGATTTTCTTGGGTTAAAAAGTAGTCTTATATGACAGAATATACGGTAATTTCTGTTACACTCTAGTAAGAAACATAAAGGCTTTGTGGTTCTCTTTGATAAATAGAACAGGACAATGATGCTACTTTTTCACAGAACTGAAACCAGAGCTGGGGTTTCAGAGAACTTAGAAATGAATGACTTTGTAATAAGTTAAAGGAAAAACCCACTTTAGGGAAGCAGTATGTGCCTCTCCAAATGACAACTTTTTAGTGGAGGGGAATCTATTCCTCTTATTGGGTGAAAGAAAGGTAATTAAACATCAGACAGAACTATAAAAGCAAAGAGAAGGCAGGAAGTTACTGTTGGTATGCTTGCAAACCCAATCCAAAAACACAAATGTTGCTGGCTAACCGGGCTGAAAGGTCTATGAAATATCAGTGACCATAAAATTCACTCATATGCCCAGCTAGCCTTTTATCCAGTATTTCGCTGCTTCCATATAATGTTGACCTTTTAGAAGACAGCCAACAGAGCAGTGTAGGTATTTTATCTTTTAACTTTCCCATGAAATTATGGTTTCATTCCAGTTTTCTGTTCTAAATCTGGTATCTCCAAATGAAAAATATGTCTGAGCATAATTGTAATTCCCATCTTCTTTAGTGTGTTAGTATACCTTTGACAATACCAAATTTTAGCTACAATGTGTCCTCTTATCAGATAAGTTCATAAGATGCCTTGGAAACCAGATAAGCTCAAATTCATATGACAAAACCCAATAATACAAATAGATATCAATGTTGAAGAAATGTTTACCTGTTTCTTATTCCAGGAGGTAGATTTCTTTTTCCAATATCAGTAGCAGGATTCATACAGGCAAACAAACGAAAATTTGGATGGCGTACCAATGGTTCTGGAAAAAAGACCGCCAAGCAATTGTAGTTCTCTTAACTTCAGAAAGAACACAATCCAGCCTAAGAAAGTTGTTAAGTATTTAAAGATGATATAACACTGGTAATAATGATTTCCCTATTGTTGAACTCCTGTGTAATCCTATTATTCCCCTTTGAAAGCAGTATTTATGATGGCCTAATTCCAACTGCTAGTTGAAAGTAGCAAACCGATGGTTAAACCATTCCCTTATAAGAGATTCGGACACACGCATAAACTATAATAATAAAATGTATGGGGATACAAACTATCTCATGAAAACCTTTCATTCACATTTTTAAAACCAGAAAAGGATTTTTTTCTTTTAGGATGCTAGGTAATATCACTTCGGTTTGGTCTACATTAGGGGTCCTCAAACTAAGGCCCGGGGGCCAGATGCAGCCCACCAAGGTCTTTTACCCGGCCCTCGGTCAGGGTCAACCTAGGTCTGAAATGACTTGAACGCACACAACAACAACAACAATCCTATCTCATCAGCCAAAAGAAGGCCCACACTTCCCACTGAAATACTAAAAAGTTTATATTTGCTAAAATTGTTCTTCATTTTAATTATGGTATAGTTTTTAAGTGGTTTTGCACCACAAATAAGATATGTGCAGTGTGCATAGGAATTAATTTATTTTTTTCAAATTATAATCTGGCCCTCCAACAGTTTGAGGGGCTGTGACCTGGCCCTCTGTTTAAAAAGTTTGAGGACCCCTGGTCTACATGATCATTGCGCTCACTATAACTTGCAATGTCAGTGGAAGGAGGGCCATGGGTGTTTCCTGCTCAGTGGGAACTATAGCTGTTTGTGGAGGTGAAAGGCTGTCTGTGTAAGTGGTCACACATACACATTTTCACTTTTATTATGTGCATAGATAGATGCAAGATTTATTGCTTATTTCACATAGATTCAGAAGGTTCTCGTTACATTCGCGTGATCCATCCACAGTGCAACTGACAAATTAATGTGTCGTGACACATAGTTTGGAAAACTCTGATCAAAAGGTGTGTGCCGACAACCGCATATCTGTAATATCACTATATCAAATTACACTTTTAAAAAAGTAAAACAGTCACCTGCCTATACAGAATTACCAATCAGAAAAAGTGACCCCTGGAAAAACAAAACAAAATACCTGTGTCTCCTCTGTCTAGTAATACTAGTGAACCAGACAGTCCTTCAAGTAAACCACTCAGGCATTCTAAAGTTTCTGCTGCTGCCAAGTTAATCTCATCGAGAAGAATCCACTCTCCTTTCTTCACTGCTTGTGCCAGCGTGCCCTAAATGCAAAACCAAAGCCAAGGGTTAGTACATGAGAATCGCCTGCTGGTTAGAAAATGGATCAGCTTTAAGAATGAGTAAGAAATATACAAAATGAATAAATACCTCTACAAAGGCAAAGACTAGAGCATTTTCTGTCATCTTCATCTGCTGTTGGGCATGATTAAGCCGGATACCAAGCTCTTCCCATTTTTCCTTCAATGGGGGGCCTACAAAATCAAAAACATAGTAAAGAGTTTTCAAATTTTACTATTTTAATCCAGAAATCCAGTTAGTTGAAACAGTTATTATCGTGCTAGCACTTTTAACCTATTAAACTCAACAACAGAGCATGATCTTTAAAGCATATGACTCAAGCAATAACTGAAGTCTTAATAATCGAGCCATGTTAATTTAGATCAATATGCAAAAGGAGCTTTTAAAATCTTTAAGACTAAGAGACTTCATACAGTTTCATAGACTTACCGTATATACACCGATTATAAGCCAAGTTTTTCAGCCTTTTTTAGGCTGAAAAAGCTCCCCTCGCCTTATACTTGAGTCAAAATTATTATTTTACTCTGTTATTGTTATTGTTATTATTATTATTACATTTTTTATTTTGCTCTATTATTATTATATTTATTATTTTACTCTATTATTATGATTACATGTATTTTTACTCTATTTATTATTGTTATTACATTTACATTATTTTACTTTATTATTATTATTATTATTACATTTATTATTTCACTCTATTATTACTGTTATTATTATATTTCGATAGGAGCCCCCAGTGGTGCAATGGGTTAAACCATTGTGCTGGCAGGACCAAAGACAGGTTGCAGGTTCGAATCCAGGGAGAGAGCAGATGAGCTCCCTCTGTCAGGTCCAGCTCCCCATGTGGGGACATGAAAGAAGCCTCCCGCAAGGATGGTAAAACATCAAAACATCCAGGCATCCCCTGGCCAATTCTCTCACACCAGAAGCGACTTGCAGTTTCTGAAGTCACTCCTGACACGGGAAAAAAATTACATTTCCATTATTTTACTCTATTATTATTGTTATTATTGCGTTTATGATTTTACTCTATTTATTATTATTGGAAGGATACGTAAACACATTTACATTGAAGATTAGAATAATAGTTTAATCAGAGTTGGACAGTCTTAACTTAAATTATAGTTTTATGAAAATATTCAAAAACATTTAACCTACTGATCTCTCAATGCAATTTTATTGGTATCTATTTTTATTTTGAAATTTACCAACAGCTAGCTGCTGCATTTCTCACCCTCGGCTTAAACTTACGTCAACACGTTTTCCCAGTTTTTGTGATAAAATTAGGCGCCTCAGCTTTTACTTGAGTATATACGGTAAGTCTACTTCATCAGGTGAATTGAGTGACTAGGTGCAGACTTTTGGGAGCAAAGTTTCTGCATTTGGGCTGATAAGTTCGGTTTTAGTAAAGGCTATTGAGGGACAAAGGCACATGTTGTCTAGAGCCAAAGTAAGTACATAACGATATGAATAGTGAAGGGAGTTATTGGAATGTAATGTGATGCTGGTTGGGAACCAGAAAGGATAAACTTTCCAATTGAGCCATCATGAGGCTGAAGTGTTAACTAGTGTTATAATATATTTTAACATACATAATACATAATACGTGCCGGGCCAGGAAACTGTTATATCTGTTCAACGCGCTGTCAGAATTGAAATTCATCCAAAAACTCCATTCCTTAAATTATAATATGTGCAGTATGCTAGGAAACCATAGCCTCTGTTCAATCCACTATTGATGGAATGGGGTTTGTGGATATATTCAATTTTCACTGTTTCTATTTCCAATCTGGATTGCATCCAACTTAGCTATTAAATAGACGAATGATATTTCAAAAGTTTGAAGTCCTCCAAAGTTAATAAAAATCTTACCAGAGGTGTTTTCTGTAGCTTCTTTGTTCATAGCAGATTTGTAAACATGCTGCATCAGTTTGAGAAGGTCATGCCAGCGCTTCTGCCTGTAGCATGTCTGGATGTGGCCTAAGAAAGTCTGGTTTTGCTTTCTGGAAAATGTCTGTGCAAACAGCTCCTCAAAAGATTCTCGCAAGGGCAACCAAATCAGTTTATTATCCACTGGCTTATAGCTACGAAGGATGAAAAGAAAAACAAGCATTTCAACTGCTTTTGTGGCAAAAAACCCCTAGATCTCAAAAAGCATGTACAAAATTTAGAATTTTCAGACACAGAAAGGGCCATGCTTTGTGAACCTTTCCTCCTCAATTGTCCCACCATCCAACTCACCCGCCTTACAGCTGCACATCCCTTTATTTATTGCCCTTTCTTGGTATCTTTTCTTAATTTGTATGGCACTCAAGTAGCTCATCCTTTGTTGATCTTTTGGATCAACAACACACCAGCTCCTCCCAATTAGCCTACTAGATTAACAACATGATGTCCCCAATAATTCTAGGAAGTCACACATATAAGCAGATTCTTAAAAGTTGTGTGAGGGAAGTGTGATTCCAAAAAGTCCATCACAACAAAATGGGGCAAGAGGAAACGTACATCAACTAACTTCTCCTCACAAAACAAAACTTTTCCTTCTTTTCTGTTTCTTTGCATCTCTGACATGCACTCCAGAAGACACTTAGAACACTGCAGGTCAGCCCAAAAGGGAGAGAAAAATCACCCCTTTTCCAGTTCTGTTGACAGAAAGCATTTCCAGTTGAAGGCACTCATGGTAGAGTCTGTTTCCAAAAGATACCACATTCATCTGATTTTTTTACAGGAATTGAAAAAAAAATATTTTGCTATAAAAAGCGGTTTTCCAAGTCTTGTACCAAAGTTATTTGATACATTTTTATAGTTTTGATCTGTACACAATTTTCTATTCCTAGGTAACAATGTGCTGCTACCTATTAACTCATTTTGCAATTTATTTTGATTTGATTGCTTCTGGAAATAAACTCCACAACTAGATACTGTTAGTCATACTAAAAAAAGAAGAAGCTGTGAACTTATAAATGTGATAAAATAAGAAATTGCTACAGATGTCAAAAGCAATTTATAGAACTGTTGGCCACTCACCCGCCTAGAAGATCTGCAGTATCACTCTGCTGGTTCATATTGATGACTCTCAAACGGTGTCCTCGAAAAAAGAACAAGCACAAAACACTCTCAATCCGTTCTTGAATGACTTCCTGAACCTTGACAGAAGATTCCCAGATTATATCAGACTTTACCTGTAATATGGGCCAGATATTGAACAGTGGAGGTTTTGCCAGTCCCTGTTTCACCCACCAGCAATACAGGCTCCCCTTTCTCAACACACACAGCAAGCTGCTCGATTAACACCGAAGATGGACGTGTTGGTGCAAAGGTCAGCTTTTTCCTGCCAATACATTATCATTTATTAATTAAAATATTTTAATCATGGCATCTCAGAGTAAGAAAGAGATAAAAGAAATACAAACAATTCCAAATGAAAATGAACAAATAACTGAAACAAGAGAAATTAAATAATCCAAACAAAGGCTACAAGAGTTTTTCAAGCCACGTACTTGCTTAAAGGTAAATAAAGACCCAATTTACTACATGGAATATTAATTATTCAGTTCATAAATATTATGTCTCTATGAAGCAGTACTTCAAGAAGTAAAGCCTAACTGCTCATTGGAGGGAAGAATAGTAGAGGCCAAGATAAAGTACTTGTCAGAGTGTGACAGAAGCTTTGAAGCTCAGAAGAATGGACACTTTGAGACTTCAGTAAAAGCAAACGTATAGCTTTACTGAGTAGAGCAAATATACAGCACACACTCACATTGACACCCAACCAAAAAGACAGAAACAAGACAAAAGCACCGAAGTAAGAAGGACGAATGAAATCTTATCTCTGGATCCTCCCTACGCGTTTCAGGCACACTCAGGGTCACAACTTCACAGTTCATTAGAGGCTTGACTGATTAACCCTTTCAGAGTCAATACACTCTCTGCTAATGCAATCAGGTTACATTCACAGGCATTACACAAAATTACATTTAAACATTCACATTACACTAATCTTACATTAACAGTACTTTGGCCACATAATGAGAAGAAAGGAAAGCTTAGAGAAGACAATTATGCTGGGGAAAATGGAAGGAAAAGGCAAGATGGATGGATGGTATCCTTGAAGTGACTGGATTGACCTTGAAGGGGCTGAGGGTGGTGACGACCGACAGGAAGCTCTGGCGTGGGCTGGTCCATGAAGTCACAAAGAGTCGGAAACGACTGAACGAATGAACAACAACAACACAAAGCAGTGCCATGCATATTTCACCTACTGGATCCCTAAATAGATAGATGATTAAAAAATAGACAGAATATCTAAAATCAGGTTCAGGAAAAATGGATTATCATTTTTAAAAACATGGCTGTGAGATGTATTGTTGAAGGCTGTGAAATTTTGAAATTACAAGACATTTCATTATACCAGGATAGACATGTAAAAAGAATGGGGTTAATCTGCACATTGCATTAACTAGTACATTTTCCTGAGGACCAACACATTACAAAATTCCAAAGGAGAAATCAAGAGGAAGCTGGCTAAAGAAAATTAAGGATCAAGTTTCCTCTCTTTGCAAGAAGTGGAATTAAAACCACTTGCCTTAAAGAAAGCCAAGAGAGCTGAACACTACATAATAAACATAGGTGCAGTTAGGCCCGTAACTTAGAAGAGAGTGGAAAATTATCAATACCTTTGAGCAAGTAGCGCATGTGTTGGCTTCCGCAAAAGCTTGACTCTTCCCACACTAACTTCTTGGTCTGCGATAACAAGTTGTGGTTTATAAAGCTGACAGTAGTATTCAGCCTACAAAAAAAATGAACACACATAATGTTCTATACCAGCTTACTACCGATTTCAGCTAATACGCTAGCTGTGCCCCTTCCTAGATTTGGAAAACCTAAAGAGGTGATGCACGTGCTGGCATCCTCAAGGTCAGACTTCTGCAATGTGCCTTACATTGGCCTACCTCTGTACAAAATTTGGAAACTCCAATTAATTCAAAAACACAGTAGCCAGACAAGTTACAGGAACATCTAGGAGTAAGCACATCACATCCATACTAAAGTCACTCCATTGGCTATTAATTAGTTTCTGAGCAAAGTACAAAGTATTGGTCTTTATTATTAAAGCCCTACATGGTTTGGATCCAGGTTGCCTACAAGATCACCTTCTCCCATACAATCTGCCGCTGACACTGGTCGTCTGAAGGACGCTTACTCCAACCAGCCAGAATCTGACTCGCGACCATCACCCAGAGGATATTTTCATCAGCTGCTCCAATATTGTGGAAGCTCACGCTGGAAGAGCTCCTACAGCTAAATCTGCTGTCATAATTCAAGACACAACTGAAGATCCAAGTCTTCTGGCAGGCCTACCCAACCACTCTAAACTATGAATTTTAAAAATCGCCCTGTGTCTACTGCACTTTAATCTTTGTCTGGGTTTATGTGTATATGTATCTTACAGAAATGTATTTTAATATATGCATTCCATTGAATATATTTTATTATTACGTGTTTTAACTGGGTTGTGACCCACCTCAAGCTGTGAGGAGAAGTGGTAACAAACAAACATACAAACAAATAAATTATTATTATTATTAGACACACAACAAGATTAGTACAGAGAAAACGAGATCATTATGCTGGCTGTTGTATTGGATCACACATCGGACGCTTCCCATCTGAATAGGGTGGTCATTTGCAGCTGACAGGTGGTAAATTTGTCAGCGCTTATTGTTTTTAAGTGCTGGTCAAGGTCTTTAGGCACTGCACCCAGTGTGCCAATCACCACTGAGACCATCTTTACTGCCTTGTGCCAGAGACTTTGCAAGCCATCCTCCTCCTCCTCTTCTTCTTCTTCTTCCCCCCACTACTACTATATTCTACATGTATGTGTATAGCTCTGCACATGCAATTCTACATCTTCTCAAAACATGGCAGCTATTAAGCCTGAGAGGACCTCCCTGTTGCTGTTGAAGTCAGGAGACAATTCAGACCACAGAGACGCAGCTAGTCTCAACTGTGGAGGAGGTAGAAATGAGGTCTATTCTCAAGTGGATGCACCTAACTTTATGTTCATCCAGGTATTCAGGACAGCCAGATTTTCATGGTCTGAACTGACTTCTCTCCTTTTTCTTCTGATCAGAAGGAACATCAGCTGGCCCTTCCAGGGCTTGACAGCTGACAGAAAGGAGAAGATTTTTGACAGAGTTCATTGGAAACTCCTCTGCACTCTATCATAAAGTGGTAAGCTGCACATGCAAGATACCTTATGTCTGGAAATGTTCAATTTGCTTCCAATGACTTCTGCCATCTTCACTCTACTCTCCTGTTTGGATAGCATTGCTGTGAAACAGTCTAAGGCCTATAAGGGAGAAAAACACATTTCTAGTTAGATCTTTCAACTCATTCTATGGTATGTTTCTGTCAGAAGTCATCATAAAGTTGCACTGGAAAATCTAGCAGCAAATACTTAAGAAAGGATACACCTCTAGGGCAACTATATGCTTTAATTTCATCAGAAGTCATTCATTAGAATAGGATCCACTATTATCCAGGGTTTTCTGAATATTATAGCATCTCTAGTAATTTATTTCTCTTCCCAGTGTAATTCACATGACCTCCTGCAAGGATATTATTGCAATTGTGCATAACCTAAGTACAAGTGAGAAATATTTAAAGTTCTGGACCAGTTTTCCACTTTCTAAAGCCACTTTGGTTACTTTTAAAAGAACGCAAAATTACTCTAAAATTCAAAAAAGATGTAGCAAGCAGTCATACCTCATGAAAAATATTCAGAGCAGCATTGGGAGAGCTGTCAAAATGGAAAGAAATCCTATTGCACCAATTTAGCAAGTCCCTAAAAGAAGAAAAAATATGGTCACCAACTCAACAGTACCTCACAACTCCATTCTTGCTCAACTAATTGCCTAATTATTGTTGTTGTTTTCTGGAAATTACCATTTTCAATTAATACATTCCCACTGGGAATTTTTCTTAAGGCAAGGCTAAAGAGTTTACAAAACCTTACAGTGTTACAGTCTAAAGTTTATTTGCCATCTTCAACATAAAGTATCAATCAATTTGAACACATATTAAAATACCTCAGAGATAATTCTCGGCCTTCTAAACTTGGCATTTTGTATTTTGTAAAGTTTGGAGCATTTCCCATTATGGTTTCATCTCCTGGAATATGGCTTTCGGATAAATGTTTATCATTAGTGAGCTCAATGTAGATGTCTAATAGACAATCCAATACTGCTGCAAGTTTCGGGTAATTCCTCTGCAGAATCTGAAAAAGGAAGGAATGTTCACGAAAGCAATTATTTTCTAATGATTTTAGTGTTCTGCACTATATCACATTTTATAACATACAGAATTTTATCTTGAATATGGAAAATAAAATCCTATGATTTCATTAGACATTAATTATAAAGTAAGGGTCAGACAATAGCACATGCAGGCAGTCCCTGAGTTACAAACATCTGACTTACAAACAATTCATAGTTAAGAATGGGGGTGAGTCAACAAGAAGTGAAAGAAATCTACCCCTTGAAAGGGAAATTCACTCCTGAAAGAGTTATTCATGGGGTAAAGGTGTTTCCACTGAAGCTTTCTCTCCAATCCTTGTTCCCACAACAAGCAATTTTTTCAAAATCCAATTATCACAGAGACAGAAAGTAAGTTGAAATCTTATGAACAGGGTCACAGACAGCAAGAAACAAAACAACTCCCTTCCCTATGCTATTCGAAGTGTGTGTGTGTGTGTATATATGGCTGGAGTCACACTTTAAAAATGTACCTGTTCCAACTTAATAATAATAATAATAATAATAATAACTTTATTTTTATACCCTACCAACCATCTCCCCTAGGGGACTCAGGGCAGCTTACAAGGGACACGCCAAAATTACAATTAAAACACACATGTAAACCACTTAACCAATTAAAACATCAGATAAAAACAAATAACAGCACAATTGAAAGCAATATAAAAACAATACGGCTGAAAGAAACATAGCTTAACAACAAACCTATAGAACCTATCTTGTTCATAACTTGGGGAATGCCTGTAATAGGAAAATATTATTATCTTGTCCTATCTGTCACTGCTGAGTGTACGCATTTGAGTGTTATATGCATGTACACATACACACAAAATTCTACGTGCATAAACCAGAAGCACATTTTTTTTATTCTTGAATGACAGGCAGGATTTCAATTATGGCTACAGGAATTGGATTCCCACTCCCACCCGCAAAGGCATTATTCAGAGGCAATGGTCAAATAGATATATCGAAAATAATGGGGACCTTCTTACACTCGGGATCCACTGTGGGCCATGACCACATTTCCAGTGAAACTAGAAGACATCAGAAGACCACTTTCTCTTTAAAAATGTGAAAAAGAAATACTGCTGATTTTCACAAGGCTTCTCAGCACTGATGCTACACTTCCCCCATTCATAAAGCAAATTATGAATGGTTATAAAGGGTTCTGGCTCAGATTACCTGTCCGAACGTATCTCCTGTTACGAATCATAACTAAGTTTAAGATCATCTAGAGAGGCCCTGCTCTCGATCCCACCACCGTTGGAAACACGATTGGTGGGGACGAGGGACAGGGCCTTCTCAGCAGTGGCCCCCCACCTGTGGAATTCCCTCCCCAGGGACATCAGATTGGCCACTTCCCTCCTGTCTTTTAGAAAGAAACTCAAGACTTGGTTGTGGGACCAAGCGTTTGATCACCGAATAGCGACAAGTGAGAAGAAGACATAAGCAATTTGAAGTGACAATCAACTGACCCGGACTTGGTTTTAACTGGCATGTTTTTAACAACTGTTTATTTAAGGTTGTTTTAATGAATTTGTTGCATGTTTTTATGATTGTGATGGCCGCCCTGCGTCCCCCCCTCGGGGCTGAGAAGGGCGGGATACAAGTGTATGAAATAAATAAATAAATAAATAAATAAATAAGCAAGCATCACTTAAGAGTGGCAGAAATGGCCTGGAGGTCTGATTTGATTCTCATCCCAGTAGAACAAAACAAGAAAACATCAAAAGACACATATCTGCCACAAATAGCCAATACACTGTCACCTAGGTATATGCAGTATCACAACACTGACAACACCAACAGACTGGGCATAAGTTCATTAAGTCTGGAGGTCACACTTTTAAGTGCTGCGTTTCTGCAGTGGACACAAAGCTCACACAAAGATGGTTCTCAACCTGGGGTCCCCAGATGTTTTTGGCCTTCAACTCCCAGAAATCTTAACAGCTGGTAAACTGGCTGGGATTTCTGAAAGTTTTAGGCTAAAAACATCTGGGGACCCCAGGTTGAGAACCACTGATATATACGCTCGTCACATAGAGCCATTAATTCATGTGAATAATTCCAGAATTTGGAGGATTTTGAAATTCCAGATAACAGATTCTAAACTTGCTTTGCTTTTTAAAAAACAAACAAACAGATATACCCAAATCTAAATAGTAAACACACTATTCATTCAGTGCTCTCCAGACTCCCTTAAAAACATGCAACCTTGAGATGATTTTTTTGAGAAAGATTTCTAGATTTGAGATAATGAGGCACTAAACAATGAGATTTTTTTTCCATTTCTACTCTAAAGCACATCAAGAGGGATTCGTGGACAATTTGTCCCTAATACTAAATTTGAGATCTTTTCAGATTTTTTTAAACATTTCTTCTCTTTACATTTTAGTCTTTTTTTCTAGAGCTAAAAGATTTTTAATATGTTCTTCTGAGCATGGGATATTGGAAGAACCCCCCCCCCCCCCCCCCCACTTCTGATAGGATCTTATCAAACCATGCTTCTCTTCACTCTTTCTGCTTACCTCTTTGAGTTCGGCTTTAGGCATGTTATGTAGTTGGATTTTTGTCCAATATTTGTCCAGGAGAGCAGCATGACTGTTTTGCTGTTTGTACCAACCACCACCACAACTGAAGACTCTAAATTAATTAATTGCAAATCAATGTCAATATTATTAAAGTACTACAAGTATTTTAGTCTAAACTATACAGAAAAGGCCTAATAGCTTTACATGTGCATTGAGTTCTACAAGGTTCCCAAACTGAAGAGCTACAGCTAAAGTAATCATAGCTCCATATAACCAATACAAGGATTATCTACGACCAGCCTGACCATTTACACAATTGCATAGTAAATCTAGTCTGACGCAAGCAACTGACTATTTGTGTACACACTTAGCTACACATGTAATCTCGATACTTCTATATCGCCATCTTTACAAATCTCTTCACAAAAGAATTTAAGTTATATAATTTCCTACCTTCTTGTTGCAAAAAGATGGAAGCCAGGAGCCACTTTTATGCAATCACTTCGTCCAGGAATCAATAACTCACCATTTTCCAGAAGAGGTATTAACACAGAGATCTCAGAAAAAAGAGAAGATATACTATTGTGCCAAAAGACAGTATCTAGACCACAAACTTGGTTTTACAGACATAATGGGAGCTCCCTGAATTCCTCTGCCATGAAATCTGCTCCATCAGATCAAAGAACAGCAGTCTTCTCACAAAGCAGCAAAATCCTGATAGATACCTCTACTAAGAGAATATTAACGGCTGATTCTCATCTGATACTAACATTCCTGTAACACTAACGATTTGACATCAACATACTACAACATACTTAAGGAGATGTTGACAAGTTGGAATGTGTCCAGAGGAGGGCAGCTAAAATGATCAAGGATCTGGAGAACAAGCCCAATGAAGAGTGGCTTAAAGAGCTGAGCATGTTTAGCCTGCAGAAGAGAAGGCTGAGAGGAGACAAGATGAGGGCCATGTATCAAAATGTAAGGGGAAGTCATAGGGAGGAGGGAGCAGGCTTGTTTTCAGCTGTCCTGGAGAACAGGATGTGGAACAATGGATTCAAAATACAGGAAAGGTGATTCCACCTGAATATTAGGAAGAACTTCCTAACTGTGAGAGCAATGGAACTCTCTGCCCCAGATTGTGGTGGAGGCTCCTTCTTTGGAGGCTTTTAAACAGAGGCTGGATGGCCATCTGTCGGGGATGGTTTGAATGTGATTTTCCTGCTTCTTGGCAGGGGGTTGGTCTGGATAGCCCATGAGGTCTCTTCCAACTCTATGATTCTATGAAACGGTGCATAGATGTTCATGACTTTTCCCCCAAAAGTCATCAAATATAAATGTTGGGATGTTAATATTTTATTATTAATGAACTGCCTTTTAAATGCAAAACTAACTGAAAGCCACACATACAGGGAGTGCAGGAAAGGTTAAGACATTTAATGTATGGTAATATCTGAACATTAATGCACAAAATGTTCATGCAGGCTACATGGTCAACTTTATATTGGACGATTAGTCCAACAAATAGTTAGGAGTGTTCAGGTCTGCACATTTGCTGTATAGGAAAGGACAGAAGGGACCGAGAAGCCACTTCTTTTCCCAGTGACAAAGTGATTAACCATGTCAATATTTTGGCAAGACTCTTTCCAGATAAACAACACCAAAACCACACCAAGAGAAGCATCATAGACACAACACGTATCAGGCTGAAAGCATGACATACTATCTACAAGCATTAGGAGGAAAATCTATCCAGAGATCTGGAACAGGGCTTTAATTTTTTTTTCCACTCAGGACATCTTTTAGCCTGAAAAGAACTCCATGCATAGAGGTATATACTATAGGTTTAAAACCAAACATTTATTGAAAACGAATCAGCTTTTGCAAGGCTTGCTAAACAGGCTGATTTCCCATTTCATGAAGTACAACTAAAGCATCTTTTACAGAGACCACTGTAAACACTGTATAACAGATCCGTGCAAACAGCCACAACATGACATTCAGAAAACTTTTAAGGTTGCCAATTTTTTCAGGAACCCAATACATTTGGGGTCAGGACTGATAGTTTAAGAAGCAGTGATCTAAAACTCTATGGAAGTGAGTTCCATTTAATGTTCTGTATGTCTTCAGAGCAATGTTATGTATGAAAGACAGGGAGCTCAACACCATAACAATATCATTATTTCAAAAGGAGAAAATAATAATAAATAACCTGAAGACTACTACCTGCCTTGCAAGTATGAATTCTCAACTTTTAAGGGTATTATCATGGAATAACTCCAAAGAAGCTAAAACTGACTTTCATCACAAGTATTTACAGTACACTTCTACAAAGCACAGGGACATACCACATCGAGAGGTGCATAATCAATATCCTCAAGGAGGATCCAATGCCCTTTGCTGACTGCTTGGGTCAAGGTCCCTGGTTGCCACACAAACTCCCCTGGAACATCTGTACAACGATACATGCCCAGCAGAGTCTATCAAACAGGGGAGGAAAATTCTAATTAGAAAAAGTATGCAACTTCGTATCTTCCTTATAATACGTATGAAAACTTCAAAGATTTCTGAAATATAGTATCTTTCAACTAATTTCCTTCTAAATTTGCAACTAGAGGTCAAATACATTTTGGAACTTTTTTGTGCAACAGAAACTATGACATTATTTAGAATATTATTTTTTATAACCTGCAGTTCTAATCATAATAATTTGTATTCACATTTTGTACAATGTCTCTGTAACATATGAACTATAAAAGCAGACACTGAAGTCAATGATTGAGCACCCTTGACATAAATATTTCCTAAATGGGTTTTAGCTTGATAAAGACAAAAGGGTACCTGGTATTTAAGAAGAGATACAGACACCTTATTTATATATGTATAGTACAGTTTCCAATAATGTTCTCACTTTGTGTCTGTGGTTTTGTTGCATTAGTCATTTGCATCACAGTAACAGGAAAACGGGTTAACCACAACTATGCACCTAAGCTTTATTCTATTATGGACTAAATTACTAACATGTGCTTTATTTTTGCAATTCAATTGTTCCAGAATGTCAGCTGACTTTAATCCATAAATATTGAATGATTTTTATAATAATAATAATAATAATAATAATAATAATAATAACAATAACAGTCATTCATTCTAAGAAAATAAAATGCTAACAGCCTTGACCAGTCATGACTATATTATTCAATTTTAACATTTATTTACATTGTTAGTTATTTTATTTCAAAAAAGGTCAAAATGTATTTCCCATTACCTTACTGTCAGTCTGATCTCCCAACTGAACTTTGAGAATATGAGGAGGCTTTGTCCTCCCAGTGACGGCTCCCAAGAACTCAACAAGGGATGTCTTGCCACATCCTACTGGACCTTCAAGTAACACTGCATTTTGTGAAGACACAGCCATGGCAAGGTTGTGAAGATTAGTACAGGTCGATTTCACCAGTACAAATTTGTCCAAGATGTTTTCCTGCCAGGGCAGAGAAGGCAACATTTTCAGCTAAATAACCTGGACTTAGGCATTAAAAAGTGAACATGGTAAGTTATGACTTCTTAAACATCCCAGGAACAAATGAAACGAGATAGAAAATAGCAGACATGAGGCACAGTGAAAGATATGGCTCAGAACAACAGTATGGAGAAAAGAAGTTTAATATTTTTCCCAGTCTTTCTTGGGTCTGCTATTCTCCCCCCACCTTTTGTTATTTTCTCCACTGTGACCTTTAGGGCAAATAGATACACAAAGGAGATATGTCTAGAGGAACCCATCTCCCAGTAAGTACAAATAAGTACAAACAAATAAACAAAAAAAATGAGAGTAACTACATTTACATTTGCCATGATTTATCTATTTTTCTGCAACTTTCCCTCATTCTTTTCCCTGACTACAACCCACGTTATGCTGTGAAAAGGCATTCCAATTGTTAAACTGGTGGGGGGGGGGCTATCCATTCGTTTGTGGGTAGCAGCTTCTAGCTAGGACCTCTGTAAAAGATGGGGGGATATGCAGAGGGAATTTGTGAAGCTGAGGTAGATTGCATATTTTGGTAGCTGATAATCTAGCTTCTGTTTTTCTGCAGCTTCTCTCCACGTGAGCTCAAATCTGGACAACTGGCTGTGGAAAAAAAAAACATTTCAGCTAGCAAAACACCTGTGAAAGGGAGAGGGAAAATGATGTGCATCTTCAAAGTTTCTAATCAGGATTTCTGTGAATGATTAGAGCTTCAGGGGAGGGAAGTTGTTAAAAAATAAAAAATAAATTGTCAGCTGCCAAACATCCATCAGTCCTCCTTGCTCCCCAACTTTCACAAAAATCCTGGCTAGAACTTTTAAAAGATGTTTCAGCTCTCCAACCAAGAAGCAGACAGGATGATATCAAGCATCGTGATGATCACCAATCATCAATTTCCTTACGTTTTCTCCAGGTCCAAATTGCTGTCGAGGCAGCACAACTCCACAAACAGCTACCACCTTTGCAGAGAGATCAGCAGACACAAGTTCCCCCTGAGTGTGGCATAGCTCTTCTTCTTTGGTCCAAAAGCTTGCCTCAGGATTGGCCAAGATGAGGGCGCGCTCGACGTTCTGCATCCGTGAATCTTCCAGCAGCCTGTTAAAATCCCAAACACGAATGTTACAGTGTTTTGAAAAGGATACAACAAATTCATTGAAGCATGCAAAGAGTCACCACGCAAAAACAATTACTCACTTAAGTTTGAAATGTATTAATTCTTCTGGATTAAAGATCTTCTTCAGGAAGGACAATCTATGCTCATCGTTCATGCAGGTGAGAAGGGCAAGACAACTGGCAGAATACCTAGGAAGCAAAAGTTGGCTTGAGTAACAATTTGTCGTTGTTTTGACATTTATTTAAGACAGTAGTTCCCAATTGGTTTGGTTATTTGGGGTGCTGTTTCAGAAAATTGCACTGGATAGACCACATCAGCTCTAATTTCTGATACAGAACATATGCCATCCAGTAGTCGCCATCTGCTCACCCACAGAAAACCATATTTAATAAGTTGTTCTCGTTGCAACGGTGTAGTAACGGTGAGGCCACTGACCATATTTTAGTTCTGTGGACCACTGGTGGTCCATGGGCCACAGGTTGGCAACCACTGATGTAGGAGAGCTGTGGGCTAACTTATCTCATGCATGGTTCCTCTGTTCTTCTAGGGCAGGGATCCAAAATTTTTAAAGTCTTTTTTTCCCAAGGAACTCTTAACAGTGATTTTCCCGCAGAACCCCAACTTAGTCCCAAAGCATTGTGAACCCACAAAGTTCTTCCTTTTTTATCTACTCATATTGCCTGAAGGTCATGTATAATGTAGTAAGTTTGGAAATAAAGAGAAAACATTTTAAATACAACCATGAACCTTTGTTTCAGAACATGAAAATATTGAATTTACACCTAATGCAAAGAACAAAATGGTTTCATTTGTGTACTTTTCAAATTGGGCTTTATGTCTGACATAAAGCCCAAGGAGGCATCCAATTTTCTCCTAAATGTGTTTTTGTTGTAAGCATAAGAATTCGCATGGATATGTGGACACAGAGGGAAGCAGAGCCTGGTTAGCTTTTCTGGCTACTCAAAGGTATACATCTGTCAATCCTACCCAAAAAACATTCAGTGTTACAGATTAAAATTTTGTTTTTAAAGCAAGATAAAAGGGAAAGGTTTACCCTGACATTAAGTCTAGTCATGTCTAACTCTGGGTGTTGCTGCTCATCTCCATTTCTAAGCTGAATAACCAGCGTTGTCTGTAGATGCCTCCAAGGTTAGGTGGCCAGAATGACTGCCATTACCTTCCCGCCAAGGTGGTACCTATTGATCTACTCACATCTGCATGTTTTCAAACTGCTAGGTTGGCAGAAGCTGGGCCTAACAGTGGTAGCTCATCCCGCTCCCTGGATTCAAAGCACCAACCTTTCAGTCAGCAAAGTTATACTTTTGCGGAAACTGGGGTTCCATGGAACATGGTTTGGGAACCATTGCTCTAGGCCATGACTGAGGAATTAATCTACAACTCTTCAGCTGCTGTCAGAGTCCAATTCCCATTAGCCTCTGACTGCATGACCAGTAGTGAAAAATGATGAGAAGAACACTTCAGTAAATTTGAGAGGGCTACAAGTTGTCCACCACTGCCATATGTTACTAGTCTTGCAGTAATGGATTATTGTGTGCGCATAAAATTGTCCTCACATAGGTGAGTTAAACACAGCCCTTTGGAAAGACCAATACAGCCCTTGATATTGCACTGACCCCCCCCCCCCCCCCCAAAAAAAAAACTCCTCAAGGAAGCCCTTTTTGTCCCTCCTCAATCATTTTTGGGTGGAATTTGTCCAAATTCCTTGGAAGTCCTAAGGCAAATCAAAGGGCCCTAATAACGTTATCCAAAACAACAGCCACAATGTTGTACTGTGACCCTCTACAGGAAACCAAATGGTATTCATGAGCTCTGGAGCATGGCCACCTCAGACCAGATGGTATGTGGAAGTTCCTTCTACAGAGAGGTTTTACAAGATCTGAATTGGCTCTCAGCTGAAGGTTAAACAACTTAAACCAGTCCACTTTTCTTTATGGATAATCTTAACCATTTTACCACAGGTTATCAGAAATAGTTTCTTTTGCAAGTCAATTTAGAAGTTCACTGTGGTTTGTTAAACACCTTTTCAGTTTTAAAACCTATCTTAACTTTAATGAATTTATTCTTTGTCACAAGTGTTTAAACTGCCCGCTGATTAAGAAGACAATTATAAGGCATTTGACGTTTACACATTAAAAATGGTAATATAAAGCGAAAAAACGAAGCCCACCATCGAACTACAGTATCATGACTCCTCAGTAAGGGGACGCAAACACTCCAGTCCCACAACTCTCTGAACACAGTCTGTTCTTTTTGGAGGAATTTGTAGGCTGCCTCCATGAGATCCCTTAACTTCATTCTTCGGCGTCCATAGCGAACCATGTTTGTATCTGAGCTCTCAAGAAAGAGCCTTTGGAAGACTGGTGAAGTATCCTTAAAGTACCTCAGAGCAAATCTACAGGAAACAAAGGTAATGTAAGATGTTGTTGTTAGCATTATTGGAAATGACGACGGCAGACTAAACAGGGAGAAATTTCAGATCTTCTAATAAAGCAGAAAGTTTTTGACTGATTTGGTTATTTTTTTACCAAATTTGGGAAGAAGCTGTTTTACAGCTCCTTTAAAAACCAATAAAATTAACCCTTCTTTTCAGTAAATGGTTTTAACCTACGCAAGGAAACTAAACAATGAAGAGCAACACAGTTCAATCCTAAAGCAGTTGCATGAACAACAATGTCTCTCTGCTTTCCCCTAAAACTTTGTATCTAGCCCTGTGATTTTTTTAAACTTCAGAAACATATCCCACTTACAAATACTATATATGTATATGTGTGTGTGTAAGTAAAAAAAATAAGCAAAATCTGACAGTTCACACACTGTATGCAGTCATAGTCAATCAGATGGTCATGACTTCTGCTTGCATGCCTTCCAAATTAACCAGCTCTCAGGCTGGCTGCAACTGTCGTAAATAAGGATAACGGTTAATAACTACAGACAGTTTCCAAGTTACAAACATCTGACTTACATCCAACTCACAGGTTTTTGTGTGTATGTGTATCAGGAAATACTTGAGAAACTTCAAGTTTCTACTGGTGTGAGAAAATTGGCCATCTGCAAGGACGTTACCCAGGGAATGCCCGAATGTTTGATATTTTATCATCCTGTGGGAGGCTTCTCTCATGTCCTCAAATAGGAAGCTAGAGATGAGATGGGGAGCTCACTCCCCTCCCAGGATTCGAACCGCCAATCTGTTGGTCAGCAGTCCTGCCGGCACAAGGGTTTAACCCATTGCGCCACTGGGGGCTCCAACTCACAGCTAAAACAGGAGGTGAGATAATAGAAAGTGAGAGAAATCTACCTCAGGAAATTCACTCCTGAAAGAGTTATGAGGAAAAGGTGTCTCCACTAAAGCTTTATCACCAATCCCTGTTTCCACAACAAGCCAATCTTTTCAAAATTCAATTATCACAGGAACAGAAAGGGGATGAAATCTTCTACACAGGGGCACAGACAGCAAAACAAACACCACAGGGGTGTTTAACCCTTCCCTGTGTTATCTAAAGCTAATATATATATATTTGGCTGGAGTTACACTTTAAAAATGTACCTATTCTGACTTACATACAAATTCAGCTTAAGAACCTATCTTGTGCGTAATTTGGGGACTGCCTGTATACACAAATGTTACAAGACTTACGGCATCACATCTGGGTGATCATCAATAAGCTTGCTGACTGCCACACAAAGTCTCTCGTGAAGATCATAGTTGATTTGGCCACTAGATTTAAGAAGTTCTACATTTCTTTCTAACAAATCCAGCAAGATAGGACGGAACTGTCGACCAATCAGAAGTGTACATTCTTTATCGAGTAATAATTGTGCTAAGGCACTGAGGATACATTGACGATCCTGTCGGCTCCAGATCTGAAAACAAAAGGAGATCCAATAAAAAAAACTATTCCCTTCAGCTATAATAGAAGATGTTTGGGTATTTCTATGGGGAGGCTGTCAGGGGTAAGAGGAAAAGCTGAAGAAAATTACAAGAATATTAAGAAAGATAAAATATTTTTTACATTCAGTGTATCACAATCTATTCACTTTTTAATTATTCAACAGAAGATACAAAAAGGGTTCAAGCAAAAAAAAACTCTGGCTACTAATATGCCCCCAAATTCACCCCTCTGCATCAAATAAAACTTGTTTCTACTTCAACTCTAAAAGTACATTTTTATTTTACTTTGAAGTAAACTGTAGGACTATCATTCGTTACTGAAATATAAACAGTTGCCACAAATTCCCACAGCTTCACAGTAACCTGCTATGGACAATGGGAAGATCTTTCTTTTTCTGTAACAAGGGGATAACCCAATTACATTCTAAAAATTATGTGTGTGTGTGTGTGGGTGTAATTTATTTATTTCAGATATTTTTACCCTGCCTTTCTCAACCCCCTGGGTAATGAGTAATGCTTTTGGTTATTTGTTATTAAGATCATTTGTTCTTTGTCATTTTGAGAGAATATTTTTTCATGTTTCATCCTATTTTTTCCAAGTAATACATTTATTATTGTTATTTTCCGAAGTCAAATTTTCATATTTCATTCTCTTGTCAGTGCAAGGTTCATCTCTCTCAAATGTAGGAGGGAATTAAGGAGTTACTTTAAAAATAAATAAATAATAATAATCACACAAAGTATACTGTTAATAGCAATGGATGGAAAGGGAATATTTAATTATTTGTTTTTATTTCGAATATCTTTTACCTCACCCTTCTCAACCACCTGGGGGGGGGGGTGGTGGACTCAGGGCAGCTTTCAATCGGCAGCATTTGATGCCTCAATATATACATAATAAATACAAACAGTCAAAAAAAGTTAAAAACATTAAAACAATACAATTAAAATCTACTAAGAATTACCACTCTGGTGGCCATTTTTGCCGAAAACTATACAAGTTCTGAAATGTTTGGGATCAGAAAATTTGGGATTTTGAAATTCCTGCATTTGCATATAATACATAATATCATGGAGATGGGACCCAAGTCTAAAAAGGAAATTCCTTATACACATAGCCTGAAGGTTATAATTGTGTGCTTGAACAACATTCAGCCAATAGAAGGCAAATGTGTCTCTATTACAGACACTCTGATTTTGGAATTCCAAATGTGTAAGAAAGGATTACATTATGAGCCCTTCCACGCAGCCAAATAACCCAGAATATCAAGGAAGCTAATACACAATATCTGCTTTGAACTGGGTTATCTGAGGCCCCTTCCATACAGCAGAAAATCCTACAATATCTGCTTTAACTGGGATACCTGAGTCCACACTGACATATACCCCAGATCAAACCAGATGTGGGATTTTGTTCAGCTGTGTGGTAGAGGCCTTATTTTCCAACAGACCTCACAACCTCTGAGGATGCCTGCCATAGATGTGGGTGAAATGTCAGGAGAGAATGCTTCTGGAACATGGCCATGCAGCCTGGAAAACACACAGCAACCCATGGAAAAAGTTTCTTGAACTGCAAAAACTTTTTGCTTCTGTGGGACATCCCGCTTTAAATTTGGCTCTAATTTTTCAATGAATATCATATTGAAAACCAATACAATATAGTTTATGACAGCCACAAAAATAAAGTTTCTGGAGTAGAACAACTTTTAAAGTTAAGTACAGCACAATTAAATAAGAAGTAACACTTTCAAAGCAGGAACTGATTTTTGGGGGGTGAAATATTACATGGGTTGATTATATTTGAGGGGGGGGGGGTTAAGTTTTTCGGGCCGTATGGCCATGTTCCAGAAGCATTCTCTCCTGACATTTCGCTGGCATCTATGGCTTTCACACCTACCTCCAACAGATTCTTTCTCCCACCCTGGACATTCCACAGATATATACACCCCATTTTCCTAGTTTCCAACAGATTTCACAACCTCTGAAGATGCATGCCATAGATGCAAGTGAAATGTCAGGAGAGAATGCTTCTGGAATATGGCCATAAAGCTGGGAAAACTTACAGCAGTGGTTCTCAACCTGGGGTCCCCAGATGTTTTTGGCCTACAACTCCCAGAAATCCCAGCCAGTTTACCAGCTGTCAGGATTTCTGGGAATTGAAGGCCAAAAACATCTGGGGACCCCAGGTTGAGAACCACTGATTTACAACAACCCAGCGATTCTGGCCATAAAAGCCTTCAACAATACATTTTTTTTTAAAAAAAATTGATTATTTCTAAACGTTCCAAGATTTGCCAGAAAATTACTCCTTCCATTTGTGAGACTATACTCAAAATCATTTTCTAGTGAGCCCAGCAGAGTATAGGTGGCTGGCCATCTGTGGAGAGGGCTTTGATGGTGTAGTGCAGGCATGAGCAAACTTGGACCTTCCCTTCAGGTGTTTTGGACTTCAGCTGAGGGGGGAAAGGAAAGGGCCTGAGGCTGTGAGGAATGGTGGTTGAAGTCCAAAACACTTGGAGGGAGGGCCCAAGTTGGTCCATGCATGACCTATCTCGACCTACTAATTTGCATATGGTTTCTGATTGGCCAGCCTCAACATTCTAACATTCTTAAGCGGCTGAGAGGGGAAAGGAAGGGGCCTGAGGCTGTCAGGATGGTGGGAGTTGAAGTCCAAAACACCTGGAGTGAAGGCCCAAGTTTGCCCAGGCCTGGTGTAGTGGCAGGAGGGGTGGGACTGGATGAGCCTTGGGGGTCCCTTTCAGCTCTAGGATCCGTGCTCTTTCTTCTCCAGAAGGCGAGGGAGGTGAAGGAGTCCAGCTTGACCAGTGCAGCTGCTCCATCCTCCTCCTCCTCCTCACAAAACAAAGGAGACCACGAGAGGAAGCCCTGGGCAAGCACATGTCGCCCCTCTTCCTCCATCCAGCAGAGAGCGGGAGAGAGAGAGGAGAGGGGAGTCCAAGGGTCAGGGCAGGCGGTATGGCCGCTCCTCCTGGCTCATCCCCCCCTTTCTCTCCGCCCAGTGTCCATCTTGGCTCCCCCACGGAGGCTATTGTGGCCCTCCCACCTGTCCGGCCAGGAACCTGCTCAGCTCCCCTCCGCTGCTCCGCTCCTCCCTCTGTGCCACCAGTCGCAGCGGGGCCTCCACGCTCAGCCTCAGGTGCTCCATCGCTGGCCGCGCGCCCTCCCTCCCTCTTGCCTGCCTGCCTGCCTGCCTTCCTCGAGAGAGCCTTCTTCCAGCCCGAGAGACCCGGGGCGCGAGGCACGTGGGAGACCGCAGCGGAGCGACGGCCGCTTCCCACCCCCTTCTCCGAACGCCCCGCCCGCCTACGTCATCTCCCCGCGACGCCCAGCTGAAGGGGGGAGGGAGGGGGGAACTGCCTTGGCCTCCGGACAAACAAAAGGAAAAAACTACGCGCCCCGTCGTGCATTGCGGCACTTCTCGACCTGAACTTGTACGCCTAATCAGCGCGCTGGATGCTGGGAGGAAGAGTTTTCATATGAAATGCTTGGGAAAGGAGGTGTTTTAGGCTCCATCTATAGCAGTGGTCCCCAGATGTTTTTGGCCTACAACTCCCAGAAATCCCACCCAGTTTACCTACTGATAGGATTTCTGGGAGTTGAAGGCCAAAAACATCTGGGGACCCCAGGTTGAGAACCACTGATCTATAGAGCCATATCATGTAGTTTAAGGCCCCTTCCAGGAGCCCCCGGTGGTTCTCAACCTGGGGTCCCCAAATGTTGTTGGCCTACAACTCCCAGAAATCCCAGCCAGTCCCCAAAAACACCTGGGGACTCCAGGTTGAGAACCACTAAACCCTTGTGCCGGCCAGACTGACAACCGACAAGTCGCAGGTTCGAATGTGAGGAGACCGCAGATGAGCTCCCTCTGTCAGCTCCAGCTCCCCATGCGAGGACATAAGAGACGCCTCCCACAAGGATGGTAAAACACCAAAACATCCAGGCATCCCCTAGGCAACATCCTTGCAGGCAGCCAATTCTCTCACACCAGAAGGGACTTCCAGTTTCTCAAGTGTGAGGACATTAGAAAAGCCTCCCTCAAGGATGGTAAAACATCAAAACATTTGGGCATTCCCTGGGCAACGTCCTTGTAGACAGCCAATTTTCTCACACCAGAAGCGATTTTAAAAAATTGTTCAAAACTCTTTTCGGATGATGGCTCGATTCAGAAATCAATTCTGATTTTCATAGAAAAAAACGTTCAAAACTTTTTGAAACTTCTGAGACTTCTGAATAATGGTTTGAAAGTGTTATTTCCTGTTTCATTGGGTGGTCTTTACTTTGAAAGTAGTTGTTTTACTCCAGAAAGGGGGGAGGGAGAGCAAAGGGAGGAAATTCTTCCACGCTGGTTTAAAACGGCTTCTCTGGCATAAGACTGAAGCAGGAGGGACAACAAAGCGAGGAAATTCATCCAGGCTGCTTTAACATGGCTTCCCAGGATCCAGGCAGAATGCGAGGAGAAAGGAGGGAGCGGGGAATTCATCCACTCTGTTTTAACGCAGCTTCCCAGGCTTGAGCCGAGGCCAGGGAAGAGAAGCAGGGAAACGCTGAATCATTTCCGACTCACGTACTGCTTCGTAACAGAAATGGCAGAGAATGCTTCGGAAGGGCAAAGAGACTTCCGGTTTCCTTAAAAACTTCGAAATCGCTTCAAAAAGCAAATCTTTCCAAATTTATTCTGAATTACGAAGATTCCGACCGAACCTAACATGCCTAGTATTAAGGGTTTTCTTTCACACACTTCCATGAGGGTTTTGTTGTCTACCTTAAACTATTGAATGGTCAGTATAGATTGGGCACATGTCTTTTAATATATGTGTTTTAATGGTCTTGGGTCTTACCTCTGTGTTGGGCCCCCTCAATACTTGAGGATAAATAATAATAATAATATTAATAATAATAATTATTATTATCTTGTAGATGCGACAAAACGCTAAACATGAAATCCACTGGTGTTTTGTCAGGTTTTTTGTCCTGAAAGTCATTTTAGACATGGTTTTGAATATAATTTTGTGCAAATGGGACAAAAGCATGAAACTCATTAGTGATTGATCTAATGTGCACAGTTTGAAGGTAATTTTATACACTAAGTTTTACATAATTTTGTGCACAAAACAAGGTTTGTGTAAATGGAAGCATCAGAAAATGGAAGTCACTATCTCAGTCCCTTGACTTTGGACTTTGGAGTATTTTGAAATTCTGGAAAGGGAGCATTCAGTCTGTATTTGCATATGCATAATGTGATAGCTTGAAGATGTGACCCAAGTCCAAAGATGAAATTTCATGTATATTTTATGCACACCTTCTATGAGGAGGCTGAAGATCATTTTATACACATTTGTAAAAGTTTTCTGCATTGATAAATGTTTGTGTATGTTTGTGAGGCATCAGAAAGCAAAGGTGTTATGATCTCAACCACTCAAATTTGATAGTTTTGGACTTTGAAGCGTTTTGGATTTCCAGATAAGGATATTGCCTCGTATTGTTACTTTTTATTCAAGTTATGGTGACCATATGTATGAGAAGCTGTGGATAATGAAAAATTTGGATACAGAGTCTATGGATAAATGGTTCTGGCCCAACTTACATATCCGAACACATCCCCCCTTACAAACCATCGAGGATGTTAAGATCGTCTGGGGAGGCCCCGCTCTCGGTCCTGCCTTTGTCACAAGTACGTCTGGCGGGGACAAGAGTAGAGGCGGCCCTAGGTAATTTTCAGCAGTAAGCAAACAGTATTTTGGCACACACACCCCCAACCAACTACTGATGTATATTTTCTGTTCGTCGTGGGAGTTCTGTGTGCCATATTTGGTTCAATTCCAACATTGGTGGAGTTCAGAATGCTCTTTGATTGTAGGTGAACTATACATCCCAGTAACTACAACTCGCAGCATATGTCAATGTCTATTTTCCCCCAAGAGTGCCTCAAGAGCGCCACTGGGCAAAATCAACTATACTGCAAATGCTTACTTTGCGTAATGGGTTGAGCTGCCCCTGGACGAGAAACAGGGCCTTCTCAGCGGTGGCTCTCTGCTGTGGAACGCCCTCCCTAGGAGATCTGATCGGCTTCTTCGCTCCTAACATTTCGGAAAAAACTCAAGACATGGCTTTTCGAGCAAGCGTTTGCAAATATTGAGAAACTGACATAGGAAAACGGGACAACTATACGATGGGACTGGACAATGTTTTTAATGAGGATTTATTGACTTATGTTTTATTGCTGCTGTTATGATTTTACTGATGTTAATGTTTTTTAAAAAATTGTACTTTTTAAAAAAGTGTACTTGTTTTTTTAAAAATTGTACTTGTTTTTTTAAAAAATTGTACTCTCTCCCTTCTTCCATTTCTGGATATTCATCTTATTTTACTACGCTCAAACTTGAATTTTTTTAAAGTAATATGTACTATGGAAAATTTAATAAAGAGTTAATATTTTAAAAAATGTACTTGTGTTTTTGTGGCATTGAATTTTGCCTTGTAAACTGCCTCGAGTCACCTGAGGGCAGAGAAAGGGTGGTATGCAAATACAGTAAATAAATAAATAAAGAGAATCCTCATTATCATCCTAGTTGTTCTCATTGTCTTCCAGTTCAGGATTCAAAGGGGCTTATAACATTTAAAATAAATATAGCTAAATTTTCCACAGCATTAAAAATTAAATTATAATTACAGTATCAAAAACCAGTTGAAGATTTTTAAAAACTTCAAAAAAATTATTTATTTATTTATTTACTACATTTTTATACCGCTCTTCTCAGCCCTCAGGGCGACTCAGAGCGGTTCACAACCACAATATAATACATAAAACATGATAAAAACAGTTAAGAAGCATTTAAAAGGATAAACACTTATAACAATCAATAAGCATCAACATCTCATATCGTCTCATAGTTAAAATCAAGATCCAGTCTTGTCATCCAATTGTTCCATATTTCTATATTAGTTACACTGCCTATTCAAATGCCTGCTCAAACAACCAGGTCTTCAATTTCCTCCGAAATGCTAGCAGGGAGGGGGCCGATCTGTAGGGAGGGCGTTCCACAGCCGAGGGGCCACCACTAAGAAGGCCCTGTCTCTCGTCCCCGCCAATCGTACTTGTGATGCAGGCAGGACCGAGAGTAGGGCCTCCCCAGACGATCTTAACGTCCTAGCTGGTTCATAGGAGGAGATCCAAAGCAGCAAATAGAAAATCCAATGCCTGTGATTAGTATGTGCTCTTTGAAGAGCTAACAGAGGCTGTTAGGAAGGGTGGGAGTTGAAATCCAAAACACCTGGAGGGCCGAGGTTTGCCCAGGCTTGGTGTCAATGCCCCCTCCGAGCAGGAGGAGCCAAGGCTCCCAAGGGCGGGCCGCGTCGCTTCTTTTTGGCGCCAAATGTTTTCGGCGGCGGAGGCGGGAGCTAATGACGTCGTGCCGAGAGCGTGCTCGAGCGCCGCCGCCCATTGGCTGTCGCTGGCCCGGCCCCGCCCTCCTGCTTCCCTCCGGAGGAGGCGAGCGGCAGAAGGAAGGAGGCGGGCGGCGGTGAGTCCCGGGCTTAAGGCGCCCCCCCCCCCCCGAGAGGACGGGAACGACACGGAGCGAGGAAGGCGTCACTCCGGTTTGTGGAAACCCTTTGCAGGCCAGGAAGTGGGGTTAATTCGCGGGAGGAGGGGATCCCTAGCTCTGGCTCAGGCGTGGGCAAACTTGGGCCCTCCCTCCAGGGGTTTTGGACTTCAACTCCCACAATTCCTAACAGCCGCTAGGCTGTTAGGAATTGTGGGAGTTGAAGTCCAAAACCCCTGGAGGGAGGGCCCAAGTTTGCCCATGCCTGCTGTAACCTCTCCTTGAAAAGACTCGGGATCCTTTCTGTCAGTGTTTACATTCACAACTACTACACAACCCATCTGCCCACTCTCTTCAGCCTTTGGCCTCCCTTTGAAGTCATCTACAGTCATGCCTATTTCCTCCCACCTACAACTAACTCCATGTCCCAGCGTGTGCCAGCCTCCCTTTGAAGCTCCCTTGGCTTCAGACGTTGCCTTTCTGTTTTGAGGCCAGATCACTTGAGGCCTGGTTGCAGCAAAGCCATGCAAAATAAGAGAGGCACTCAGATAATGACACTTTTGCTGTCAGGTGGTTCAGTTTCCAGCATCTACGTATGTATGGGGAAAACTATATACCAACACTGAGATTTTTTAAAGAAAATGAATTGCCTTCCATATTAATAACATGTCAGTTATTAATTATTAGGTTAACATACTTTTTCTCCTGTTGATATAGATGGAGAATACTTAGGGTGATTGTATAATGGCAACAGATGATGA